TGACATGAATCTACTTTCAATGAATATAGCCATTAGGTGCCAACTGATTGTGACTACAGTGTCCACTTACAAGTGTGTGTGATAAATGATCGTGACAATGGTATGGCTACGCTTGAGTGTAGCAATTGATTGTGACTATAGTGTCCACTTACAATTGTGTGTAATAAATGATCGTGACAATGGTATGGCTACGCTTGAGTGCAGCAATTGATTATGACTACAGTGTCCACTTACAAGTGTGTGTGATAAATGATTGTGACAAGGGTATGGCTACGCTTGAGTGCATCAACTGATTGTGACTATAGTATCCACTTACAATTGTGTGTGATAAATGATTGTGACTAGGGTATGACTACGCTTGAGTGCAGTGAGTGCAGCAACTGATTGTGACTATAGTATCCACTTCCAATTGTGTGTGATAAATGATTGTGACGAGGATATAGGTTTGCTTGAGTGCAGCAACTGATTGTGACTATAGTGTCCACATACAATTGTGTGTGGCAAATGATTGTGACAGGGGTATGGCTACGCTTGAGTGTAGCAACTGATTGTGACTATAGTGTCCACATACAATTGTGTGTGGCAAATGATTGTGACAGGGGTATGGCTACGCTTGAGTGTAGCAACTGATTGTGACTATAGTGTCTACTTATAATTATGTGTGGTAAATGATTGTGACTAGGGTATGGCTACGCTTGAGTGTAGCAACTGATTGTGACTTTAGTGTCTACTTATAATTATGTGTGGTAAATGATTGTGACTAGGGTCTGACTACACTTGAGTGTAGCAACTGATTGTGACTTTAGTGTCCAATTACAAGTGTGTGTGGCAAATGATTATGACAGGGATATGGCTACATTTGAATGTAGCAACTGATTGTGACAAGGGTATGGCTATGCTTGAGTGCAGCAACTGATTGTGACTATAGTGTCCACTTACAATTATGTGTGGTAAATGATTGTGACAAGGGTCTGACTACGCTTGAGTGCAGAAACTGATTGTGACTATAGTGTCCACTTACAATTATGTGTGGTGAATGATTGTGACAAGGGTATGGCTACGCTTGAGTGTAGCAACTGATTGTGACTATAGTGTCCACTTAAAATTGTGTGTGGTAAATGATTGTGACTAGGGTCTGCACACATTTGTTTGTCAACTCAGAGATATAAAATTATTATGTGCCTCTGGTCAGCCATACCACACTGTTCCTAACAAAAATAGGACAACATGAGTTCTATTTGTCATATGAAGATGGAAATACATTGCACATAATATTCCTCCATACCTAGAGAATTCTAGGTGTTGAACAATGTTGGTTAAAATTAGTTTAAGGATTACGTAATTCCTTTAATCTCCTTCGCCAGTTAATGTTTGATGAGCTAGTGTTGACACTCACAAACACTTCTATGTGAAATACAATACATGCCGCATACAGATTAAACAATGAAAGCAAAAGTGAGCTTTTCAGCTGCGATTTCCACTCATTATAACATTGTTCTATATTTGCAAGAGTTATTTAACCTGGCGACAAGTGGATGTGGACGTTGCATTATGCAAAGATAGTTTAACGTAAATCATTACATTTGGTTAATATTAACATTGCATTAGTCTGAAAATGTGTCTCACAATTGACTTTTCACAGGATTTTTCCATTCACACATTTTAAGCTGACCATACTTAATATTAGATTACACAGTCTTATATCCATCGCTTCTTAACTCCCATTTGCTGTACAAAAAGTGCTAATTGTTCTGATGTTTTAAGTTCAATTAAGCAACTTGGATCATGGGCGTTCCACTGAGACACATTTGAGGTGTGCAAATTCATATTAGAGAGTAAATATATAACCAAACAAAAATCTCTTAGTTCAAATCACAAAAATGTGTTCAAAATATCAATCATTATCGACATGCATTTTTATCAATCATAAATATATGCTGTAGTTTAAGAATACTCTTTAACCAAGGTTTCAAGGGGAAAATATGGAGAATTTTGAAAATTTGGTATTCGGATTATCAATGCAGGGCCGGTTAGAGTGGGAAAATCTATGTCTGATCCTTTCTTCGTTAAAGGTGCAATAATTAGAGCAGAGGGGTCATTCAACGATAATGGACCAGTGTCAAAATATATTTAAGTTTGGATATTTCATCAAGACTAACATCTATTTTTATTATCTACAAAGAAACCCCCTAGATAAACATTATTTTAGCTCATATTCCTCTTGAAACATGGTGGATCTTAAAAATATAAAAGTGGAAGTCCCCTTTTTGAAGCTTTGAACTGAATTTACACTTTTAATGCTGAAATTGATAATTTATCCATACATTTTAAGAAAATAGGTATGTCAAAGAAGATGTTAAACCAAATGTTGCCTTGATAGCTCAGAAAAAATGAAAAAACTTTCCTATTTTCTCTACAGTCCTTATTGCCCCTTTAACCAGGGAGTCCATCAGGGGGGTGTCTGTAGTTTGATGCTCTATATGCGTTTCACAAATAGCCTCTTAAAGGAACTCGAACAAAGCAATGCTGGATGCAGAATCGGCAATATTAATGTAACCTCACCCACATACGCCGATGACCTGATCCTCATGGCTGTGTTCCCAAGGTACTTACAAACATTACTGGACATAGCATATCGTTTCAGTACACGATGGCGTTTCACCTTCCACCCTGGGAAGTCAAAAACGTTGATGGTTTGCACTAAAGAGAGACAGGGCCGCAAAGACTTGTGTTTTTACCTTGGACCAGATAAAATGGATCATGTCAGAGAATGTACACATGTGGGTCTCATTTTAAATACAAATGGTAACTTGAAACAACATATTGATAATGCAATGGGAAAGGCTAGAAGGGCTATCAACGCGGGAGTGGGGCTTCTCAGCAGTGACTCCTTCGAATACAATCCATTGACGGCCTCTATTTTATATTGGTCCATATCGGTACCATCCATGACATACGGTATGGATATCCTGCCATTGAAACAATGTGATTATGATACCCTTGAATTGACACATAGACAAATAGCAAAACGTATTCAACAATTGCCATGTAATGTGCATAACGAAGCTTCCTTGGCACAACTGGGCTGGTCGAGGATTCGTGCGGTCATAGATACAAAAAAGTTAATGTTTCTGTGGTGTATCCTAAATCTACCAACCACATGTGTGTATAAAATGATTTTTATAATTGAGTTCTTTAGATGGAAGTCAATTTCTGAACATTCAAAGTTGTATAGCAACTATTCAGTAATAAATGCAGTTTTGAACCTTGTGACAAGATACAATTTATGGCGATATATTGATGAATATTTTTTGAATTATGACCTGATGCCCAAATGTGCGTGGAAACGGATTGTTAAAGCACGCATAATGCAGTATGAAGAAGACAGATGGCACTTGTTATGTAACATATCTTACAGACTTAGCGTTTATAGAACGATACAAGTTACGATAAAACCTTGCGTATGGTGGAGAATCTGTCAATCGAATTGTAAATATATAGGGATGTGTAGGGATATGGTAAAACAGCTAACAGGTGCTTTCCCACTCAACTATGACACTATTTGTCCTCTGTGTGGGATGACAAATGAAACGACAAGGCATTTTCTCTTAGATTGCCTTGAACTTCATGAAAGTAGGTGTGACTTGTTGGCAGTTTTAAGTGACAGAATATTTGATGGATATAATATGGTTGAAAAAATGGAGGTCTTACTAGGAAAAAATGAAGCATTAGACTACAGAATGTATGTGAAGATAATGTTAAGTGTCAAACACATGTTAAAAACAAGAGCTGCAGCTATAGCTCTATAAACTATTAAATCAACACAGTTTGCGTTGTAAATATATATTTTTTTATTTTTATATTTTTAATATTGCCACATTAACTTTATAATTATTATGTACTCATCTGCATAGGTGGAAATAAAGATACATAAACATAATATTGATTCTTTAGCTTTTTTGTTCAAACAGTAGTATATTATCAGAATGGCATATGTATAATATTTTTGCTCAATTATTTTTTAGGAATGAAAAAACATATGTATGTGCATAACTAACTAAACAATTCGCTATTGTATTTAACAAGTGTCATTTTATTCCTCATGCACATCGTTACTCTACTTTAGATCTGAATTCTCCATATGATGAGTGAATAATTTATTGATTTATTTGTCTTTATTCATTCCCCACAATAAATTCCGAGTAATTAATTCATGAAGACAAGTTTTCCAAAAATCCCATTCCCCATTTCTTAGACACAATGATCTTACTTTATTATTGAAATAAATCTGAAAATACTATTAAATTAGATATACATGCGTTATCCATTTTGAATTACCAGAATATGAGGAATTCACTGGGAAGAACAAACAATTTATTTCAGCATTTCAAATTACTTTTATTTCTTGCAAAGTATCAAATTTCTCCAGGATCCCCTTATCTCTTCTGGAAATATTATATTTTGAGGGGGAATAAAAAACACAACCAATCACTCTCATACTAAAACATATCTCTATACTATCACTAGCTTTTGCATTGCAAACACAGTGGTCCATATCATGGATATACAAGTTGTATATTAATGGTTCTTATTTAGAACATTGTCATATAAAACGAGATTATGTCACAATGAAAATATTTAATGAGAATGTATCATAAATAAAACAAGTCTATAATTCTTAAGATTATACTTTAACAATAAAAAAACATGAAATACTAGGGTGTCACAGTACCCAAAAATTGGGACAGGAAACATTTTTTCAATTTTGGGATCGGATATAAAGAATGTTAGAGAAGTCATTTTAGGCTCCCATAAAGTAGTTAAAGATGCAGTATAACATAGGTATCTATCCTATGGTATAGAGTCTCTTTAAACAAGGGGTATAGGTTCAAAAGTATTCATTAAGTTAAATATTGTACAGCTTTACCACTGAGACTTTGGAAGGGGAAACAAACATATTCAGAATCATGATAAATGTAAATTCTTGGAAACATTTTTGGGAAATAGATCTATATCCATGGTGCAGAAGATAACAATTCCTGATTTATGTTACTCCTATTTATATAACACCCCGACTAGGTCCCAATGATGTATCACACGCACTTAATTCTGTATCAACCACAGGCAACTAAAATTAACTGTATATTGGACTGCAAACTACTACACAGGCAAACAGGACATAAACATATAAAACTTTGAGTCCAGTTGTACCTCTGCCTCAAATATGTATATGAGGTAAATCCGATTTTGTGTTTATTTAATTGTTATGAGCTTCTATCATAATGAATACATCCTAGGTAGAGATTACATTTCAGCTGGAGGCTTCATATGGCTGCCTGTTGTACATTACTGTCTGTGCTCTTGTCTTGAGTAGGGAACTGAAATGCATAAAGAAATGAATATGAACATTACTGTCTGTGTTCTCTTTTTGAGTAAGGGACTAAAATGCATAAAGAAATGAATATGAACATTACTGTCTGTGTTCTCTTTTTGAGTAAGAGACTGAAATGCATAAAGAAATGAATATGAACATTACTGTCTGTGTTCTCTTTTTGAGTTTTGTTCTCTTTTTGAGTAAGGAACTGAAATGCATAAAGAAATGAATATGAACATTACTATCTGTGTTCTTGTCTTGAGTAAGAGACTAAAATGCATAAAGAAATGAATATGAACATTACTGTCTGTGTTCTCTTTTTGAGTAAGGGACTGAAATGCATAAAGAAATGAATATGAACATTACTGTCTGTGTTCTCTTTTTGAGTAAGGGACTGAAATGCATAAAGAAATGAATATGAACATTACTGTCTGTGTTCTCTTTTTGAGTAAGGGACTGAAATGCATAAAGAAATGAATATGAACATTACTGTCTGTGTTCTCATTTTGAGTAAGGGACTGAAATGCATAAAGAAATGAATATGAACATTACTGTCTGTGTTCCCTTTTTGAGTAAGGGACTGAAATACATAAAGAAACAAAATATGAGAATATTACTGAAAGAGACTAAAACATGAACACACTTATTTAGAATAGTAATATGTATTATTTTTGTTTAGGTTTAGTTGGTATTTGCAGAGGAAAAATGTGCACCTGATTATTGAAATATTTGAACATTGTTCTCGATATAATACAATGCTTTATACAATTCAGAATGTTATAAAATTATAATGATAATTTGGACTTGATTTGAATTTCAATATTCAAACTTAGTTCACCAACTTTTGATTCAGTAGCTTTTAGCTGCCTTCCATCTGTGGGAGAGATGGCTGGTTTTCTTTCATACTGTCTTCTATGTTTTTCATCTATAGCTGTGATGTACCAAGTACATGGGAAAAGGCCTTCAATTGAACCTACTGGGTTATATGGGGCTGCAATTAGAAAGATGTATGAGGTTATGAAGGCCATAATAAATGCAGGCAATGTGACAATTTGAAATGATAAATGTAGCTATTAACTGAGCAAAGAACAGTTGTTTCAATAATTTTTGTTCAAATTCTAATTATGGTTATAAGAGTTCTTTTTGCGATAAATGTAATTTCAGAATCATTCTCCTATGTGAAAGAGAAGACATAAATAAACCACTGCCATCTTTCAGTAAAAAAACAACACTTGGAGTAGCAAATCCCAAGGAACAAAACTGTGATATTTTATCAAATAATTAGTCACTTTGAACATAACATGATAGAAATTAACCAGGCAGTAGTATTGTCTTCTTTGGGCAAAATCTTCACCAATGACACGCCATGACATCATTTTAAAAGACATCAGTACATAAAATCAGAACCAAACCAGACAGCAAGTATTTAAGTTATCAAAATTATGTTTTTTATAAAAAAGTTGCAATTATTTTGAATAAGCAGCCATACTTAATACATTATAATTTCAGTCATTTCTAATACTGAATTAAATATCATATTCTGCAATTTCCAAAAATACCTAAATGGTGTGTCTCCTCTCTAAGTTTCATAGTTTTCTCAAAGACTCGTGGCTCCACCTGTTCTCTACTTTCCAGCCTGGCCTGTAGATCTTCTAAACTTGTCACCAATCTTTCTAGAGCTGACCCTGGAGCCCTGAAGCATGTAGATGTGGCATAGTCAAAACAAACAAACCAACCAACTAGATTATCATTGCCAACATTTTGCATATACATGTTGCATATTGCATATATATGTTCATTTATTTATTTACTGGATTTATGAGGCAGAATATTTTATATTTATGAAAGTAAAATATCATGGTATTGCGATATAAATAAGGATATGGTCCATAATTCATAGTAGGCCTGTGAATGTCACACTTGGAATGCTTTGGTCACAATAGACACAACCATCATATTTTCCTTGTTATATTTTCCTCTTATTGTAATAATGATTTCAAATGCAAAAATATCATATTAAAAGAAAAATTTTAAATTCATAATAAAGATGCAATGGCATCAGGAGGCAATATTGAGAAAACAAACAAAATATTGATCATGCAAACAGGCAAACAAACCTGTCAGATGTGATCCTCAGTGAATACATGGATGAGGCCAGGCCAGAACCATAGGAGAACAGCAGCACCCTCTTTTTAACTAGGCCCTCTATTGGACGACTGAAACAATATTTCCAAAGTCAGAGAAACTTCTTTTTATAGCGGTTTATTTGCTAGGGATCTAGGGAGCTAGGATGAGTGAAAGACGTTCTTTGGAGTAACAACACCTCTTAAATTAATCAATTACTTTGCAGAAACCCCATGAGTTTAGTACATAACAGAATATACATTAACAAAACTTCCAAAACTCACAACGAGTTCTACTTTTCTTTCATGAGTTTTATTCTTGATACATGATCTTGCTCATTAAATAATTATAGGAATATCATTTTTATCTACGAGGTGATATTGATATCTGCACGAGAGAGCGAAACGAACGAGTGCATATATCAATATCACCGAGTAGATTAAAATGATATTCTGAAAAAAATCATAGGATGTTCTTATTATCCTACACTTACAAGGAGTGTACTGAATGTATAATATCATTGTAAAATGAATTTGTGCCAAATAGAGTCAATTTGGCGGGAAATCAACAAGCGGAGTATATCGTCACAATATCCTCCGCATACTGGGTTTTCCGGAGTATATCGTCACGATATCCTCCGCCCGGAGTATATCGTTACGATATCCTCCGGATATTCATTTTGCCAATAAATATCAAATTTATTTTTTCATGTTATTAAACATTTAGTACACTAAGTGTAGGATAATAAGAAAATAACCTGAGGCCAATCCCATTTGCTTACACACTCTACCTGCCTAACCATCATTATTAAGCGTAGTGCACTAACCTTGCCAGGAATGAGACTAGACCTCCGTAGAGTGAAGGAGTGTACATGTTGCCTACATTGGTGGCAAGCAGGAGAGATGGTTTGGTCTTTGCCTCAAATGAACCCTTACTGGCTGCCATGAATGCTTTCTCAACATCACGGTCAAAGTAAGTGTCACAAAGCTTCACATCTCTGAAAAAAGAAATGACATTATATAATAAAGTGGACACGTTTATTTGGGTAAAAGAAAAAGAAGTCGTCACATGACTTCACATTTTTGCAAATGAAAGTATTTCTACATGAGTTGGCACACTCCAGTAAATGGTATTCCCAAGGTACATGTCAAAGACGAGTTTCAAACTATGAAAGCACATGCAGTAACTTTTTCTCTAAGGAGTTGGGTAAACAAGGCCATTTTAAGCCCCACCTGATTTTCAAGTTTTCTCTTTATTTTATTAATCTATGTGATATATGTGTTTCAAAAATGTATGAAAATTTAGGTCAAGGTCATATTCCCCAGGTCAAGGTCAAATTAAAAAATTCATTATTTTCTACCAAAATATACCTTTTTGGTTAAAATATCACAAATATCTGTAGGAATTTAGTCTCATAGAGGTTGGAATTACAATATATAGTAAATTGGCAATTTGCCAATAATGAGATATTTATATTAATATATTCCGCCCTTCCCACGCAACACTGAAAGAGAACAAAAGTACCTAAAATAATGAAAATACTTTATTATTTTTAATTCATTTAAATTCAGAGTGTACATTTCATGATTTGACTCGTAAAGTAATGTTTATTTTTTATGAGAAATATGTCCTGCTTCCTGTTAGCGACATAGGGTATGCTAAAAACCACACACTAAACACACACACTGTATATATTATAATTCAACATAATGATATTATTCAACATAATTTTAAAGCAACTATTAAGTTTATTATCAATCATTCTGATAATGTCTAGGAAACAGTGAGTACAGATAATGGAGATAATCACTTCTTGGAGATCACCTAAAAGGTGAAAAACATCTAAAATCTCAACACATTTCATCATTGGCTTGTTAATGAAATAACAATGAAACATTTTCTGATTAGTTTTACTCATCATCACTTAAACTACCTGATTATGATGTTGTGCACATATAACCACTTGATGTTTCAGGTATTTTAGCATCTAAAATTTTATAATGCCCTTGCAGGGGTTTTTCTTTGGCTTTGTAACCCTCGTGCCTAGCGAAGCCTATATGAATAGCATTTGGCCATTTTGAATAATCAACAAAAATGGCAGGCAAAATTTTCTATAAAGTTCTAAAATTCACATCGAGCATAATAAGTCTCCATCAAAATTATTCTTTGTATGCAACAATATAACATTTATGTAACTAAAGAAGCACTTATTAGAGTGGAGACTTGTTATGCTCTATGTGAAAACACTCAAAGGATTACTACCTCCAGTGAATAAAAATGTCACCCAGACTAAGCATGAAATGTCCTTTCAAAGCTTTACTTACCTCTAAACTGTACATATTGTTTAAATCAATTGTATGTATGGATCAAATAAATATATATTTACATAATCCTGGACAGATAAATCAAAAACATTCATTTATAGCTGAGTAAATTGGAATTCATCAAGAGGGTTGCAAAATATGTGAATTTTTTTCCTTCTGGCCCCCACCCTCTTTGAAGGTCTCCAGACACCGTAACAATTTTTTCTAAATTTTTTAAAAAATACTACCCAAAAATATAGACTTCAATCTATGCATTTCTGATGTTTTTTTTCTCCTATTCTTAAAAAAAGTTTTTTCACACTTCAATTGGGGCACTCTCTGTTGCTAGTTTACCCAACTCCTTTCAATCTTTTTCAAAATATGTTTCAACAACTTTTTTAGTTATGAGAAACAACAATTGAATAACACAAAAGTATTTCCGACTTTGCATCGGGCGGTGAAGAACAGATTCTGGATTTTATATACTTTGGCTTATAATCAACTCAGACAGAATGTACAACTTCAACAAGTATAAGGTATCATTTTTACTCTACATCTAGCTTAAGCTCTTATACTAGCCTGCCATCTTTGAGAATCACAAGTAAATCCTTGGCCTAATATTTTCCTCAAAATTATTACTTTATGCATAACTTCATGAAATGTATATCAATTGTATACTAATTTGTAATGTGTATTAAAACCATTGAACTCATAAAATAAAAATATTTACATGTTTGTTTGAAAAAGCAACTTATCCACCTCTCACCCAAGGGATAGAGCTGTTCAAAGTCCCGGTGAATGCCCACCTATCCCTTTAGACAATAGCATACATGAGGATGCATCTTACCTGAATGCCTCCAGGCCAGGGTACTTGTGTTGGTAGTCAGGGCTAGGGTCACTAAGGAAGTCATTCATGAACAGACGTGCGAGGGACTTCTGAACTAGCTTACAGTAGGGGGAGTGAAACACAATGGCATCAGTGTCTGACAGACTAAATGTTTGACTGTCTGAAAAATAAGTAGTGAACATATGTTTAAGTTTACAATAATACTCAGTTATGTCTGGGATTTGAATAAATCTGAATAGACCATAGTATACAATTGCAAAATTATGTTCATACTCAATTTGCAGCCATAATGACGTCAAACGCATTGTTTCAATCACATATAATCATGGGAATGTTTGATTTTGGTAATGCAAGGAGCATGGCATTTTACCAAGGCATATCAAGAATTTCGTACAATTTACTTTTTGACTTAAAAAATCTGCTTAATCTCACACAAAATAAACTACAGCTACAGCTGTCAATCACTCTTCTGCAGAAACTTTGTTGGAACTCAGTTCTAATCCAATTTTTGAACTTATTGAAAATGATACAGGTGTCCTAAACTAGAAACAATATTTTTAATTATGTAACATTTTACCACATTTACATAAGGGCATCTAATAAATATATTGGATACTCTTAATATAGATTTGAGCATTTATCATTTCAACTTTATGCATCTCTGTTTTGTTCTTTAAAAAAAAAATTGCAAAATATTGCTGAAGCAACTGATTTGCTCTTACACTCAACAAGCTCTGAGATTTAGAGAGATCCTTGCTTTACTTGAGTGTTAATTACATGCAATGTATTGGTTTTTATAAGATTACATGAAATAAAAAAGATAGTGTACCTTTAAAAACATAATTTGTTGTTAGAGATTAGAGGACTGAGACTAGAGTGACACTGTTTTATCATATCATTATGAACTTTAAGTGGCTGTAATTCTTTACTATTAATAAATATGATAGAAGATTTAATAGAAGACCTGATCAAAATGTCAAATGATTTTCTAAACTTAAATCAATTTATTTTTAAATACATTGATATTGAATTAAGTAGAATAAATTACAAATAATTTAAATAATTGCGTTAAAGAATGTTGGCTTGACCTGGACCCTAAACTTGTACATACAGAATGTACTTTAGTCCCTGTAAACTAAGTTTTGAGCCTGGTTTTATTTTACAAAAAACAAATTACTCGAATTCATAGTCTATTTGTTTATATAGCAGTGTTCTCCAGGATATTAAACTGTGTTGCAAAGTTTCATTTTTCTTATCTGACAATGTATTTTGTTGACAAATGGACAAATGCTCAAAATATCCAAATTTTCAAGATATTCCATTATACAAATTACTACACATTCATCTGAGTGTTTCAAGGGTAAGGGCCCAGAACAAAGTTCTTCCAAATTGAGATGGGTCATAACCATTTTAGGGGTCTCATACCTTTATTCTTTGCCCTCCATTTATCCTTGTAGTAACTATAACATTTATCTAATGCACCCAGGTAGCACTGTATTGAGAGTTTCCCATCAACTACAGGATATTCTGAAGCCATATCTGGTTTATAGAAGTCATAGGCGTGCTGCATATGTGTGCCTCTTAGTCCTGCAAATACACAATGTCAATACATCAATCAATCAATTATCAATCAATCAATCAATCAACCAAATGAATTAATCAATCAATCACCCAATCAATCCAACTGACAGGAATCACACAAATCAATCAATGTGCACCTCATGATTCAATTTAGGGCGAGAGAGAGTAAATGGCTATTAAAGTAGTCAACTCAGTTTTCATTGATTCTTCTGTCTTCTTTCCGACTTTGCAAAGGTATGAATGCAATACTGAAATTGATGTACAACGTTGTAGAAGGAATGGTGTCCTATTACCATCAGATCGCAGTTAGTTTCGTCAGGGGAAGGGGTAAATGATGGTTTCGTTAGCGAATAGTGTTGATTTTATAAATATTCAAGTGAAAGACAAATCAGTATTTAAAACTTCTTTAGATGAGGGGAGGGGGGGGGGAGTCAAACCACATTGAAAAATTTGTTTTCCCACAATATTGCTGATAATTGAACGCAATCTCTAAGTACTGCTAAGGTTTGGGGTAAAGAATGGCATTTTCAAGTCATGAAGGAAGAGCATGTACATGTATAATCTTATCTTTAATAAAATTGCATCAACATATTGTTCGCAGATACATGCCGTTATGCATTAACATTACACAAAGAAGGATGTCGCTTGACATGCTTAACACATGTGTCGAATCAACATGTTGACTTTGATCTGAAAAAAAACTTTGCTAGATAAATCTAGTAGCAGATAGTCAATTGTTGAATTGTATTGTATTTTGTTTACTGCCAGATTTTGGTAAACAATACCTCATTGGTCATTTCATGAAGGACCCATGGACCTGTGTTCACAGAGTGTAGAACCTTTATTATTAGAGAAATGTCATCCTCCTAAGCAGGTATCCAGAATCCATACCTCCTTCTTCCCCCTGCTATAACCAATTTGGAAGCGCCCGATTAAACTGAATCACGTGATCTTATTATGTGCAATGACTTATACATGATTTCTGTCGCGGTGTTGCGACAGCCAATCAGATTGTGAGTTCTTAATCGGGGAAAGGCTAACTGCTTATCGCAGGGGGTAAAAAGAAAGAATATATTCTGGATTTTGAAGCCCTGTGATCGGAGGATAGAGAAATGTATATCCTGACTTTCAACCCAAAATATTGATTTGCACAATCAGCACAGTTTGTGACCTAGTTTGATGACCTTGACATTGAAAACTTTACTTTTACAGAGCTCAGTAGGTCTCTTGTGATTAATGAATCCAAGAAATCAATATTTGACTTTTCGTAAGGTCACTGAAGGTCAAATTTCAAAACTAAGGTCAGATAGGAACTCCTGGAAACTTGTAGATTTGAAAAAAACAATAGGTCAAATTGAAGCAAGTTGAAATATAACTGGTAATTTTTACCGTTTTCTGATGTCTGACATATCTCAAAAACGGTAATGCCGACATGTATTGAGCAATTTGTAGAGATAAGAATGCTTAAATCTAGTTACAATTTAATTCATTGCAAGAAATAATGAAGTATAGTGACAAACTTTGAAAAGCTTGTCAATCACAAAACCTGCCATGACAAAGTTCCCTGAAAATGACCAGGTCCTACTTTTTGTCAAATGTTATAGAGTAAACACCAAAAACTGTAATTTCAAGAGCTTTGGAATCTTCAGAGGACATAAGTTGCATATACAGCAACTACTACCACTTATTTGAAAGTCCTACAAAGTGTCTGGTATTTAAAGAAAATTTGACTTTTTGTTGTAAAAATCAGCAAATTCTCAGAAACCGTGTGAACTTGGGAAATGGGGATGACAGGTCAAATAGGAATTATGAATATGCATAAAATGACAATGGATGTGAAAAGCAGTTTTAATTTGTGCAGCCTATATTGATGTACAGATGGAACAATAGAGCAACGGACAGACACTTAGTCGATCCCATAGGCTCAATGTGTGAGCCAAAAATACAGAAACTTTATTCTCATACAGTGTACTGCATATATGAATAGTTAGAGAGTCTTTTATTTCTGAAACTCTACATATATTCTTAACTCAAGAGGCAAGTGGTTAACTTATTAGCCCACAACTGAACTTCTGATAACTTGCCAACTCAATCATGAAAAGCTGAGTAGCACAGTTTTTTACCATTCAGCCTATAGTACATGGTGTCCTTGAAAACATACTTAATCTGCTGAAAAAATGAATAAAATAAAGACAAAAAGCATAAAATGCATCTTCTTTACTGTTCAATAAAGTTTCTGATGGTTTGTATTTTGCAACAATTTAAACTATTCCTTATGTGTTCTTTGTAGTCATTTAAAGCATCTAGCCAGTTCATCCCACTTTAATTATCACCAGGTAATGAGTCAGAAACAGCAACGTAAAAACAGTGTCCCCATTATTATGTTCTCGATAAGGAATGCTTCACTGATGTTTTGTCATCAAAGATTGCTTGATAAAGGTGCAGAACCCCAAAAAAGAAATTTGGAATATTGATTATTTTTGGTATATAGGCTTTAAATTATGATCATTGTGACTCTGAATTATGGAGGTTCTGGTTCTACTAGAAAGAAACCACCAAAACATGACATGTCAAGCAAGCTGTCAAGTGGTTTGTTCAGAGACTTTGATATTTAAGGATATGGCATTTCATTTGGATGGATAAGTCAGTGCAAGTTTTAATTGATTTCAAATGCTAATCAAGTGCAACTGTGAGCTGAAGTTTGGAAATGATATACCCAGGGTTTGAAAATGTATAAGTACAAAGCTGCAGACAGGCCTGTAGCAATCTTTTGTTAAAAGTTTTTCAATGAATTCTGGGAGGGGGGGTTTACATTTGACAACTTTGGGTCCAAATTACTTGAAAAGTGCTCAGAATGGTGAAAAACATTTGGCCAGGGGAAGGGGGTGGAGGGCTACAGGCCTGGAAACAGGAAATTGAGTTAAACTTAAAATGAATTTTACAGAGCCTTCATGCAATTCTGTTAAAACCATTTCATTATGATGATATCATCAAAATATGGAAATCTATCTCTTTCAAGGGTTTGAAAAATATTAAAACCTGTTTTACAAGCTTATATTTTCAAAAAGCAATGTATCGAATTGGTTTCTCATATTGAGGAGAAATACATTTCACAGAAGCTTAAAAATTAATAAAAATACCATGGAAGTGACAACAAGAGGAACATATATAAATTTGATGCCAATAAATTCCATGTATTTTGTCTATTTGTCTGAGCAGTTAACTTGGTTGATTGGTTGATTGGTTGTTTGCACGTGTACAAAACAATGCATTCCTTATTCTCCCCCTCTCAACCAGATTCTTTTTTATGTTCATAATAAACTTTGGACAAAAGATTGTAATAACAATAGCTTGTCCTGAATATAACATCTGAACTTTGAGCATCTTTAATTGCAGCTCAAAGTCTAATAACCAGGCCTTCCCCCACGACCTTTGATACTAACAAACAATAAAGAACTAGGCCCTCAAAATAACTTGTAACCATAAAGTAAAACATTTATAGAACACAGATTATAGTACATATTTCATTTTAACACATTCTCAACATGTTGAAAAGCCTCTTGTGCCAATAGTAATATCCTTGAGATTTGAACTTCCTGCTCACCTAGAAACATCCAAGTAAACAATGACATAAATACATGACCCTAGTCAGTTGTTAACAGGTTAATTCTCCCCCTTTCAGCATTCTGAAACATCACCTGAAACACCTCAGGGCTGAGAAGAAATGAGATGTCATGGTTTATCATGATAACTATTCAGGCCCATAGCCAGGTTTCATCAAGTGATCAGTATTCAGTAATCCATGCTGCAGCTCAAATGTTATTTCAATTTTTGCTAATACATACTAAATGTTACATGTATTTCAATGTTTATGCACATTTCACCAAAGAATGATTTTCGGTTTGGAGAACCAAATTCATCTGCATATTTCTACATTATCAATGTCGCCAAAGATATTCATATTTTTACGTATTTTAGATTTAAATGTCCTCTTTTGTATATTTAAGTTTTAATGTTGGTAATAGTTTTAATTTCTTCATAAAAAGATATTAGCGAACCCCCGATGTCTTTTTCATGATTCTTACAACATGTATTGCATAATTCTGCTAGACACGATTTAAGAATTTATTGTTTATAATATTTTTAATAAGCATATTCGAATGATTTTTTCATGATATGTTTATGACATGTCAAGGTTCATTATGTGTTAATTTTTTTGCATCCTTATAACAGAATTATGCAATACATGTTGTTCAAAAGTTGGTACAAATCATGAAAACGACGTAGGGGAATTCGCTAATATTTTTTTTATAAAAAAATTTAAAATATTACCATCATTAAAACTAAAGTATACAAAAGAAGACATTTAAATCTACAAGACATAAAAATATATAAATTTTATGGCCACATTTATAACGTTGAAATATGCCAATAATGCTCAAGAATGATCCAAAAGCACAATTTTCAAGAAAAGGAGAGTCAACATTTTTTCTGGGTGAAAACTGGTAAATTTTCTTCAAGCGTACATGAAGGATACTACTGTTATGTGGCATACATGGCCTAATTAACAACAAAAACATACATCATGCAAGCTAAAGCTCATAGAAGGGGGAGTTGCTTTTTCATTTTCCCTCTGAATATTCTCAATGTTTAAGCAACCCATTTTCAAAGGTAAAAGGCCACTCGTTCTCAAAAATGAGACCCCAGACACCTATTTTGTTTGCTTTTTGGTCAAAATAGGTAATGGTATTGACTCATATATCTATATATAGAAGTTATTTAATTGGAGTGTCAATATGATATATCCTTTTGGCCCTCAGGGCCCTCGGGAAATATCATATTGTCCCTTGGAATAAAACCCATATTCAATCTCCACCAGTAAACAAGATTTTTATCATTAAATCATTATCTGATTTTTGTATGAAACAAAACCAGACTATATATTTAGTCTACAAAATATGACTTAACTTCATGACATTTTCAAATATGTTATTGTATAGAATAACACATCAACATAAAAATATTAACAATACGTCGTATACATGTCCATCACAGGGCATTAGCATGTTGCTCAGATCTCTACGACTCTGACTGTCCGTAACAGAGCATGATGATGAAATTACAATTCATCTTTGTTTATTAGGCTTACAATCTTCATACATGTACCTCTTACGTTTCAAAATCTCTATTTTCAATTTTAATTTTGTTTGGAAAACTGAACGCCAACTGAACGTAATAGCATACTTTGTTTGGAAAAACATTGTGGGGGTGAATACAATTTTCGTCAGCGGGATTGGGAGGTGAATAGGATTTCCTTTCAATACCAAAAATATTCTCAGGTGTTATTCACCTGGAAGTGGTAGTATCATGGGATAAATACTTATTTATCCCATGGTTGCAAGGATATTGATCGAATATCATGTGAAGATATGTGGATCAAGATATCATATTTTAGCAAAAAATCCCCAAACCATCAATTATCACTTCTTAAAAAGTGATATTCAATGGTTTCAAAAATGATATTCGTTGGTTTTGTTTTTTTCTCAAAAAATGTTTTTAATTTTTCAACAATATTTTAATATTGCTCAAAATCTTTCAATATTCCCAAAAAATATTTCCAAATTTTTTTTGCTTGGTTATGATTTCCCATGGGATAAATGGAGAATCCTATAATTTTTCAAAAATATCAATTATATCCACTCATGAATATCAATATCTTTATTCATTCGCTGCGCTCACTCGTAAAGATATCAATATCTGCTCATGTATAAAAATGATATGGGATCTGTCAATATTTTGCCAGAATATCAAAAATGTCATTTGAGGGATAACGTTGAACAGTGATATCACAAGAGAACCAGTTGATACACAGTAAAACCCCTCAACCAGAACAATATTGAAAGATTTAAATGCTATAACACATTCAAAGCTTTCATTTTACGATAGGCCCAGGATCGTTAGATATGACTCGGCAGTCCTTATTACTACTTTAATACAGTATGTAAAAAAACTAATTTTTATTGTTTTCTAAGCCCTTGATAGTCATAATGTACATCATTTAAGCACCCCTTAACACCCTTTACTTGGTTCTAGGAATGTTCAACCATAGATAGGTTTTAATGTCATCATATGGAAATGAGCAAAATTTCAACACACATGGAAACTCAATATTTTATAAATTCATTTTCAAATGTAAGAATTCATAGAAAAAGAATTGCTGTAAAATATGTGGTTAATGTTGCATAAAGCAAACAATACGTAAAGTAAGCAACTGACTTGCAAACAATGACAACTTGCAAACAACTGACTTAAAAAGATGGGTACATCAAACAAGTGAAGTGGTACAATTGTCAAAGTAAACAACCAACTTTCAAACAACAACTGAAGTAAACAAATGAGTTGTAAACAATGGGTAAAAAATAACCAACTTACAAACAATGACGGAAATAAAAACGAGATTTGTAAACAATGGGTAGAGTAAATTAGTGAATTGCGTACAATGGCTAAAGTAAAAAACCAACTTGCAAACAACGACTGAAGTAAACAAATGAGTTGTAAACAATGGGTTAAAAAAATAACTGACTTGGAGCAAATAATATCTCTTTTTGCAAGAAAAACAGAAATCTTAGATTTCTTTTCTTGCTTCTATGTTTTAAGTTTGACACTCATCTTACAAAGCCTGGATGACAAAACAAAGTCGAATGTTAAATGGCGTCATATTTGAAGGTTTGTTTTTGCTCATTCGATTTCACTCGACTCTTGATGTACTTCAAATCTGGGAATACTAAACCAAGTTTCAACTTCAATTTCATGGCGGAGAAAACATATTACTTTTCTCAATACTTTAAATATGTTTAATGTCATTAATAATGGCTTACACTTTAGAGAAATTAGTATAACAACTAGTTTTGTTATCTTTCTAGATATTGTCCAGTATTTTAGCTGAATTTTATCTAAAATGATCTCAAAACCATTTCTTGAACAATTTGTCTTTTCATTATGTGAAAACTCGAGTGTTTGTAAGGGTCTTATAATAAATTCCTGTTTGCAGCTCTACTTTTTCCTTGCAATTTTTTTTTACAGAATGGATTTACTTGTAAAGATATCTTTTCACTTTTAGGACTATTCTATGTAACTTAAGAATTTCAACCTTTACTCAATTGTGTCTTCTCCAATGTCAGTAGTTCCTTACATTGTTTATAAATGTGTTCATGCTGCTAGGCATCAAATATGAAGGGGATGCATGTCTCACACAAGGGTCTCGTATGGAACCACTCAGGTTTTATTTCTCATACATAAATACCCCTCTGATGGGGGGGGGGGGGGGGTAAGGGGAAACTCATTTTTGATTGATTGTATTCTTATCCATGTTAAAAAGTCAAGTATTTCAAAGTTGACTTTGTAACAAAAATAAAGAACAAAGAATCAATTCTTGATTACATCAGCTACAATGTTCAACATTGTGACCTTTCAATAACCACCAGTGATTCTTCTTAATTAAGTTCATCATGATCATGTTCAGATGTTTACAGTTAAGAAGATAAATTATCATTGAACTCAGTAAAAAAGTTGTGTCAGCATAACTTGTATGCTATCAGCTGTGACAAGTATTCATTTGAGAGCACTCGATTACCAGTTGCCAGTACTACCACTAACTGTGCACTTAACAAGTACATGACTAATGAATTCTAACTACATGTAATAGGTTATCAAACTGTTTAAATTCTGCAAGCTTGCAATCTTTCCTCCTACAACTTTCTAGGTTGATGGACTTTGGATGTATTTCAATTGTACTTTGAACAGCATTCAACGTGCATCTAGGGTATTCTGATGACACATGTCAACATGCTCATATACATTTCATCACATCAACATGATATGGAAGTTTCTTCTTTAATTACAAACAAACAACTCTCAATAACAAAAAACTATCCTATAATTAATCTACCTGATTCACGTACATTAAATGAAGGTTAATTAAATGGAGTTGCTACACCTATCTTTGGGAGACAATGTTTTATGTGGCTTGTTGATTTTTGCATTTTTGCAAGTTACGCATGACGCAAGTTACGCAAGTTTTTTTGCATGACAGAATATGTCATGCAAATACATATTTTACCTGATTATTGTAAAGCAAAAAATATTCCTGTGGAAAAACTTCCAAAAAATGATCACTGATACAGCACAAAACCGAACGCCCCCCCCCCCCCGTTGACAGAAAACGAGAGAAATTTTGAGGTGTCCACAGTTTGGTTATATGAAATAAAATTTGAACCAAGGTGATGAAAATGTGGCCAAGGTGTTCAGGTTTGGACCAAGGTGTCCAAAATTTGAACAAAGGTGTTAAACATTTGTCAGTCACTTATGTTAGATGCTCCCTAGTTGACAGGCCTGGACCTGATCTAATGGAGATTCCTGATTTTAGTCTACCTCATTTTTGAGATTTTTAACTGGGAATTGAAGGAAAAAGCTTACGATATTTCAATTCCCTAATTTTAATTGTCATTAGTTCCTTACCAATGATAACTTGATCTGCCTTGAAGTGTATTATGTATTCATGATGATTAAAGTGTATTGCATTACTGTAAATGTCTTTTAATTTGGCAGATGGGCAAATCTTGAACTTTTAAATGTCTGCCACTGAGTGATTTCTTATTTTCTCTTTCAGCTCCTGATCATAACTTTTGTAGTTACTTCGACCTCATTTGCCATACCGATCATAATCAATTGTATAACTCCACAGCTCACCACTGGTATCCGATTGTTTTGTCTGAACCAGCAGTGACTCTGTAGATCTTAGAAATAGTTTAAAATCCACATTTATCCTTGTTTGTTCAGATTTTCACAAAAGTTTTATTGTGCAAGGTAACACATGGAAAAGTCACTAGATGAAAATCCCCACTTTTTTTCAAAAAATTGGAAATTCAATTTGACATTTTTTATCAATACGCCAAATGAAAACAGCCAACAAATTAAAGCAATTTACAGTATTACAAGAGTTTCATGTGACAGTGAGGAGCAATGACATCATTAATTTAGACCTTGTCATTTGCTTTGCTATTGAACTAATAGACTTTACACTTGTAAAGTTGGCATTAAGGCAATGAAAAAATATTTAAAGCTGTCAAAGATAAATATAGAACTGCTTGGTTTCTGAACTTGCATCTTTCCGAGAGCTAGGTTATAACAGCAATTTGTCTACAGTGAATTATTAACACAATAATGTCCTGAGAAAATGATAAATTTATCATGTCCACAATGAGGTAATAAATGTAAATGTTTGTGATTGTACTACAAATAGATAGAAATTTTTGTTTTTTAATAGCCTAGAATTTTTGTTATATGAAAATGTACATGTACATGAATGGGATTGTCAACACATTGTAAACATTAATACCATACCTACTTAAACTTATGATCTTTGAAAGGAGATTAGCCAAAATGTTGCATCATACTACACATATACAAGATTTTATTCATATGTCCATTTATCAAAAAAAGGACACTTAAATATTAAATATTATTAATTTGTAAACCTATAGGGAAAATCCCTTAAAGAATAAGATGGGATATATAAGGAATGTAAAATATTGGAAGTACATGTAATCTTACTTATTCTGAACTTATATTCTGAAAAAAGAATTGAGATATCAAGCATCATTGAAGATTTAAATTCAAATTCATTAATGAATTGAAAAAGAACATCCTGTTTTTGATTTGGTGTCAGAAAAGGTTAAACCTTAAAAAAACCTGAAATAAGGTCAGAAATGTTGGACCTTTTAAAAAATAGGGAGAGATGGCATGAAATGATGAGAGCAAAAACTGTAAAATAGTTACTCTCTAACACTCTTCATCCTTCTCATTAGTATATAACCAGAAGAGGTGTATACATTACCTCTCTCCAGAACAATTGGGGCATTGGGCCCAACGAGCATTGCAATGGCACCTGCCCCACCAGTAGGTCTGGCACTTCCTGATGCATACACAGCAATGTCTCCAGTCACAACCAAGGCATACCGACCTGAAATACACATGCCATAATAGAATTAGCTCAAAACTTGGTGATGTCAGGGTCAATTATTTTAATCTTTAATTCTCATAAATTGCTGAAGTATGCAAGACTACAAGATGGTCCAACAAGTGATTATAAAATGAAGATAAAATAAAATGCATTCTAAGAAGTTTAGGCTGACATTGGTTGCCCTTTAGATTAAATTATTAGAAAATAATATTAAATATTACCATCCCATGAGCTTGACTCGACCCAGTTGAATGCATTAAAGAGAGCTGCAGTGCCCCCATAGCAGGCATTAGTTGTGTCAATTCCTTCAATATTACTATTGCCACTGTCCTCAAATAGCTGCATAAGACATGTCTTGACACTCTTAGACTTGTCAATGATGGTCTCAGTGCCCACTTCCAGGCGTCCTATATCTTTATAGTCCACATTATTCCTTTCAAGAAGCCTTTGAACAACTGTTAAACTCAAAGAGTTGATATCCTCTCGATCAGTGCAAAAGCCCATATTTGTTTGGCCGAGCCCAATCGTATATTTCCCTGTTGATACTCCATCAAATTGCTCGAGTGCACTCTGGCTGACATACTGAGAAGGAAAGTAGACCTCCAGGGCAATGATACCAACATCATGGGGCCAGCCATCCCTCTCTAAGTGGTTGGGACTCGGCATCTGAAATAGAGAAAAACGTTGATTGAGTTTACCACAGACATGAAATATAAATATCTTAGTATAATAAATAAAACAACTATTTTCAAAAAATGAATTATTCCCTCTTAATATCTTACCTTGCAATATGCAGTACTCTCAAAACGAACCTTTTACGTATAATTCAAATATGACATTGAATGATCAAATATGAGATTGAATGAAACAAAGCTGACTTTGTACATGGCATATTGAATCTTCTGTTCAAGGTAAGGCCAATTTCCTTCAAGCCATTTCCTTTCCAACAGGCATATCAGGTTCTATTTAAGGTGATATACACTTACCATTCTTATTTGAAGTAAGATGCTCTAATACACACTATTACATAGATATGTTTGACAACGAAGGAATTAAACAAATTTATCCTAACAGTCAGCATATAGTATTTGATTGGATCTTACAAACCAGATTGACACAATAATTTCTCAACCAACAACTTTTTGACCAATGTACAAACAATATTTGTTCTTTTCATACATTTGATTATAAAGGTTATCAATAAACTGCCAAATGTCAATACATTTATGTTTGTGAGCAATGAATATTTTCAATGGATTTCAATGATTTGTTTTTCACACAATCTTTAAAGAAATGCTAGTAGAATGTTGATGAGAACAAATTTGTTAAGAAAAGGTGACTAACATCTCAACAAGGACACAATTTGAACAAATATTCTTTTTGACCTATTTACCCTTTTAGTTCTCTGAAGTCAATGCCTCTCCGTCATAATCATATCTATAGACACGGAACTAAGTTCATGTATACATTTTTATAGATATATATATAAATATATATGAGCCTGTGGCAGTTTTTAAACAATTTCTTTCTTGATAAGTAACTCAAAAATCAAATAGACCTTCACATATAGTATTATAAGGTATTCTATTATCATTCTGTGGCCATTCAGAATACAGATGCATTGTTAATAAATGAAAACTCAAATGAAAAGGGAAAACATTGACCATGAAAGTGTACCATACATGTATGTGTCATAATAAGTTAAATTGGTGTTCTTGAGATAAAAAAAATGTTGATTTGCTCTCTCAGATGTTTTAAGGTAATTGTTAGGAACATGCCATTTGTATTGTTTGCTAACCTTTAACACTCTTATCCTTTGCATTCCCTTTTATACTCATGTATTGATTAAAGTTAGAGATGAATGAAAGGATATTTTAAGAACATTTAAAAATGCCACAAAATATTAAAAATCTATCCAATATATAATTGTATTCAGAGTTTGTCCTATGGATTTTCAAGCCTTACATTAGGTTTTGCCCTATCTTCATCTATATTATGTAATACATGTATCTAACAAGACTTCAGAGCAAGGGATAGCTGGATTGTAAAATCCAATCTTCCATGTAGGGGAAAGTGATCTTAAAATCCAACCTTCTTTCATCTTGTATATGAGAAAGTGATCCTTTGGGAGAATAACAACTTAAAATTTCTCCATTAGGACACAAAAATCTTTTAATACACAGGTCCATCGTATGATCTGTAAAATGAAGCCCCCTGATTGGTCAGTTCTTGTGCTGTACCAAACTGTATTGCTCCTGAGATTGTCCCTGTTGATCATCTCCGTCGCAATACAGAAAATATTGGTACGGAGGGGACATAGCAGTAGCAATACAGAGGGTCACACAATAAAAATGTTATTTAATGATTTGAAGCGCCTTCGTCTCGTTCCAATACAGAATTTCTCGAGCAGAATATATCCTGTATTGCACTTCAAATTATTCAATAACTTATAATGGTCTGATATCTGTGACACAACAAGGCCAAAACCAAACAATAAATAAGTATTTATACAATAATATTTGGGAAAATAAAATTCAATGGTAACTTACATGTACCTGTGTAGCCATTTTGTCAAAGGTAGAAGTTCATACCATATAAATAGTTCGCATAGACTTTGATGCATAAGCAGTGATTGCAAGGCATTTTATAAGGCCATAATCATATCATCATAAATTATGTGTACATGATTTCACTTTTTAGATTATACAGGGTGGTCCAAAAAAAATTGGAACGTTTGATAATTGAACTCAAAATCATTATTTTTTCTCTAAAATGCACCAAAATTTTAGTGAGTATTGTTCAATCACTTATTTATCTGATGTAAAGTTTATAGGTGCAAACAACAAAGTTAATGCATTAAACTAGAGAATGTTTGATATGACCCTTTTTCTCCTGAATTACAAGTTGAAGCCTGCGACTCAGTTTTGAAATGATTCATTCACTTTGCTGTTCATTTGATTTTGTCCAAGCCATCTTAATAAGAAATTCAGCTTGAACAAACTACTTATATGTTTGCCTTGGAAGATCAAATATATGAACATATTCAACATTTTTTTTACAAAAATTGAAGGGTATCAAGCATATTTTGATGGCTATTGTTGGATATCTTACTGATTGAATATTCTCCAGAAAGAGGCCAGGGCAGTCTGTTTTGAATGGTAAATGAACCCCCCCCCCTTCTTGTTCTAATATGAATAATATTCATTGAATATATCAATATATGTATATCAATATCATAAAGGAGTTTCCCAGAACCCAAATGATATATATTATATTATATTATGTGTGCTTAGAGATGGTCTTTAGTAAAGCCTTGTAAATAACTAGTCAGTTTCCCCTCTACTGAAAAGTGGAAACAATAATTTTGTCAGTTTAGTAGCTGTGTGCGGGTTATGCAATCACTCACCTCTGACATGTTCTTTCTTTCCTTCTCTTAAATAAAAATAATGATTTGGGGTATTCTTAAGTTGACAATACTAGTAACACAGTAGTTTTCCAGTAAACCATAGATTTTAATACCTCATGATTTTATAAAATGTGTATAGCAATCAAGATGTTCATTAAAGCTTTGAAATAAAGGATACTTGAAAAAGTAGCTGCGAAATTGACAAGTGTATATTTAAGAAAAGGGGGTCATATCAAACATTGACTGGTTTAATGCATTAACTTTGTGGTTTGCACCTATAAACTTTACATCAGAGAGATAAGTGACTGAACTATCCTCAGTGAAATGTTGGTGCATTTCAGAGAAAAAATAACGATTTTGAGTTCAATTATCAAATGTTCCAATTTTTTTGGACCACCCTGTACATTATCCACAGCTGCATAGAATTATCTTAAATTATTTTTTGAGAGGCATTTTATCAAACTGGTTTTGATAAATGACAACTAAAAATATGGAGCAGAGTTCTGAAGATTCAATACATCTTGTTATTAATAGTTTTCAAAATTTGTCATTAAAGGGCAAAATTATATTTTTTTTTCATTTCCTACTAAAAGTATATTTCCAAACCTGATGTATAAATAAAATATGGGGGTTGAATTTTACTAGATTGAGTTTTACTGGAGTAAATTTTTACTGAGTTGATTTTTCCAGGATTGAGTGATATCGTGATAGTGGCTTGAGTTGACTTATAGTTGAGATGACTTGAGGTTGATATTGTTGATTCAGGATAAATTAACATTAAAACATTATTGAAATGCGTTTTTGCTTGTTGGGTGAGATGTTGGCATGGTGGATTTGAACTGATTCATGACCTATCTGTGATGGCCATCCCTGGTCGGAGTGGTGCTGCAGAATGTAAAATTGTTTGAATAATTCAGAGGTTGGTTCAGAACTAAACTCTACCCCAGGGTAAAAAGGAATGTCAGAAAATACAGGTATAGTAAAGCAAATGATTCAAGACAGTAGTATATTTTACCATGGCTATACTCTGATAACAAATGTAACATTTCTCATTTAAAATAATATATGTTTTCTTCATATTTAAAGTCCCTGTGTAAAGTTTGAAAAATATGTTTTTATCATTCATTTTCAAGTTGTCATGACTTTAATAAAAGTTATTTTAGAGATTTTTGAAAAAAAATAGAAAAAAGAGTTGTCAGCTTTTCATTTCTCAAATATTCAAATTTCCCGCCATTTTTCAAAAAAACTTTGAAAGTTTTTAATCATCACACATTCTGCCATACATTTCAAAAAAGATTATCTTTTTAACACCAATGCAAAGATTGGACAAAGTACTTACTATTTGAATAATAAAATGCCATAACTAATGTGCCACTTCAATGTTTTAGCATATCAAAAATATTTTGCAACCTAAGTGATGTCATCATGACTCACTCAGGTGGCAAAAGTTTTTTAAAAAATTCAAGATTTTATTTTTCTCTGTCAATCTTTTCTAAATGTGCTAAACTTCAAAAATAAAGCAATGTTGATTGTCTAACCAGGTTAAAAGGAAGAATATATTACGTTTAATATATCATTGTACCATTGGTTTCTATGAGAACTAAAATTTTGAAATGCATTTTCCCTATATAACCATTTTCATGCATTGATAAGTTTATTTCTCGCTTAGTTATGAACCAATTTTCTTAATTTTTCGGCAAAAAAAGGTGAAGGATGAATGCTAGGCATTGGTATGAATTATTGCTTATTAAAAGATACGTGTGACCTCTAGGAGTTAGTTTTAAATAAATTCACGATTTTTCACAAGTCCTTCAAAAACCACTTTTGGAAATTAAATAAAAATGTTTCACATATGACACTTTGATAACATTGGGTAAGACTACAATAAAACAGTATAAACCAAAGTGGTTAAACTTTATATGAATCTTTTCTCTGCAATAATAAATGAGTAACTTCTGAAAAAGAAAACAGTGTTGAAATGTTATGTAGTAGAAGATATATCCAAATAGCGTCATTTTTTCAAGTTTACTACATTGCTAAAATGTCACTTTGAGTCAAATTGAAGAAATATGGGGATGCTCAGAACGCCATGAAATGTTTGTTTTAAAAGGGGTTTTAAGTTTTATAGATTTATTCTAATAACGTTTCACAAAATAACATAACTCAAAGCATGGGCATTCAACTAGAGTAGTTGGGCATTCTGAGAAAAAAACATTCTGAGCTTGCGCGGAAAAAAATTTGGCCATTCAACTAGAGTAGTTGAATGCCCATGCTTAAAGGCATCACGCAGAACCATAATTAAAACTACAATGCACAAAGTAATGTTTATAAAGGTCACGATGCATGGGGAGGCTTCATGAATGTCTGCACGTGGCTTCTGAATTTGTTTTCACGTTTCTTTCCCACTCAAAATCCACTAAAACATCCCTTTCCATATGAACACTCATATTTTGACCCCTCCCCTAAAACATTATACAAACATTACTTCCAGCCAAACATTACTTCCAGCCAGAGCTACAGATGTATGTGGATTTTGATACAATAGCTTTCCCACAGTGCACTTGGACAGCTGAATAATAGTGACTTTTAAAACATGAATGATGAGATTGGCAGCTTACTTTTGGTCTCTAACTGTGTCTTACATCAGTACCATCATCAATCCGTGCAAGTATTGGAGCACTGAAATTCTTCTTTTTCGATCAAGACTTGTTAATTGTTCATTGAGTGAATGTTTTTTTCAACCCATTTCCGATATGGCGGTTTGCTAGGAGCAAGATACGCAACGAACGAAATGAATTTTAAGAACGAGTTAGACTCGGACAACCTCCGGAGATTTACGAAAAATGTCGGAGCAGAAAACGCCATATTGGAATTTGGCAGGAAAGACATTCACTCGACTAACAATTACAAGTCTTGATACGGAAGGATGATAATGATGTATGACATAGTATTGGTTAGAGAACAAAAGTAAGCCGGTGATCAACTTAATTCGTGTTTCAAAGGTCACTATTATTCAGCTGTCCATTTCTCCGTTGGAGAGCTATAAGTTTCAAAATCTAACATGGCTCTCGATTCTCGAAGTGAGTAAACCAAACCCTTTCCATAGGCTATATTGAAATACTGGTCGATTTGAAAATAACAGGTCCCTACTTTATGTGCACAAGCCTAGAACTTAGAGATAGGCTAGTTTTACTCGAGTCTTTAGCTTACGACCGAAGCAAGGCTAGTTAAAGAGAGACAATACTCCATTTTTCAAAATCTGGGATACCCTGTACGTCCTACACATCATAGGCCAAGAGTAAAGTAATAGTAAGCCGTATATAGAAGAGACTGTCTCTTCTATATACAGCTTACTATTACTTTTCCCTTGGCCTATGCTACACATGTTCTACTTTTTTCAAGGCCTGACTGCGTCACTAACATGCTAAATATAAGAGTTAGCTGACGTTTGGGAGTCTGACTTACCTTCTAAAGGTTAGAACCCGAATCTTAATGAAACCATATCACCTGTGTTGCGTCGATGATGATGCATAAACATAGCATTTGATAGAAATTAGCGTAAATGCTTTTCCGACTTTTTCATTTTTCATCAATGTTGACTTCCGGGAAGGCGTTGTAGTTATCAAGAAATAACGCATTGACCCTTGAACTTTACTTTGTTGACGTGTCAACCAAGCATGTCTGGTGTGAAAATTAAAAGAATATTAAGCAATGTTCTACATCCGCCAAGCTAAGTGAAGTAGTCAATATTTAAAATTACCAATTTCAAGTGAAGTACGCAACGAACGAAACTGCGTGATCTACACTCCCACTATTGGTCTGAATGAAATGCTACGTAGAAATATGAGCCGTCTGCTGTATTAGTCGATTAATAGAGTAAGACCTGTTGGTGATGCTTTATAATTTAGACCAAAACATTGAAGAACAAACGAACCTGTAAATCGTGAAAACAACGAACAAATATTCGGTTTTCACATATGTTCGGTAATTTTTCGTATTGAAACTTCCGGAATTTACAAGGAAATCATTCATTTTCTCGATCCATGATTTACCTCTTGGATGTTGTGGCAAATGCTCCATGGTTGACGGAACAAAGGTGATATGGTTTCATTAAGATTCGGGTTCTAACCTTTAGAAGGTAAGTCAGACTCCCAAACGTCAGCTAACTCTTATATTTAGCATGTTAGCGACGAAGTCAGGCCTTGAAAAAAGTTTTAAGCTTACAGTATTCCAGCACATTATTTAATGATACAGATTCACAACAGCACTGGTACATGTTACTGTACATATAATTCCTGTTATTATATGAACCTCCCAATAAGTAACATTTCTAAATATTTCAAACAACCAAGAATAAAAAGATCTAACAGTGTTAGGGTAAGGCACAAACATACACTCAGAACCCGGAAGTAACATTTTCAACAGAAGACGAATTTTTACTTTTTCATTTCGTCAATGCAAGACAAAGACGAAGCTTTAGATAAAATAATACCATTGGTGTACTAAAATAAATATCAAAATACTTACAGTCGATGTTATTAATGACCATTGATGGCAGTGAGGGGTATAATATTGATAAAAATAATATTTCAACACATTTCTACTTTTTCTGAAAAGAGCTACTGGGTTACGCTAAAATAATATCAGCGATTGGTTGTTGTCAATCCAAGTAGCATAAAACGTTTGACATCGCCATAGGGCCCCTGCTGTACTATGATGAGCGTCCGAACTTCAGGTGGTGGTGTGCTGGTGCTTACTAATAATTAATGTATTATAATACATTTATATTCATTTACATTAGACTTGCATTGTAAGAAAAACAGGTGACACGGTGATTCTGAAAATACTTGCACTCCAGCCCCCCTCATCATCCGATCACAGGGCCCGGGTCACAGGGCTTCAAAATCCAGAACTTGATATTCTTTTTCGATTGGTGTTTTTCTTATTTTTGACATTTTAACACAAAAGATCTAATTTTTTTAATCAAAAGGTCTATTTAAGTACAAACAAATATAACCTACTACGGAACCGATGAAGACAGGGTTGGGGAAATCGCCTTCCGGCATTTCATGTCCCCAAACATCTAAATCGGGATTCAATTCCCCGGCAAATGTAAAAAATTAGAAACCCCCAAATCTAAGCCACATTTAGGCTATGGGAGATTTTACATTACCTAGCCTATATCTACAGTAAGCTTGTGAATACAGTGACATCAATATTCTTGCTCTACGACCGGCGTCCATCGGCTTATTTTGCGATATACATGTAATAACTATTACCTTAAAGCGGGTAACTTTAGTCGCCAGGAGAAAATACCCCAAAATGTTTCAAATTGTTCAATTTTCCACGACATTTAGAGTAAGTAATTGATTTTGTTAATCATGTTTGCACTGATCAGTATGGCAGTCGATACTTTAATTTTATTTTGAAGGCGACGTTTATTTTTTCATGAACATGGCATGATAAAGCTAACGAGACAACTACGAAGACGAAGCTCTCTTTTAAGAAGTGAACTCGAATGAATGCAAATTAGGGTAACTGCCTCACTGAATTTTACAGAAACATGATTTGTTATAATTGAAATGAAGTCCAGGGATAGTAATTTAGTTTGGTATAATAAATATAACTTATTTCTGTGTCACAAGAATTTATAAAATCAATTTGAAGATTTTAAAGGCATTGCTTCCAGCCCGTGTCGGCTTATAAGACACCAATTTAGTAAATGTATAGCTTAATAAATTATATTCAACGACCAAAATGAGATTAGATAAATGTAAAACAACCGTCATATACATTAAATTCATTGCATTTGTCCTTTCCATCTACTAAAAAAGACATCTTTCCCATGCCGTTAGGTAGATAAGTGGTTGGCCTATGTACCGCGCCGGCCCCTTAGGATTCTCCCATGTCACCGAATACACTTACAATATTCTTATCTCAGTGATTCTTTGCCTCGCCTTTTAGTTTTTCAAATTAATCAAGGGCCATTCTCAAAAATAAAAAGCTCAGTAATCACCAAGGAAATACAAGATTTTTTTTGAATTGCAATTCAACATGCAGCGCAGGGCTATGGGGACAAAGATTTTTCATATTTCGAGGAGTGTTTGAAATTGTACCATAAAATTGTGGGGTTTTGGGCGCGGGGCGTTTGGCGTTGGGTGCACAGTTGTTCGACGACCGAAGTTATTTTCTTCTCGTTAAAATGACATACAAAAACGCAATGAGAACGGCGGCAACTATTTGTGATACAATACCGCGATAACTTGTAACAAAATACAATATAATGTATTGCATAATAGAATAAAATACTACACAGTATGCATGAAACGACCAAATACCCACGATCGAACACAAAAAACAAACCAAGGGGCTCAAGATGAACTTTATAAAACGAGATGTTGCATGCAGGCTACAACCCATTCCATTGCGAAACAACAAGAAATAGATCAACAACATAAACGTTGTTGATACCAGATTGACCTATCAAAATGTACACATCAATACAAACACAGATATGCCACTAGTAATCATCTGGTAACACTGTGACCAAATCATATCATTTTGATTATCAATGTCTAATTGAATTATAAATCAGCTAAAGGTTGTTTATCTATTAAGAGAACATAGAGACTTATCTAAAGCAGCTAGTGCCAGAAATTGACTTTTGGACTTAATTGTATGCGGGGTATACCTACTGGGGGTATATAAGCGAGCAGCAGCTTCATTTTACAGAGAGAGAGGAGAGAATACATGGATGCATAATGGCAACTAAAGGAGTTATTCTCCTAGCCGCTTTAGTGGCAGGAACTTTAGCAGGTAGGACAAAAATACTATTTTGTTACTTTATTTTATTTTAAAAACTTTATCTTTTATAAGCAAATGTTCTAAAATGTTTAACTTTTTTATTGATGACAGTTAATGTGTTTACATAGCAAATGTCGTAATTTTGATATGTCATATGAAATCAAATTTAGTTCAGATCATTCAAGGTTATTACTGTGTAGTACTTATGTTTTATTTAAAAACTGATATCAAGTTATCAGTGATATAACTATTTTTGAATGCATTTATCATTTGTGGTGCATCCAAACTGACACATAAGCCTGCTGAACGGCCTCATTTTCTCATATTGGTTTTTGAATGGGATTTGGAATGGTAGCTATCAGAAATTTAAAAAATAAAAATCGAAACTTTGTGCAACCATACATGTAAGTGCAAACGGAAAATATAAATTAGATTCTATCAAAGAGTACTTTGTCCAGAACATTTCAATTTGGAGATTTTGTCAGTTCCCAACACCGAGTAATATTTCCCTTTCATTTGCTTATTCTTCGTTTGATTTGCATTTTTGATTGTACGTTGTTTTCTGCATGGAGGTTATGCTCTACTGAGTTATGGTGTAGTTCAGGACTTAACAAACGACAACAACAATTTTTCGAGTTATCTGATGTAAGTCGTCATATAAGATAGCGAGTATGTCGTTGAAATTATATCCACTTATTTCCCGCAGTAGAATCCTTTTCTAGGAACATAAGAACTGTCAATGTGGAGTCGGTGTGGTGATACATTTCAGATTTTCTGTTTTTCGTGATTACTTTACTGCTATGGTTGGCTGCTTTGTTTGGTTCTTGGACTCTGTATATAATGTTTGCATTGTCTCTGACCTTGAGAATCAAGGAACAAATTCTTGATAAATTGCTTGGGACCTAAAACTAAACAAAGCCTAAGTTTTAAACTGCGCAGTGAGGTCATGGCGACCCCTTGTACCAGAAACTTGTTCCAGTATTTTGGCAGCAATCAGCTGTTCTTTTGGTAGAGTTCCAAAAATTACACTCTCCATCACATTAAAGTCCATAAAGTGCATTATGGAAGGCTTCGCCTCGAAACAATTGATGCACCTGGAGGAGGATACTTGTAAATCGAAGGTCCTCCAGGGTAGCCTCTTGGTGCGCAAAAGTTCTGTTTACATCGAAATGATCCTGTTTCAGTTACAACTGTGTGGCACTTTGAGTGCTTTAGTTGCATTACAGTTTACGGATCTTAACCCTCTTCATCCCTTGGACGAAATAAAATATTAAATAATAAGGGAGGGGGAAATCTTGTTTTTTCGATTTGTATAAGAAAACTTAGTTGTAGTTAAATTGCAAAGGGTGCTCATACGTTTCTCAAGTTCAGTTTCAAACAAATGAAACCTTGTCAATTAAGGTGTTTTTTGGCAGTATTTATTGTTTTTCATTCCGATTAAACCGTTTTTCTTTATTTTCAGTTCCAGTATCATTAGATCTGTTAGATGAATCCAAATGTTCGAGTCATTGTAAAGGTAAGAATCTAATATTTCATTCTTATTTTACGAAATTGACAAAGCCAATGGCGTTTTATTTTTGTATTGGCGTCAGGTCCATTTTCATTAGCATTTCCATTGTCTAATCATTGCGAGCGAGGCAAAACTCATCCTTCGTTTCAATGAGCGAATGAACAAAAACTATAAACATGTTCTATTTACCAATACCACAATCATACAATCCCCGGTGCAATATGGTTGCTTACCGTGTACAACAGGCAACACATTTTGATCATCGCATATTAAGTGCAAAAGAAACTGATAAAAATATGATCGTTTATCATCGTGTTCTCAATACAACAGCTGAGTTCAAATCTATGGTCTGATTTTAGGGCCACGATTAATCAATAAATCATTTTGCAATTTAATTTTTACACCTCTGACCTAAACATTGAATAATGTATATAACAAAATAAATTGATGATCGAGATTAAAAGAAAATGATTGATGTAAGCCTACTCAGTGGTGGTCATTTACCTGTATGTGTATACCTCGATAGAACGTAAGCCCACATCAGATACAAATCTGCAACAATCATCATGATAACTGCATCCCATTTGTCTTGATCTTTATTCCAAAGTACCTCTCGCAAACGACAGATAAGAGAGTTGAACGAGATTGTGCAACAACAGTTAAACCGACGACAAAATGACAAGTAGGTCTCTCATTCCTCCCGGGGTAGACCTACACCACCCGATCACTCTCAGCATCTTTTAAAATCGATAATCAAAATGCAAATAAGATGAATGAAAAATAAATAGGTTATTTAGGATCAGAATTACATTGCACTTTTGATTCAATTTTGAACAATACTTTCGAAATAAAACACGCAGCATCAGGCCCGTAGCCGGGGGGGGGGGGGTATTCTTTCAAAACCATTCAGTTTTTCTCTATTCTGAGTACTTTACATGATTTTGTAGCCAAAACTGACAAAAAGCTCCCCCTCCTTGGCAAAGGCTCCCCCTTCGTAAAACCGCACCCCTTGGTATGGCTACGGGCCCGAACATTGACTACTACTGCCTGCCTGATTACCGGTTGTTTGTCATTGACGCCGGTTGATGCAAGACCGACAGCTCTATACAAATCAACCAACTGTCGTCTGCTTATATTCGGTTCGTCGGTCATAAAGACCTTGGATTCCCAAAGGATAAAGGACACTTACATCAGACCTTAGAATGTCTGACATCAGCTAAATTCATGTCAGTTTGTCCCTCTTTCGTCAGAAAACCTCTTAAAGAGCCTGCATTTATCATAATTTCAACCATATTATAAGACACACAGCTGACATCACTACGTAAATACTTCAAATTGGTGACAAAGTTTGATAAAACATTCACAAACAAGTGTATTCTATTTGTTTCACAACATCAGTAATTTTTTGAAGTATACATTAATCATTGTAAATTGGGCAAGTAACAATCAGACCTTGGACAATTCAATGCAATAAATGTTACATTGGCTAAATCAATTGAGATTTTGATGAGAAAGAAATCAGAAAATCACAGAAATCTAGCTCATAGTCAACACATCCATGTTGTTGTCAGGCCACATAACTCTTGTTCATTGCATTGCGTTCTCATTATCGGTCATATTATATTCTTCGGCCTTACATTTACATCCAACGACCCTGCTGATATGATACTAACCGATCAGCAACATTTTGCATATAAACAGAAAACAGGATGTTGAGTTAAAAATCTGGTTTCTTTGAAACACGATTGCGCATCCGTTTTTGCTCAAAAATAGATTTTGCTGTTCAAAGGTATCATTCCCAATGACCGTGATGTGTTTATGTTTTTACCACACATTATCATTCAACATTTTCGATACTCTTATAATTAATGAGCAAACCAATTGATCTTGAATCGAGTTCATTGGATGATCAGTTAGGTTTATAGATAATGTGTATGTACATTGATGGCACATTAAGAAATTTCTCAACAAATAAATGTTCTTACTTATTTTTTTCAACATGTAATAACATATAAACTTACTTTTCACAATTTAAGGCCCAATTTTTAGTGTGTCGATATCATTCAATCGTGAAAACACAGGCCGATATAAAGTGGCAGCCAAGGTTTGTCTCTATATAAATGAATAAACAAACCCCTTCACAACACTGTCATCTTCTATCACCCCAAACCTACAGCTATGCATGAGAATTTGACCTATTTAATTAAACCCATATTTGCAATAAATTATTGATTGCCATATTCCTATTATTGGATCAGCAATTTTTTCATGGAATCTGTTTTCGTGTCGATCCTGGACCTATCTTAGAAACGTCCCACGGACCTCTATCCCCTGGACAGCAATCTTGCACCTTCACTCAAATCAGGGAATGCCATCTCGGATAGACGTCCATGGAAATCCCCAATTCATCCAATGCCAATACGATCTTGTAAATCTGCTTCAGGCAACCTTAAAATAATTTAGTAAATTAAAATGTCATTGATGGTGACATTGGTCGGACAGGACGCCCGACAGGACGAGAGAATATATGCAGTCTGTAGACCGGTAGATAGACATAGAGGCTTCTCTTTGTGTTTCAGAGAGTGTGAAGTTCCGGTATCAACCTGGTACTACATATAGCTACAGGTATGAGGCCGACACTGTCACAAGTGTACAAGGAGCATCTGAGGAACATTCCAGCTTACACATCCGGGCAACTGCAAACATTGAGGTCATTGAACCATGCGAGATGGTATTGAAGGTAATGATCATTGAATGTTTATAAACCGTGACATACTTACAAACATACTGAAAAATTAAATTGCAATAGTTCAATGTAAAAGTAATTAGACGATATTTCAAAACATATTCATGATATATTCATCTATACCATACATTAAGTTACTCATTGATTAATTATACAGTCATTAGTCAGTTCAAAATGGCTTTACAACAAAAAATAAGAGTGGCAAGCTTTATGACATTGACAAAACAAAAGGTTTGTAATTTGTATAAATTGGTAGAATATTGTCAAAGTTTCAAATATTTTGGCCAAGAGTTCTGTTTTGGCTCTTTGTATTTGACTTCTTGATGAGGTTAATGCTATTAAGAAAGATTAGTCGTTGTTGTCCTTATCAATTGTACTTGTTAACATCGACAATAAGTTTGCAAGCAGGGCCATGCAAACAAGGATATCTTCTCACTTTATATTAGACATGTTTTGACTATTAATTTGTAAACATAAACATTGATAACATACACACAATCGAAATAAACATTCTCAAAGACGAACTATGAATTTTCAATAATGGCGAAAACAATTCAATGAGCCAAATAAAATATCCAGTTTCAATCATATCAGACAAAATATATTTTCTTACGTTTTCTTATATTTACGAGGATATATCATAAAGTTCTCATAATATCTCTCTAATTTTTTTTTTCAATATATTCTGATGACTTTTTCACAGAATGTGTAGTATAGAATGCTGTATTAATCTATCAAAACATATTTGGTATATAAGAAATATTATTTAAGAAATGGTTGCCATAGTAACCCGAAATCAAGGCACCCGGGGCAAATAAAAAATTGTGCAAGAATAGCCCCAACTAACCATGTTTAAATGCATAATAAGTTATCAAATAAGCTATGAAATACATTAAATTGTTAAATGCCATGAGTTCTTGACTGTTTTGAACAATTATAATGGTCATGTGAATTGTGTGATCTCATAATGGATGATTGTAATGCTTCATTAGAAGTGTTGTTAGGTACTGCAACTGTTTTGTCAAATATTCCAAGGAAAGTCGATTTCCCCCTTTAGTTTATCTTAAATATGTTTAGACCACAAATAGGGGGTAATTTTGTTGATACATATTTGAAGAACAAATAACATATTTGTTTTAGATCATCTTTAGTATGATCAAAGAACTTTTCGAACTTAACCAAACTTTTTGTCAGTATGAATTTTATTTTTCTGATGATCTCTGCATCTATGCATTAACTTACTCTGTCATTTCTGATCATTAAGCTTTGATTCTCAGAGTCTGGTATCACATCTAATGAAGCATGTAAACATCCCCTAAGACAGCACATAATTCACATGATCAATTTATTTTATAGTAAAAGCATTTAACAACATATTTAACATAACATTTTAATGTGTTTGATAATTTATGAAAGTTTATTATGTTTGTAAACATGGTTAATTAAGCTCATTTTCTCAATTATTTTTATTTGCCCCGGGTGCCTTGATTTCCGGTTACTATGGCAACCATTACTTATTTAATTTTTCTGTTATACCAAATATTTTTTGATAGATTAATACAGTGTTCTATACTGCAGATTTCATGAAAATTTCATTAGAATATATATATTGAAAAATAAAAATATTAGAGAGATATTATGAGAACTTTATGTGAATAAGTAACTTATCCTAGATGATACCATTCCACGATTTACACTTTCGTACATGGTGCGTCACATTTTTTAATTTTTTTATAAGAATTTATTTATTCAAACTTAAAAGCAAATACCTAATTCCAATCACATTCTTTCACATTCATAGCATATGATGGTGTTTAAGAGTTAGAATGTATTGCCGATACATGGCTCTAATTTAATCACCTGGGATTAAAACACCTTTCATTAACGTTGTATTTCAGTTGACTGATGTGACACTAGAAGAATCCCATCCCAAAGATCTGAGAAGACGTAACCAAGTCAACGGTATGAGGACATTCAAGGAGAAACTTGAGCTGAATCCACTCAGGTTTGCCTTCCAAGATGGACACATCGAGGCCACCTGTGCCACAGAAGGTGAAGATGAATGGGCGCAGAATATCAAACATGCCGTGCTCTCAGCCTTCCAGAATGGAATGGATGATCTCGAAACTGAAGCAATGCTGGACGAAGTACGTCACATTCTTATAGCCATGAGATACTTATCATGAGTAATATTTGTAAAAATAAGGAGGTCTCATTTATACATTTTTTGAATTTTAGCGTTCGTTCTACAGATCGAAAGTTCATTGAACATCACATATTGAAAATATGAATCTCTAATTAGATATCCAAATACTCCATCCGTTGTTTAGTTTGCTCATGTGAAGCACGTGTTCTTGATATCACATCATCGTTATTGTCCTCCGAAGGAACTTTATATAAACGTCATTGAATTCACTTCAGGTCGACATAGCAGGGAATTGCCCAACCCACTACACTGTTAAAGAAAGTGAGAGCAGGGGAATGAAGACGGTGAGCAGGTCCAAGAACATACTTGAATGCTTGGACAGAAACCACCAACAAACATACGTTCAGGGTACTCCATATGACGCAAGATCTGTAAGCAAATTCATTTTTTACTACCGCATCTCCAATAACATTTTATTCAGCTTCCAGCTCATTATAATGCAAATAGAAGGATAGGAAGTTCAAAATCTTTCATCAGTCCATGTTTTTTAAACAGTTCTGACTGCTTCAGAATAATCCGTCGATTTTAAAGTTTATCGAAAAGAGAACATACTATTTTATCAAGGCTTTGTATAAAAAACCTCCTACCTCATACCCACCTACCCACGTACGTGGGACATGATACAGTCTTTGAAGGGTTCGATTTTAAAGATCTTAGTTTATTAAATCTTAGTTTATGATGAACTATAGATGCATCTGTAATGACCCTTGATAGCAAGTTGCTACTACATCCCAGCTGGGTTCGATTCCCACAAGGGGCATCGAATTTAGAACACTTTCTATCAATTTCTTTATCTGGCTTGTTGGATCTTTGCTCGCGGTCGTAAGTTATTTATTCCCCTGGGGCGCCCTCGGGTCATTACACATTAAAATGCATCCATATGCCTTTATTTATGGATCTGTCATCTCTGTAGTCATAAAATAAAACCGGAATTGTAGAAATGTTAATAATTTGAGCTATTTTGAGATTTAATAATCTTTCAAATTGAACCCTTCAATGACTGTATCATGTTCTACGTAGGTGGGTAGGTGGGTATGAGGTAGGAGGTTTTTTATACAAAGCCTTTTATCAATTCTAATTAATATGGATATCTTTGCATCTTCGATCTTCTAATTTCAACAAACATCTCACTACCTTTTCTGGAAATATAAAAAGGATATAAGGGAATTATTTGCATTAAAATTGCTCCCAACATTACAGTCCCCATCCCTTCTACTTTCTTTTTAACTTCTGTAACTGAAAACTAAGATGATGACTCCCCTTGCAGCCACTGCAGTCAATGCCAATTCTGAAGAGCACTCACGAATGCGAGCAGATGATAGACGCATACGGCAAGCTTGTCAAGACTGCATGTGAGGAAATGCATATGTTTAGACCATTCTCCAATGAGAAAAGTGGCGCAGTTACTACAAGTACTCAAGTTCTGGAATTTACCAGAGAATTCCGAAGCAGAAGAACACCACTTGGTAAGTTTAAACGGTATTATCGGATAAATGGCCTGGGTCGAAGTCAGTTTGTCTCTTTTCATTTTCTTCATCCAATTTTTCGGCTTTCTACCGGACTACCAACCTGCAGGCATGAGACCAAGCCGGTGTAACTTAGTGTGTCATTTTCATATATTCAGTCTTACTGTAAGCTTATAATTCTAAATGTGTTAACAATACTTTTCCAGACAGCATCAACATTGTAAAGAGGACAAATCTGAAATTCAGCCACACTGAAGCACCCGAGGTTGAGTCTTCGAATGTGCGAGACGCCGAGAGCATTCTCAGAGACCTTTGTGACAAATCATCAGATGAAATCAGACCAGAGGTTCCATTTTTGTTCTCGAAGTTGGTCTACAAACTGAGGCAATTGGGGGCCGATTCCCTGGAGAGTGTACTTAACAGGGCCTCGAGAAACCCTTGTTCCAAGGCAAAGTAAGTTGTTAATGATCGTAGCAGATCGACAATACCACATAAAACTTTAAACGATTACACGCATAAAACGGTAGTCGCATAACGAAATCTTGGCATTTTCAGGACATTCAGGTAGTGAGATGTTTGTCGACAATACCACATAAAACTTTAAACGATTACACGCATAAAACAGTAGTCGCATAACGAAATATCTTGGCATTTTCAGGACATTCATGCACGAGGCTATCCCACTTCTTGGAACAACTGCCGCTGTAAAGTTAATCAAGAAAAAGATTGCAAGCAATGAGGTTGAGGAATATACTTCCATCTGGTTAACTATGATGTCACTTATTCCCAAACCAACATCTGAGATGTTGGGGGAACTTAAGGTAGAGTAGAAATAACTTGATACTTGTGTCAAACATTTCAGAAACCTCCCCGATAAGTAGAAGTATGATGGTTTGACACCCAGGTAATTCATCAATAAGTTTATAGTAACATCTCCAAGTCAGATGAAAAGAATTGGGAATAACCTGGGATTGACATAGTATATATACATTTAAGGTACAATAACACTAACTACCTATACATAGCTACATAAAATACATTGAGATATTTCTAATGGCAATATTCACATGACAGGAGCTACTAGATGTGCCTCAGCCAAGCCACAATGTCATGTTAGCCGTCTCAACACTGGCATTCAGCCACTGCAAGCACAACCCGACCTGTGAGGAAGACCCTAATGTCAGAGCCATCGTGCAAGTGTTTGAGAAAATGCTCAACTACAACTGTAAGGTGACTCCAGCCACTGAAGATAAGGTATAACTGCACTCGTCTAAATATGAAAATTTCTTCTTTTATTGTATACTTCACATTTACATGTTGTACCTCAAGGTATCTCAGGGGCCAAAAGTACACATAGTATTAATACATATCAGGTATTAATAAGTATTTGAATTCTCTATTTTTGTTGTGTAGGTTATCATGGCTTTGAAATCTATTGGTAACATAGGGATCAGTCTTCGACCAGCTAACCTGAACAGATGCGTGGCCAACAGGGACCTCCCAATCGCAGTCAGACTTGCGGCCATGGAGGCGTTCAGACGGATGCCTTGTCATGAAAATGTGAGTCAATGAAAATTACGATGGCTAACCAAATCAGTAAAAAGCATATGCTGATTTCAATTCATAATAACAATGCTTTAAATCCTCTTCGATTTGAAACACTTTTACCCAGAGACATATAAAACATGTAAAATATATGCCTCTGGTTTACCACAGGATACTTTTCAGATTTTATTTAGTTGTTCATGTGAGACTACTTTAGGAAATGATAACAGGGTTTTAAATAATTTGGTTCATTTCATTTAGGAGGTGAGATTCGACAGCTTGAAGGATATCTTCCGTGACGCCCAGCTTGATTCAGAAGTGCGCATAGGAGCCTACCTAATGATGATGAAATGCCCCACCCCAAGCATGATGCAAGATATCAGGTCTGGTATAGGTATTAATCAATCTGTCCTTTTTGTGACAATTTTATTTGTTACAAGTGACATTTATTCAGCTCGTTTTATTCAACCAAGAGTTTTCGGTAACTAAAAGCAGGTGATAAGTTTACTTACTAACATACCAAAGCAGGTTTTGAATTAGGTGAACATTGTTTATGGTAGCATATTTTAGGTTTTTGAGATACCAGGTATTTTGGAGGTGGGTTACTCCATATAAATTAACAATATACATTTATGTCAGTAGACACTTATCTAAACAGTTTGCTTTTATTGCTATCAGGTCCATCTTAGAAGAAGAGACAGTCAACCAAGTGGGTTCATTTGTGTGGACTCATCTTACAAACCTCATGGAAACATCGGCTCCATATAAACAGGACATACGTTCTATTGTGGAAGATGAACTCCTCAAGAAATGCTTTGATATGGACAAGAGGAAGTTTTCAAGAAACATTGAATTATCATTATTCAGTGAGATGCTTAACACAGGAGCCAACTTAGAATCCAACATTATTTGGTCCCAGAAGTCCTTCTTCCCCAGGTCTGCCATGTTGAATCTTACTGTTGATATGTTCGGTCAATCAGTCAACCTGTTCGAGGTCGGCGCAAGAGCAGAGGGTATCCAGCATTTCTTGGAGCAAATGTTTGGACCTGAGGGATATTTAAGTAATAAAATTCCTGATATTGGACCACGAAGGAACAAACGTGATGCCATCCGACCACAGAAAATCAACAAAGTAGAAGACAGGGTAAGCTTTGCATAATATCGTATTATGATGCGTACACACAATTTGATATAGTGTTCGAATATACAGTCACTACATTTACGTATAGTGAGTACTATTCGAAATATATCATCAGATTATGATATTACTAACATCCGGACGGATCATACGATATATAAAATATGAAATAGTCATTACAAACAAAACGCAAGCTGGACTTTTGTATAGTAAAGCTATAGAAGAGTAGAGGTATTGAAAGTGAGAATAATTTATTACATTTGTCACTTTTCAGTATGACTTTGTCGCCCCTGAGGCTAAAGCATCTGCTTACATGAGGTTGTTTGGCAACGAGATCCGATATGCATCTCTGGACAGTTCTGCCAAGGGGAAATTCAACCCACTCGACTTCCTTATCAATCTTGCTTCGGACAACACATACGAGTTCACCAAGAGTATGATGTTCCTAGACTCTACACATTGTATTCCAACCGTCACTGGTCTTCCATTGAAAATGGCAATTAATGGCACGGCGACTGTCAACTTGAAAGTGGGAGGCAAGGTCGATATCAGGCAACTATTCACGTTCCCCCCTAAATTCGACATTGATGGCTTCGTCAAACCAAGGTTTGTTCCAGCTGGTTTGTTCATAATCATCATAACATAGATGAAAAATAAACCAAATGATTGCTTGAGTGGTCTTTAGTAGTGTGGTATGGAATCGTGTTGAGTGTTGTAAACATTGCACATTGTATTCATTGTCATGATGATAGGAATAAGAGAGGAAAGAAATTGTAAAATGTTAGAAGCGATCTATTCAAAACTATTGCCAATCCTTCCAGTACAATGTCAATTTTTCTGAAAAGTCGAAATACCTAATCAAATATAGACTGGGGGACACCTTTTATATTTCTAAAAAGTTTTAACAATACATAAAGTCGGAAATGCTTTTTAGAAAATAGGCACTGAATGATGAGAGCAAAAAATCATTGTAAAATTGAGACAACTTCCTTGAACTTTCCTCCCAACTTGTCTTTATCTTTCCTAAACATTTACACAATTTTATATTGCAGTGGAGCTGTTGAAGTATCCAGCACGATGGGCGTTGATGCATTTGTTACAAAGACGGGATTGAGGGTGGTTTCAACACTCCACTCCAGTACATATGCAGAGGGAAAGATAGAATTGCAGAATGGCCAACTATTGAATGTAAAAGTCGATATGCCTAAAGACAAAATTGAAGTCCTAGATGTAAAGTAAGTCAAAACTAGGTTTATATATCAATTTCGGCTTTTAGCTCTTAATCATAAGTTTAGATTATTTTGACTCTGTGTTTAAAAATGGGGATTTCATCTGGGATAAATTGTTATCGGATGGTTTATTTAGTGACGTGCATGTAATTCATTATTCTCGATTAATATTCATCATTGTCAAATAAGGTCAGTAAGCCCCAAAGAATTGACAATTATACCTGGGGAAGAGAAACGGGCCATATTAGGATTAACCAACAAAACATATCAATAATATCTGATCACGAATGAATTTCAGGACAAGGTTCTACATACTTAGCTCTGATGGGGACCGTGAACAGAAGATGGTGACCAGCGGTCGTGTAGAGAAGGAAGGATGCACGGGGTCGACCCTTGTAGATGCTTTGGGTATTGAGTTCTGCTCCACGATCAGCTATGCCAATGCTTCTATGGTAGACGAGGCTCCATACTTCCCCCTTACTGGACCTAAGACCTTCACCCTGGTCTTGAACAAACGAGACACACACACATCATACGAGATGGAAGCAGGCTTCTCAAAACAAAAGGTTAATATACATAAGAAAGGATAAACTGCTTTTCTTGTATATAATACTTTAAAAGTCAAGTGTAACATTTTTAGTGAAATTTGGAAGAGTGTGTTTACCTTATTTTTGTAGCTCATTATTCAATTAATAAAGAAACAGGGCTTTTCTGGATCGACTGTATTTTATTTTACATTTACATGTATATCATCTTATTCATCTTACTTGATAATAAGTAATTCCTATGTATCCTTACAGGAAGGAAGTGGTAAATCCGCCAAAGATACCTATGTGACAAAGCTGTCATTTAACACACCAGGGTCCCAGGCTGATAGGCATCTCTCTACCGAGCTCATTTACAAACCAGAGGACAAAGCATTCAGTCTCAACTTGAAATCACCTTGGAAAAAATTAGATGCAAATGGTAAGGGATATAGCAGACGGAACACATTTTGCTTTATCTATCAATATTTGTAAAATTTCATTTAGAAGTAATGTGTCTACAGTACATTCACGATCAAGCCCATTCTCATTATGAATATACTTTTTTAAGTTGAAGATTGAAGCTGATATCGAAACAAACCCAATTCTTATTCAGAATAAAGTATGAAATCACATTTTGTTCTACTAGGTGAATATGTGAACAAACCCGACCTAAAAAGAATTGCATTGGAAGCTATGGTAGATGAGACTAAACGATACGCTGTTTCATCTGAGATGCAAACTACAATAAAGGGCGCCACAGTCACATACACGCCAAGCTTTGAACTACATATGCCAAACAAGAAAGCAATAACCGTCAAAGGTACAATATCTTGCCACCTTATAATAAAAATATCACTTACAGTAGCTCTCTTTACAGTTTGACATTTCATAAAAATATAAAGTAACCAGGAATCCAAAAAACATAATTTCAATTTTATAGATGAGATTAAAATTAGTACTGTACAATAAAGAAATCCAAAAGCATGAAGGATCAATATCGTTTGAAAAGCACAAGCAAATTAACAACCTGCGTATACTTATAATATATATGCCTATACTAACTATTATTCAGGTGAACTGATTAAGGTTGCCAAAGTCAAACTTGGCATGTACGAATTGAACGGTGTACTTGATGTGAACTCCCCGTACTTCAATGGTAAACTCACCAATAAGATCAGCAGTGATTCCAGAAAAGGTCTCAAGTCTATGGACGTCAAGATGGACTATGATGATAAGCGTGGAGGCAAACAATATGTCAGATTTGCAGGAAAGCTCAAGACAATTAACAATGCCAAAATCACAAAGTATACCGCAACAGGGTTAGTATATTTATTAATTGTTACTAAGAGTAGAAACTCATTGCTTTGAATCTATTTTCAAATTTTTATTTCATCAAAAAATAAAAGTACATTCTCGAGGGAGTTTTGTGTATCATTTAATATGAACATATCCCCTGAACATTTCCAGAAACAGCGTTATATCGCAATACCCTGAGTACAACGTTGGGTACATAGTTTCATCTGAATATAACCCAACTAACCTGAAAGGAAGTGCTGAAGTTAAATACGGAGCAAAAGCAAAGAAAATGATATCTTCATTTGAGTTTACCAGACACCCATCGGGCATACTAACAGGGATGACGGGGAAATGCAACGTCAAATGCGCATCAAAGGTAAGAATAAAGGCAATTCAAATTTTGTTCATAGGCTATATTTTGTGAACTTTATCCTTAACCATAAGCTTCGTGTAAAACTTCCATATTAATACCGCCATTCTCTTAAAATGCATGTACTATCATTAGATTTGGTAAACAAGAATAGTACTATTTCAATTCATACTTTTCTATGAGTTTTCATTGGGAATGAGGCAAACCAGGGAATATGGGGCTAAATTCCATTTTCATAAAAAGGCAAAGAGCCCTTTCACGAATATGGAAGTTAGTCTTCTTACAAAGCTTCCTTCCAAATTTTCGTCATTGTGAATTGTTATTGTAGTAATTGTTCCATCCAAATGATTCACGTAATACATGTTTCCTCACCAACAGGGTATCGATAGCTCATTCTCATTTGAACACAAGAAAATGGGTGACAAGATGGACTCCAAGCTAGATTTTGCCTTGACTCCAAGAAAGAAAGGAAGCATTGACAGTTCAATTGAATACAATCTTGATGACATGAAAGTCTTTGGAGACGTGAAGCTGACATATCCAGGAAGAGAGATGCGAATTGTGCATGACCTGCAAAGGCAAAGGCCAGGCCAGTTCAAGCATATCGTCACTGGACAATGGCAGAAAGGAAAAGAAGCTTCCATCTCTAGTACCTACCAAAAATCTGGAGATCAGCATGCTGTAGATTCGACCATCACTTCAACCTCTTACCCTGGTCGCGATATTAAACTTATGGGCAAGCTGAAACCAAATTTGAAAGACTTTAGTATAAACCTAGGAGGAATATATGATGGAAAGGGGTATGAAACGGACTTCTCTTACGAGACCAACCTCTGCAAGGGTGGACCATGTGCCTTCAAATCTGACGTGTCCCTTAAGTATCCAGAGAGATCATTTAGAGGAAACGTCGATGTGCTTCAAAGGGGGACCACGCATAATGTAAAGGCAGGTGTCTGGTGGGATAGAAAGAATGCCAACATTGACGGAAGCATCAGATACAATTCTCTAGTTGATCATGATGTTTCCCTGACACTCAAGTATCCAGGGCAGGAAATTAAGGTAATTAACCACAAGGATGTCAAAGACGGACGACATATTGCTGACACAAGAATTAGTTGGGATGGTGAGAGGAAAATGTTTGCTGTCACGTCAGATTTTGGCTACGAACATAGTAGTTGGTATCACAGCAGCAAAGCTGATGGCAAAATCACAATCAGGACACCTTACCCCAATTTTGAAACTATGACAACAGAGGTTGGCTACGAGAAAACCACTGATACAATCAAAACAAACGGTGCATTTGAGCTTCCGAGACAGAAATTCGGATTTGATGTGGACCTTGAGAGGCGACGTACTTGGAAGAGTGTCCGGGGAGACATAACAATCACTATTCCCATCCGTCAACTAAATCCTTTGGAACTCTCTTACGACCATTCACTCACTCCTAATTCCCTAAATGTCGAGGTAGACACAAAGTATGGTAACAATTTTGCAAAGTTCAACTTAGATGGCACCAAAAATGCACGAGGTTACTATTCTTATGGGAACTATCGTGCAAAGGCTGCTTTGACCACAAGTCATCGGGGATTCGAAAAGAACGAACTTTCATACACAGTTCGATATGAAAAAACAAAGTTTTCAGGTGAAATCTCAGGACTTTGGGGAGTCAATCAGAAATCGGTCATTAACGTGGACCTACTATATCCAGGCAGTGGATTGATTAATGTTCAGGGAAGTGTAACTGCAGCGACGCCATTTTACGACCAAATAAAAGTTGCCCATAAGCTAAATGTACAGGACGCCAGTATCGATACGCTTCTAGATGTCATTGTTGGCCGTGAGAAAAAAGTCAGCTTTAAACTCAATGGAGACATCGATAAGAGAAGGGAAGTCAGTTTAAATGGACAAATGGATCTGACAACAGTCTTCAAACCTGTTAGAGCAGTATCTGTAGCCCTACAACATAAGCATGATTATCGACGTGCTCTGACCTTCGACTCGTCTCTAGTATTATCACACCAGCTTGATGAATATAGGAAGATCAAAATTGAGACTGAGCTCGCCAAAAACCAAGGTTTTGACGTAGAGGGAAAGATGCAGTTCACCAGTCCTTTTAAGAAGTTTGAGTTTGTTAATCTCGAAATCACGAACAAGAAGATCAGGGATACCTACACGACAAAAGGTGAAATGAAATTGGGCCCGAACACCAAGGTCAACATCGATTCGGAGCTAAAAATACAATCCATTGAAGATATGTATGGTCAAGTGAGATTTACCAGCACCTTTAATAGGTTCCAGCGAATAATAGCCAGCGCCACACATAAGAAGGACGGACGTGCATGGAACTCAGAAATCAATGTAGAATATGCACCATCAAAGAAAATTGAAGTCACTTCATCATTAGAAACCAGTCCGATAAAGGCACGGTTAGAGGTTAAGAGTCCATTCAAGGAAATGAAAAATGTTTTGCTCAGTGTTTTCCTAGATGGGAAGTTAAGTGACTTTACATCTAAAGTAACAATCGACCACAATATGCTCAAGAGTCCAATTTCAACTGAATTGGAGTCGAGTGTCTCTACTCAGAATATCAAAATTAAATCAAAGATTACAAGTCCGTTTGAAGCCATGAGTTCGGCCCTCCTTAATTTTGATTACACGGGACCATTAAGAAATTACAATGTAAAAGCTATTTTGAATCATAATTTGTTGTCACGTCGCATTTCATTCGAGCATGAACAAGATACGAGTAATCTAGAAAATATTCGATCTCATTTCAAACTAATCACACCTTATCCAAAGTTATCAGGGGAAAGCACATTTACCTTCGAGGGAGTACCCAAACACTTCGATTTGACATACACATCAACATTCCCCCAAGCATTCACCAACAGGGACCTCGTTATTAACTTGAAATCAGATGTTCGAGATATCCACAACTTCATTATTGAATGCAACAATCAATTCCTCATCGACACAAAATATAAGCTGCTAGAGGACGTTTCTTTCAAATATGCCCACAAAAAAGTTTCCCCCAACAACTATGAATGCTCTGGCTTCATCTCAAGTGGTCCAGGTGGCGAAACGAAAATACAGTTCTTAAATAAGCTTAACCTTGCTAGCTGGAAAGACTTTGGAGAGCATTTGGAAATAGATAGTAACATCCTTAAAAAGATTGAATTTGATCTCATGTTCAAAAAGGCTCAAAGGACTGAAGGATCATTTTCATTTACTTCGCCTCTAAACATTAATGACGTATCAGCAAGGTTTAACCACCATGGTGACTTGAGACGTTTCTCTACTGATGCCGAGGTACGATATGCTCCAAACAAAGTCATCAACATAAAAGCCGACCATACAAAAACTCCAAAAGGTATCAAGAGCGAACTTGTTGTGAAAACACCATTCCAGAGGTTCAAGGAGAACAAGGTTTCCATAGAGCATGATGGCGACCTCAATGACTTCACTAACAAAGCATCGATTGGATACGACTTAGGGAAGGAAATCAACTGGGAGAGTGCAGTGAAACATAGCGGTTCCTGGTGGGGCAAGAAGGAAGCTATGACTACTATGAAACTTGAAACTCCATTTGAAATAGTACGCAATGCAGAGCTTAGCATAGACCACAAGCATTCCTGGGACAATGTTGACAACACCATAGAATTCTCTCGTAACGACCAAAAATACCTCCACCTTGAAAGCAAATATGACAAGGAAACAGAGAAGAAACACGCTGTGGATATTCAACTGCTTAAGCCTTACCAAATGGAGGGCAAGTTTGAATTAAAAGACCTGGGTAAAGAAAAAACTGGTCAAGTTTATGTAAATCTAAATAAGAACAAGCGGGACTTAAACATGAAAGTAGAATATACTTATAAGGACAACAGTAATCGCTTTAGAACATCACACCTTGCAGATATAAAAGCATTCACACCATTCCTTGATGAACCAAAACACGAACTGCATGCTGAGTTTGAGAACAGCAGGAAGGGTTTATCTAACAAGGGCGACTTTGACATCATGGCCGTTAAAGGGGGTTATGAACTAGATTGGGCCAAACTCAGATCAGGAGTGAAGACTAGTGGTAAAGTGATGCTTCCAACAAGGACTGTAGCCCTCGACTTTGAACACACAACTGACAGCAATAAGAAGACTTCTGACGTTTCCTTCATGTGGGATGCTGAGAGCGATCCAAGCAAGAAGATGACTTTCAAATCTGATTACCAGACAAGGGGAGTACAACACAATGGCAAAGTTACCATCACACATCCCTTCCTTCAAGAGGTATGCATTAAAATGAAAAATCATTTTGTCAATAATTATCTTATATTGATTAGGCGCACGCCAACACAGTCAAGCAATTCTAAATATTTATACCTGAATAATAATAAAGCCAGTAGCCATTGAATAATATCTTTTTATGCTATTATATTTGAGCATAATATTTTTCAAACTAAACCATTTTTGTGAATATTCATGTTTGAAATGAATCTGTACTTAAGAAATGTAATCGTCAATATGACTAAATTTCAGGGAGTTACTGTGACAAGTGATCTGACATTGGACAAAGATAACTGCAACTATTTGGCCAATGTGGTGGTTGAGTGCGACAGAGAGAAGGTTGAAGCATCAGGCAAACTTGCCAATACGGAGGCTGCGCCCAACATGAACTACACCTTGCAGTTCGGCCTGAAACACCCAGTTTCTCTGCTTGACATTGACATGGTCGGCCATGTAGCATCCGTAAATGACAAACTCTCTACTGGAGCAAGTGTGTCTTATCTGACGACAAGAAGACAAAATAAGGTCGTTTATCTCAGGGGAGAAATCGACAAAGTAAAGAAGGAGCTCGATTTACAGGTAATCTTTGCAAATGATAAGAACAATTCAGTTTTTAAGTTTCTATTTTAGTTTGCCATACATTAGGACTTGATATGCATGTGGTGTATAACATTGGTCGATCGAAATGCTATTTGAATTGATAATTTTAAATGGGTTGTTTTATTCTTTATCAATCAAATATGAAGCAAGTTCAGTAGTTTTCTAGTTGAGCATAGTATTCCTTTTTTAAAGTTGATTTTTGAATAATATCTGTTTTATAGCTGCTTTCCCCTGTGAAGACAATGAATTTAGTAGGTAGAATGGCTAACAAGGATTCATCTTACCACTTTGAGCTTGAAAATGTTACTCCATATACCACTACTACTCTAGGTGAACTGGACTTTGACACATCCCCCAAGATTGATTTGAAAATCTTTGACCCAGGTAATACTATCAGTTATCACACGTTTCAGCATGTGATACAGGAAATATTCCACGAAAGGTAATACTGTATCATCCACGAAAGCGAAGCTTGAGTGGTGATACATTGTTACCCGAGTGGAATATTTCATGTATCACATAAGCTGAAACGTGTGATGACGATTTTATCACATGTCTAGGAATTTTGAGGCATTTTGATTTGGTCAGTTATGATTGTTTTCAGTACTCTGTACTCCTGGTAACTATAATACTTTTTGATTTCGCTTTGAAACAATATGACGTCATACCGTTGTATTCGTACTTTTTGTGAAATAGTATGACGTCATATTGTATGGGCAAAATATGAAACGTCATCACCGGTTGACTCTAGTAACGTGTGAGACAGCCGTGTGAGACGGGAAAACTCACACGGTAATCAACCAATCAGATTACTGGAATTTTACAGAGCATGTGATAAAAGATAATGCCCACACGTCTTAACTATGTATCATATTTTCTTACGAATTTATGTTTTATTTTCCTTTTTTAATTCATTTTTTGTAATTTTGATATTGAAGCTTCACAATTTTGCAGTTAATGCCCTTTCTGTTTATCTTGAAATCCTCCTATAATCTCACTGGGTGTCTAGTAGTGATATTGTTTATGTATTTCAGAGAATGATAGAAACATGTTGCATATCTATGGTAAATACCTCCCCAAGAAAGCCATTGAGCTCGAGGCATATCGCCTAGTAGATGGCACCCGCCGCTCTGACTCATTGATGAAGACTAAACTGAGCAGCTCACATCTTCTCAGTTCAAGATTAACTTGGAATCCAGATTTCTTCAGTGAAGTAAAGGTATGGTTCAAAATACTTAAGGTCAGAAGACGTGAGAGACAACAACCTTTTGAAGGAATCAAATATAACTCAATGATGACAATATATAACATATAACTTTATCTCATTGATAATTCTCTTCTCACCTAAATATTGTTTAAGCTCGTCATCTGGGCTGGTGTATATCGGTCTTATTATCCTTGTCTTACAGGAAGCGATAAATGCTAGACGACCAGAGATCATGGAGTCTCTGCAAGACATGAAGGAAAGTTTCAGCTCTGAGATGTCCCAAAGGAAGCGCTTGACTTCCAGATCACGGGCCTGGAGTAACATCGTAGAAAAGGCCAACACTGCGATGAATGACATGTATTCTACTAATGAGTTCTTTGCCTATGATATATACCAGATGTCGCGAACTGCTCTCGACTACATTAGGTAAAGTAGTATCCAACTCATATGAAGTCTGGCAGATTGTCACCCATCCTATTTAATTATACATTGCCTTTTACATTAATAAAAATAGAAAACTGTATCTAAAGTTCTCTTGGCGGCATCTCTGACAATAATAAATCAGTTTGAACCGATGATTGCTTGATCACAGTTTATTCATATTATGTCATATTTATTTGCAGAACATACTCAGAATACACATCATCTTTGATGTCTGAACTGTTCGCAAAGACAGGGGAAGACATTAGAAACAGGTTCAACAGCTTGGCTGCTAAGATAAAGTACTTAGTTGAAGACTATTCACTATCGCTTGAACAGGGTAAACGTTACTTGAAGGAAACCTGGAATAGAAAAACCGATGAGGCAGCAGAATACATGAGCGATATGAGACAGAATGCCATGGAATCACTTGAGGTAGGCATACTAGGCATATCATATTATATTACACCATAGTATCAACAGTTGCAATATCAATTCGTTTTTCCCTGTGACGTCTGTAGCAGTGTTGAGAACACCTGACACCAAATCTGGTTTACTTTTCTTTTTTAAAGTCCTTACATTTATTTATTTTCCAAAATCAAGCAGTTTAATGAACAACATGTATTTCGATATTGTAGGCCTATAGGAACAATCTTAATGGTTATTTGGCTTCAATCACACCAACTTGGTACCCTATGAACTATGCATTTGTGACCTACGCCAAGGATAAGTTATCTGGTATGTAGTTAATAGCTGTGCTTTTCATATAGGCGTCATAAAACTGCATCAACCTTTACAATTTTTATTTCATTGAATTTTGTGAACTGGTCAGTATGATTAATTTATTTTTTAGAGTTCCTAGACTATGTGAAGACGCATCCTCATACACAGACTGTGAAGGATTGGGCGGATGATATGAACTTAGATGATCATATTGACACATTTGCTGATAAATACAATGAGATCTTATATAGGGTCAGGTCAAAGATCCAGAGTCAAGTTCAATCTGCACTGTCTCATCCACATGTCAAATATGCAAAGGAATTGGCAAATTCTGCATACCAGCAGGTTAGTTAGCTTCGATTATTTTGTTTAGACTGTGCATCCACTATAATCCGTTATCCGAATGGTATTTGTTACACGCAAAAGTGCAAGTACACTTGTAAAAATAATTATTTTAGGGAACATGGGCGTATGAGTACTGGCAGATAGAAGAAACCATAGTTGATGCACTGAAGCAACTGTATAACAACTGGAAACCATTAGCAAAGAAACATCTTTACAACATCGCTGACCAATATCTACACTTTGATGAATACAAAGTTGTCAGATTCGACCCACAAAATGGTGAAATCAAAGTCCAAGCACATGTTCCATTCGAGTTGAAGGATATAAAGCTCCCGACAGAAATGCCAAACATGCAGAAATACATCAACAAGTTGACTAACAGATGGGAGAACATAAAGAGGAGGGTCGCCAGTATGATGCCTGATAAGGATTTCAGTCTCTGGGACACTTATTACTCGTACAAGCCACTCGCTACCAACCCATTGGTGATGCTACCACCGTATGACAGTAAGTTTTGTGAAAAATCGATATTTAACAACCGTTTGACATCATCATCAAAAAAGTGATTTCCTTCCACTGAACTTTGACTTTGAAACTACTAAAGTGTATGTGTGGAATAGCTGAATTAGTCATGGACTCCAATTAAGGTATGTGTATATATACATTCCTTGATCAATGTCTCCATATCTCGCAATCACTCGTCAGTGAATGATAAGGATTTAAATCATGTATTTTTCAGCCCATGCCTTGATGGCTGGCAGACAACATTACATGACATTTGACAAGAAATTCTATGAGTTTGCTGGAGAGTGCAGCTATCTTCTTGCCCATGACTTCGAAAACAACAACTTCTCTGTAGTAGTTAATTACAAGAAGACTCCCAAGGCTCTACTGAAGTCAATCCTTGTTATCAGTAATGAGAAGCAGATTGAAATCCAATCTGACTACAGGGTAGGTACTGAGTTTGAAATAAACTATATACCTTAATGGGGGAAGTTTGTCGATTTGCAATATAACTAGCTCCTGATCAGGCAGACAACGCTTTGAAATATATATTTCATTATTCCATGTGACAATGACTATGAAACGTTTCAGGTGAAACTAGACAGTAGAAAGGCCGAGCTCCCCATTGGGTTTAAGAACACAACTGCCGTACGTCATGGCAATATGATTGTAATAAGCAACAGTAGGGGACTTACTGTGAAATGCGATCTACCTCATGATTTCTGCATGGTTTACATGTCAGGATGGTACCATGGAAAAACAGCAGGTACGTTGCATAATTATGGATGTCAGTTCAGTCGGTGAATGGTGTATATATAGATTTTGGAAGTGTAACATGAATTGGACGAATATTTATTTTAATCGATGTTTGGTCTTGTCTGCAATGGATCTTCAATTGTGCAAAAATAAATTTACAGGTTTGTTTGGCACATATGATAATGAAGCAAAGAATGACTGGCTATCACCCGACCGCGAGCCCCAGAGCACTGTGAGTGACTTTGCCAACAGCTGGGATGTAGGGTACCAGTGCAAGTCCTCAGGTGCTAACATTGCAGTAGAGGCTGACTTTAGAGAGAACAGTGTGCAATACCAGACATGTGCTGCTTTATTCAAAGACACCAACTCGCCATTCCGTCCATGTTTCAAACAGGTATGCTTAAATAGGTACATCCCGTGGCAAACTCGAACAAATATGAATAGTTATGTTCCCTTCACTTTAGTGTGTATTTCACGAGAAATGTCTCAGCATAATTTTGTGAAATATTACTTATAGTAAGTACATACATTGAGGAAAACAGTGTAGAGATTAGTTTTTGCACTAATGTTATCCGTTTTATCATATTCAATTGTTCTTTTAATTCTTGCCAATTTCAGCTTTGGTATAAATGTTGCTTTGTTTTGATAAAAAAATCCATTTCTAATTGTAATTTATTAACTATTCCGATGTTATAGGCCGACCCCGCACCATTTATGACCATGTGCCTAAATGACCTAGAGCTCCTCAACAAACCAGTTTCTGAAGCTGATACCTGCAATACGGCAGCTGCATACTTAACTGACTGCAAAGTACATGGACTTGAACTAAGTCTGCCCAAGTCGTGTGGTCAGTATGCAAAGATATTTTTTAAATTACATTATAATCTTTAACTGACATCTTATATTCATTATTGATAGTTTAATGTAAGGCTCATTAACTGAATGGATTTTTACAGTTACATGTAAGATGCCTAACAAAGAAGTTATCAAGCAAGATCAAGAGGTGACCCTATCGAAGAAGACTCTGCTGAATGCTGTTGACGTAGTATTCGTCATTCAGGAGACCGAGTGCAACAAGAAAATTGCTACCAACCTCAACAAGCTCGCCGTTTTAACAACTGGAAACCTCGCGAAGATGGGTGAGTTGTGTGTATTGACCTAGCCGAGAGAGTGAACATAATGATACAATATCACTAATTATCGTATGATCTGTAAAATGAAGCCTTCTGATTGGTCAGTTCTTGTGCTGTACCAATCTGTATTGCTACTGAGATTGTCCCCGTTGATCATCTCCGTCGCAATACAGAAAATATTGGTACGGAGGGGACAATCTCAGTTGCAATACAGAGGATCACACGATAAAAACGTTATTGAATGATTTGAAGTGCAATACAGGATATATTCTGTCTCGATATTCTGCACTGACACTCGACTTCGTCTCGTTACAATACGATTTTCTCGAGCAGGATATATTCTGTATTGCACTTCAAATCATCCAATAACTTATAATATAGTGGTGTTTAAGGTTTTGCTGATTTACAAAATATGAATTGACGATGTTTAGTTACCAAATGTTTGTATTATTCATTTAGGCTTGCGTGATGTTCAGTTTGGTCTTGTTGGATTTGGAGGCGAGGGTGTACACAATAAACCACATTCTCACACATTGGATGGAGAATTGTTTGCCCCGAAGACTAAACTTCTCATTGGAATCAAGTCATTTGATTTCACAAGGCCCGATACTAAGGTCGATGGTCTTTCTGCTTTGGCGTTTGCATCAAAGTATCCATTCCGTGCAGGAGCTGCCAGGGAAGTCATCTTGGTTACATGTGATACATGCACAGAAGGTCCTACCACTTATAGTGAGATGCAGCATCTGATGTTGGAGAGAGACATTAGCTTCCATGTGGTCCTCGACCACGCTCTAGCGATCAAGACCAAGAAGAAGGCCAAGAGCTTTATCTATGGTATGTAGAAGAAAGGGAAATGGCTCCTTCGGTTATTTAGTAAGAAATAGCAACGCCCGACACAGTGCCAAAGAACATGCACATTTTGTATTTGCACAAAACTTTATAAAACCATGATGTAATATCGCTGGACCGAGTTTGCGAGGATATTTAAGTTATGATTTCATCGGACTAACTTTTGTTTTTATGCTTTCAGGTTTTGATAATGACGAAGTATTTACCAACAAACACTTCAAACTCCTGATTAAAAAGTTTAAGGGTGATACCTCACTAAGATCTCAAATTCTTGAGCCTAAAGACATGTGTGCCCCACTTGCTTTGGAGAGCAATGGTACTGTGTGGGATAGAAACCATTTGATGGGAGGCCGACCCGTCAGCCAGAAGAAGTTAATGGTTGTCATGTCCCGTGCTCTTGCCAAAGGAACACAGCCATCTCCCTGTCAAATTTGTGATTGTGTACCTGATATCACGGGTGTAGGAATGTCTGTCTGTCGACAGTGTGATGTTCCTAAATATAATCCACTTAGCAAGGTACGTATGGAATTCAGTTGGGCTTCGAATACTAGTTTAGCTTCTTATTAATGCCTAGGTCACATATGATCCGATTCATCGGCCGGTGCCCGGTCGATTGCAGTATTTTGTTCTCAACTTGCTTCAAATTGACCAAACTTTTTTAAATCATGTAAAAGTTCTCAGGAATTCACATCTGACCTCAGATTTGACCTTCAATTTTGAACAAAATAATCAATTGCAATCGGCCGGGCGCCGGCCAATAAATCGGAGCAAATGTGACCAAGGCATAAGATGCTTACCAATGTTTTTTGATATTTAGAATTAAGAAAATGGATGAGTGGACTGACAATATCAAAAGATTTCGATATGAATTTAGGCTAATTATTTATCCGTGTTTAGCTCAAAAACCGATCTCTCAGTCTGAGAAAATATCAGATTATTTATTTTTAAGGATTTGCGTGAAAATTTGTTAAATGTTTTCAGTTATCAAGATACAATAGCAACATTATTGAGCCCAAGGATGACGAATTTACAAATGACTTGAAGGAGTTTATCAATAAACCACAAAAGCCAAAAAAGAAGCCACTTAAAAAGACTCCTCCCAAGAAGAAATTCTTTAAGAAGAAGAAGGGCGCGAAGGCATAATGATATATGATAACGACCGCGATAACTGACAAGGACTATGATATAGGACATTTTGTATTATACACGTTAACCATGCATCATAAAAACAAAATAAAAATTTTACAAACTGATAACAATTTTAAAAAAATGTGTAGATATATTCGTTAATAGGTTTTATGGATTGTCAATCATAGGAAAGCTAAGACCTTATGTCACTGAATTAAAGTCTATAAAAATGATATGTTTATTAACACATTGTACATGGTAAACAAACAGTATACTTTTCAAATGTGTCTATATTTTTATAATTATTAATTTTTTATATGTCTTTATAATTTTGTTTTCGTATGTGCAGTAGTTACTTAACCCATAATATTTAGAATTTAAGTTTTGACAAAATTGTGTAGTTTACTTGTATAGTTTCACCCATGTACACAATTTATGTAATATTGTGAACGCAAGTTGAAAGTATTTTATGCAATAAACAATGCAAAAACTATATTAGTTCTTTTTACTTAAATGCACCGTGGAGTATAGGGTTCTTAGTAAACTCGGATCCTAGTTTACTCGAACAAATAGTATTTGACAAAAAATTCAATGTAAAAAAAAATCAATGTGAATTAAATGTTGCTGCCCTGAATCTTAAGGGGAGAGGGGGGGGGGGGGGGGGGTGAACATGTTGATTAACTTTTTCTGGCGTACGGCCATAGTGGGTTTCGTTCTAAATTGTTTTGCATTTGCCTTCACCCTGTGAAGCCATGACCATGTTCCATTCGTCATTTCCGTTCGTCATTTTGATGAAAATTTATGGCAAACTTGATAATACGTTTTCAATATATGTTTTGGAGGGACGTTATCAATTCCTTTTAAGTCGATCCTAAAATGAATCAAACATATTCCCAAATTAATATTTAGCAAGTTCCTCTGATCTACTTTGAATATGACGGGGTCCGAGTATCTGGGTTGACTTGGGTTTTAAGTTGTCTAAGGTCCGAGTTGACCAGATGCCCAGTCTAACTGCAAGTAGCTGGTAAACCCAATCCTGATGAAACATCTTGAGTTGTGGACAAAATGGGCATAACATTGCATTCATGACAATTTTAAGGGGACATGTTGATAATTCCTGACCTCCTGTCCTATCAAATACAAAAATACAGCTTTTACCGAATCCTTAAATCATCTCCTTTACAATATACAAAGCTTATATAGGACATATCAATGAAAATAACATAAGAAATGTCGGATTTACCTAATATTTCATGACCAACTCATTTATATACACTCCCCTCAATAAGTTTGGCAACCTTTTTTCCCCCATTGAACTACGTGTTAAAGCCTCTTTACGTTTGAATTTTTATTTACTTAACCGGCGATGAAATAACTTATAATATTGATGGAAACGTAACTTGACTTTATTTCCAATACCTCCAAATTTTCTCAATTTTTTTCCTCAATTACAATAGGTCGAAAATTGATGATTTTGATGAATTTTTGAAAATCGTCATTCCCATGTAATCCAATGGGAAATGGAGGGTTCGGGGCAAATTTATCATCTATTATACTTAGCTTGTATTCGCGAATGCAACTTTCGGCTGTTGGCTACCGATTAACCTACTATTTTTATGTGGAATTCATTTAAATATGAATAGTACCTGCCGTTATTCGGATTCCATTCATGTTTATATGAGTTGGTCATAAAGCAATAGATAAATCCGGTAGCCGACAGCCGAAAGTTGCATTCGCGAATGCAAGCTAAGTATAATACATCAAAATGAGAAACAACACAGCTAGTAAAAATGCCATTTGATAAACCATGTCAATACCAATTATTGATATAATTTTACAGTGGAGAGAGTCTTAAAAATCCTAAACTTTTAGATATTTTTCCTATCATTAGGATAATCGTTTGACTTTCTAGATTTTTTAGCACTAATGAATTCAGTAATTTCTGCATTTCTTCAATAAACATCAACATAAGATATAATAATTCCTTTTTCAGAAAAGAAAATAATTAGGATAATGGGGTCATGCTTTTTGGAAAGATTGATTTCACCATTTTACCCTCTCTAGCTTTTGATGCTTTAAATACAACTCCAGATGTCTAATCGGACTTGTATTTCAGATTGCTATTGTTATTTTCAGCATTATAACTGTCATCTTCTGGCATTTTTATCATATCATAGAAGGCCTTCGTGAGCAATAATACGGATGTAACATTAATGATAATGCAGAGTACAATACTTCCGAGTATAGTTTTCAAATCTCCCTGCATTAAGATTATTTCTTCCTGAGATCTATGCTTCAGTTCATATTCAGCTACCGATATTTGGTGTAGCACTGTTATACAGTTAGCAATGTGGAACAACTGGTGACTGTGCCCTATTATGTCAAACCTGCCCGGCCAAAGCCTCTCTGGAAAATGGCTCAAAAATAAAGAACACGTGATGATGAACCACTTGGCACAATGGGCATGTGTAGCGAAGTATTGTAATTCACATTCATTACTGGATAGACATTCGTAGAGTCTACTGCACCAGGGAATGGATGTCCATATAACACCTGGCAGGTACGATAAAGACTGGAGCCGCCTCCGTTTGAAGTTGTCTTTTCTCCCATAGCGGAGTTTGACGTAAGAGGACCCAGTGCACACACACCAGCATTGGAGAACGTTCCCGTAAATGTAGTATGGCGATAGGATCGAGAACATCCCCGTACCACACGTGTAGTAAAACGTCAGCAAGCCTGTAGCAAATGTGTAGAACCCTATTCCAGCATAATCCAACTGGTAAACAAAGACATGAACAAGATTTGATTTGCTGTGAAGAAGATGGGCCATGGAGCTGATGTAGCTATAGGCGGCACACAATATGCAAAAGCCAACTATACCAGCATATGATGGATTTGAAAGATCACAACGCAAAGCAAGATCAGTATGACACTATAAAGAAGGTTCCGAGATGTGTCCAGACATTCAACGATTCATTGTGTAATTGGAAAAAACTCATCAGATAGTAACGCCAATCCTTGTTGATACTGCGATACCCTGTCCATATACCTGGCTCGCGATATAGCTCTGGGACGTCCTCGATGCGCTTGGTTGTCTGCAGGTGAAAAAGCCTTTTGACAAATACCACATGCTCCATTATTGCCCTACAATATACTGGGATATTAGATAAATCCATTTATAGTTCGAATGTTTTTTGGGATACTGTTGTCCTTATGTTAGGGGAGTCTGGTTGAACATACCCACCCCATTCCTTGCACTGTACAACCTCCAAATGTGCATTGTTGCCTCTGTTCATTAAAACATATTCAATTCAAAGGAAGGTTCTTTCACTGAGAGTCTGCACATAGTTTTTATTTACTTTATCGGCCAAAGAATGAATTGCTTTTGCAAAAACGAAGGTAAGTAGCCGAAGTAAACCTGCTATATTCCTTTGTCGTAGGTTGGTAGTGTTTGCCATTAGTGTCAACCAAAAATTTCTAAAGACGCTTCGTTAAGATTTAATGCCCTATTGCAGAACCGACTGTTTCTAATAGTTTGAAACATATTATACAGTCCTTGACAAAAATCATATTTATAGATTCATTGATATATACTCGCTTTATAAGTAACTTTACCACTGGGAAAGAAGAATATGGTCATTTATTGATTAATTTTTGTTATAGTCAGGTCTATCGATATGAGTACAGGAAAGGTATTTAGGGCGTAAGCAATGGTCTATTTAGTTTCGAGGATGTTCGTATTATCTATACCTGGAAAAGTTTTGGACACACTGATTAAAACCTCCAAGGACAAATATTATATACCGAAGCACCTCGAATATATGATGTCACAATTATTCTAAATAACCATTTTCATGCTCATTACCAATGCCCAGTTCATGTTCAATAGTGGCAGTCTTATCAACCATAACCAGCTACTCTACTTCTTTAATCATCTCTGCTGTGCGTGTTGTTTTTGGAGCACCTGTACGTGAAGCATCCTCAGCAGATCTTCTCGGCTTTTCAGAAATCGTTCTGTACTGTACCATCTGTAGACATTGGTTAGTCCTTTTCATCACCAAATGACTTCTTTAGCATCTGATAAGTTTTTTTACAGTGACATTTCATTCAAAATACACCATTATATCAGTTCTCTCTGTCTTCCATGGAGATCTGAAGTTTTCAATCCAATTATTTTCAGTATGGCTGACCTGACTTTGATTTCCTCAATGCATGTGTCTTCTGTCATCCTATCGTTGGGTATCGACATTTATAATGACAAACCTATTATTTGGGTAGGTACATCAATTTAGTGTCTTTCAAACTCATTCACGTTCAATATATACTTTGTTATGATTAACGACTGCTTAAGGTGCCAATACCACCGGTTGCTATGACAACCGTAACTCTGACATGGTATCTGATATCTCTGGTGTACGGAATCATGTACCTCTGATGGAACATGTACAAAAGAAAATTTAATTGAAAAAGAGAAAAGCGACAGTCCATGGCCATTTGACGAACAATACATATGAGTTTACTAAACGATTCATTAATCATGAGTAAAACATTTGATTTAACAAATAACACATTTACATGGCACAAACAACTCAAAAATATACTGTGCCATATTAAAATAAAAATGTCTGATGAATTGAATCTTGAAGATAGGGTAAACATAGAGATGAGCACAAATAGGCTTGCTATTAAAGTCAAAAAGAAATTAATAGAGAGATATCAAGTATATTGGAACAATCTGATAAGTGGGAATGGGGGGAAACTTAGATTATTTAAACAACTAAAATCGCACTTTGGATTTGAACACTACCTTTCAGAAACGACACTTTCAAATGCTAAACATTTAACTAGATTACGTATAAGCGCCCACAATCTAGAGATAGAGAGAGGCCGATATACAAAACCAATTACTGATCTTAATAGTCGATTTTGTAAAATATGTAAGGACTCGGTTATAGAAGATGAAACACACTTTTTATTCAAATGTAAAAAATTGGAGTTTATCAGAAAATACCATATTGAAAAACTTGAAAACCTGTGTCGTAATTTTAAAAACATGAATGACCACCAAAAGACAATTTTTCTATTGACGAGTGAGGGGATCATATTAAAAGAATCTGCTGACATGATAAAGTATCTAATGATGGGTAGAGACAGGATTCTTATATCAAAGTAACATTTTATATGTCATTTGAAGAATGTAATCCTATTTTCTTTACTTTATTGCTATATTTACTGTTATTGAAAATTGTATATTGGATGTACGTTTGGCCCTAAAAGGGCATCAGTACTAATAAAATCCTATTATTATTATAAGCCCATATGCATGTATGTATCAATTTGCTAATCGATTATCGTGGTGTATCTTAGTAGGGATTTCGGATTCATGAAAAGGTAATAAAATATCGTTTGAGTAAGCATTTTATAGTAAATGGAAAATGACTTTTGCTGCGCACAAAATGCACACAGTACCCATATTTATTCTAAGCGTCAAGTCACCTTTAAACCAGGGGAGGTAATGACACTTGCCTAGAGAACTGTATTGTATGTGATGAGTCTTTGAACTTTCAAATGTGTCGTTTTGTTAACCCTGTGTTTAAAAATGATACTTTGAAAAAGATAGACGTGCATGTGTCACGAGCGACACTCACAAATTAGAGACCGTGTCTTCGATGATCAAAATATTCTTGGAAGATATTTGTTCCAATTGTCATCTAAAAGGAGAGAATGATTTGCACTCTCACTAATTGATTGTATGGCCATACTTGTAATATTAGTAATAATGTAATCATTTTGATTGTAGTCTTATGCCTAATTTAAATAAAGTGTTATTAAAATGACTTCTTTTTGCCCTCAATTCAATTATTATATGAGAAAGGAATTGCAAAAACATATATTACAGCCAGAATGTTTTGATGATGCCTTAAGGGAGCAGTCATCAAGCAAATTAATTGCCAGCAAAATATGAAAAGTATATATTATGATGAAATGCGTCTAGAGATAGTGTCGCCTCAAAAGTGGCTCGTGGAGAAGAGACTAAGAGAAGATGCCTGGCCAGGATAGTGACAAACCTACGCCGAAAAAGATGAGAGGTCAACTGATGAAGACGAGTTCTGCAGCACCCGTTTTTTCTGCCATATTTGGCGAATCAGTTATGCACACGAAGGAAACTGAATTTCTTGAAGCGGCTGAAAAAGGCGACATCCAAACAATCATGAAAATTGTAAACGCTGATGTTAATTTTAACCTTAATGTGCTGGACATATTCGGTAGAAGTGCCTTAGAAATAGCTGTTGAAGGGGAATACATAGATATAGTTGAATTCCTATTGCCCAAATCTAGCATACAATGCATCAATGACGCCATGTTGCTGGCGATCAGCAAGGATAACGCCCGATTGACGGAAATGCTTCTAAAGCAGGACCTGATGCTCTGTCAGCGCATGAAACACTTCGATCTTGAGAGTATACAGGGCGTTCGGCATAGAAACAGCCCGCGCTTCTCCCAGGATATCACCCCACTTGTGTTAGCTTCGCAGAGAAACAATTTCTGCCTAGTGAAGCTGTTGCTGATGCATGGGGTGTCCATAAAGAAGCCCTGTCCATACTTCTGCGATTGCCAGGGCTGTACGAGTGAAAGGGAGATTGACTCAGTGATGCACTCTCGGTCAAGATTAAATCGATATATGGGACTCGCAAGTCCAGCATATCTCTGCTTCTCCAGAAGTAAAGACCCAATTCTCTCTGCATTTCAACTTGCACACGACCTGAAAGATTTGGCAGGCATTGAAAAAGAATACAAGGTAAAAGCATTACTCCTTTATTAGAATCTTCTACACGATCGAGCTCCTACACACTTTTACAATTTTTACTTATTAAGCATTTACATTACTCACAACACGATATACTCGTATAATTACGTTAAAAATAATTCAGCAGTTTAAGAGATTTAAAGTAATCCCAATATATTTTTTCAGTTTCAAGTAATATGAAAATCATTTTCTTGAAATTTCTCAACTTGTAGATGATAACTTCGTCAGATCTTTGAATTAACTTAAGAAAAGCAAAAAGATTCTGATTCTGAAGGATAGAGTTGCTTACCCGGATGAAAATGTCACAAAGCTTATTAATTATTGTGGCGAGGATACATTTCACATTGTTTCATAGACTCTACCTTTAATAGTAGATCAGCAATCCGTAAATAGACCAAAGGTTATTTCATCCAATAACTCAGATGCGAGTAGGTAATTACCAGTTTCACCACCAGGTGGCTCGTTCGGGTCAGGTGGCATGGCGGGTACAGTAGAAAGTTCCCTTTCACTTAAATATCCATCTGTTTTAGTGGTTCAATTTTTATATCACCCATCTGTATCCAATCGTTATGCAAATTACTAGTAAAATACTAGTATGTCCAGTAAAAGAAAATGTTATCTGTCCAATGCAAAAAACATATTTCACGTTTTGTGATTTTATAAAAAAAATTTCAAACTTGATCAACAATTTTCAAAACTTTATTTCTAGATGTACCTTTACATGTAGATTTCAAATATAACATAACTTTGACTGAATTTTGAATATTTAATGACGTAAATCAAGATTATTTCTACTCGCACCTAGTCTTTTAGAAATGAAAATTGCTGCAAAACATGCCTAAACATTGTCAAAAATACCTTCTTACTGTTCATACGTTGACATTTCCGTCATTTTGTGGGGCACCATTCTCTATATACAGGGTGGGCCAAAAAACGCCACTTTTTTTTCAAGACACTACAACTTTTTTATTTTCCAACCTACATACCTCAAATTTTGTAGTTATATAGTGCCAAGGGTTCCTAGCAATAATATAATGTAACAAGTCATTCAACTTGGATTATATTTGATCTAAAAGGGGAGTTCAATTGATCCGCCACCCTAATTGATGATATATTTTAGATTTAGTCGCCTTGCTGATATTGCAGTATCAATGAAATGTTAGCTAAGTTTTTCAAACCTGTCTAAATTCCCAGCTTTAGTTGAGCAATTTTCTAGATTGGGTGCCTTCATACAATCTCCTGGAGACCTTCCCATATCCTATACTCACTGGGGTTTGCATCAGGGCTACTACCTTGGTGATCATCAGGCCGTATCAGTTCAGGAACATTTTGCAAATTATGCTTATTTCTCATGAAAACCACGTTTAAGTGAGACGCTGGTGACATATTTTATTCAAGTAAAACTGTATAATTTATGATCCATGGCTAGATAACAACCTCAAGTTTCATTTGGTATGCAAATTATGATTTAATATCAATAATTTTGAAAAAAATGGCGTTTTTTTTGGCCCACCCTGTATATTATTGATTTCATCAATCGTGAGTCAGTTCACCACCATTTATTTTTGCATTTTTTCTGTTGGAGATGCAAATATGCTTACGTGTAGCTTATCTACCTCAAATGATCTACATCCACATCCACATTATTATCTTGTTATACATCCACCCATCAAGTCATCTATTTTTTTTAGTTTTTACTACGGGAGTGTCTCGATTCCAAATGAAATTGCGACACAAACAAACATTTATCATATTTTCCTGACTTTTAGAGAACCAATCGCAATAACCACCATGGATGGACGGATCTTTTTGAGATATTGAAAAGTAAATAGTTGAATGATATAATGTTGTTTGCTTTGTCAGCCTCTATACCTCATTTGAATAATTTTTGGACCAAAATTGTCACAAGTGAACCCCCTTGGAATTTTTCAAAAAGTGACCCCCCCTTGGCAAATCCTGGCTACGGACCTGGCCTTGGAGGTCCGATTTTTCTTGTCCCATGATTTCACGATGTAGGCAAAATTGCCACTCTTTAGCACAAACGTGTGTCAGCATCAAATGTTTAAGAGAAGCCAAGCGTTTGCAAAAGAATAGTTCACAAGAATCATCGACAACAATGGTTTTTTTCAATGTGTCGTCCTACTGTAATTCCTCACTTTTGTTACATACTAGTAAACGGATGCAAAACGGTGAACCTCTGCACCTTTTAACCGTTCCGATCCCATTATTTCTTATTTTAGAAAGAATATTTCTATCTGAGTGACCAGTGTGAGAAGTATGCAATAGATCTGTTAGACATGTGTCGAACGAAAGACGAAGTGATGACCATCCTCAACGAAAACGGGACAGGGGATGCAAGCCAAAACAAAATAAAGCTTGAGAGGGTGAGGCTGGCTATCAAATATGAGCAGAAGAGAGTAAGTGCTTCGAGTACTACGCTTTGGCGTGAATGTTTTATAAAGCACACATGTAAAAAGACTGCGCTAGGCTACGATCACGAAAACGAGCAGATGTCAGGTCTCCTAGACTTCCATCAACGCGAATATGTTCGCGGCGTCAGAACTGATGTTCGCCTTGATGGAAGTCTAGGAGGCCTGAGATATGAAGTATGATAAAAATGATTTGGTTAAAAGGAAATTTGGCATTTGGATTCTGAACCCCAAAGTCAAGTAGGACAAACAATGTATTCCATGTACGCTGTTCCAAAGTACCAGGGACAATCGGAGTTCCGCACTGCTTTTATACATTCAAGTACTAGTAAACTAAAGCTAAACTTTATTAAGTTGCAATCGGACCATTCTATATTGATTCTTCTCTTTATTTACCAAACTATCTTCAAAGTAATCTTTATTTGATTTTCAGTTCATTGCAAACCCGATATGCCAAAACCAAATGGAAACATTATGGTATGAGCCAGTGGCATGGATACAGCACAGAAACACATTTCTGAAAATCTTATCGCTGTTTCTATTTGCCCTGTCCCTTCCCTTCCTTCTGGCAATTTACTTCATCGCTCCCAAAAGCAAGGTGAGTTCTACGTACTCAAGTTCAAATTCGACGTTTGTATCAACCTTTGCACCCCTCACACCTCCTGGGCCTCAGCCTCACACCTTAAGATAATGCCATTCTTCATTTTTCACTGGGGAGTGATGTTTGTTCAGTGTTGCTGTTTGACATTGCATCGATTTCATTCAGAATGGCTTCTGTGTTCTTTACAGACAATATTTGTAACCACAACAATGTGATAAGCTCTAGTAAGATCAAGATGTCTCTTAACTAGACTACTGTAAGGTCTTAAAATAAACGCTATGCGGATATTTAACTGTCAGAAAATGTTATATAATAAACCCATTGTAATTGTTATTGAATATATTTCTTGGATCACTCTGTACTACTTGCTCTTTCAGGTCGCTGATTTCGTCAGGAGTCCCTTGATCAAGTTCATGAGCTCATCTTCCTGCTACCTGACCTTTTTGTTTCTCATCATCGCCTTGGCAACCCGAGACGAGGGTCACTTATGGTCGGCTGACTTGTGTTGTGACAAAGTTACAAAGGCCCTGTTCGTCTGTATTATCGTTTGGGTGATAGGTATGTACAACAGTACAAGATCCACACGGACTTGGACTCAACATCTGTGAGCTCGAGCTGTCCATTGATTAAGCTTGACTCTTAAAGCATGACATTGAACTACAAACACCACACTCAATGACATTCTATAAACCTTCCTAGGGTATTCGTTCAATATACCAAAAAGTGAAATGGGTAACCTGAAACCTCCATAGACTTAACATTGCGTGGAATCTTACGGCGGATTTGCCTACTGGGACTCCGTGGGACTATTTTGCGCCATAAAGCCCCATCGAGTTCCACGAGATTCGATGGGGCGGCCGCAGCAAATTAAAATCATCTGCCCCATGGGGCAAAGTCAACGAGGTCCCTTGGGACTTCATGGCTAGGACTCGATAGGACGCATAAACTTCGATAGGACACATAAACCTTTTTTGCCGATTGTGTTGGTATTTTTTCTAATTCCAGTTTTCCGTGAACGCAAAAGCCTCGAAATATGAACATCTTAGGATTCAAATAGTTTTAGTCGGTTTCACTGTTTATCGATCATGTACAATTTTTGTTTGCTTTGTGCCGTTTCAGCTCAACTAGTTTTTGAATGCCAACAGGTCTATACGATGGGCATTGAGGACTATATGAACGACTGGTGGAATTGGATTGATTCTGGCCTACTTTTTCTGTACCTTGCCTCAATCTCGCTGCACCTTGTCATGTACATCAAGATGGTGCAATGGCAAAAGACAGAAGAAGGAGAGAGATACAAATCGATGTATTGTTCACGCACGGAAAAATGTGGGAACTACTCCGGTAAATGCTGTTTCGCTATAGGCCTATAACTTTGACATTACACGGAATTAACTCATTTTCGCTCTCAAAGCTTACATGTATAACATCAAATGTTAATTGGAACTTCTTTTTAGTGATTAATCTGTTTCAACTTAACGACTGTAGTTGAACCACAATACATTTGCCAAATCTTGACACTGGTGACGCTGCATTTTACTCATTTTTCACCCTGGCTGATTTTGTGGTTGGTACATCTTTTAAGGTAGTTTGACCTATTGGGACAATCATTTTTTGCACAAAAACATATAACTGTAATAACTGGTTACTGTACGGTTACTGCCAATCTTCGGTATATTTCAGAATCGATGATGCTAAGAAGCAGGCACAACTTCCCCCTACCCCAGCCTCATCACCTTGCAGACATGTTCTTCGCTCTGGCAAACGTATTAAGTTTTACCCGTTTAGCGCACCTTTTGCCCGCCAGTCAACAGCTAGGGCCCCTCATGATCTCATTCGGTCAGATGATGAAGGATGTCACACGCTTCCTGTTTGTATTTTTCCTTGTGTTCATGGCATTTGTATGTGGTCTGACAAGTCTCTACCAGATATATGTCTGTGATGAAAACACGCATTTCAACGAGTGAGTAAAAACGTACTCGGCGAGAAAAATTTAACTCCACTTTATGGTCCACTTCTTACGCCAAATTGAATATACTTTAGTATAACATGGGCCAAATATGGGGCATTCGTATAATCTAAAAGAGTGGATACTTGCATTGCATAATCAATTTGAAGTCAAAGGGTCGACTTCATGGTGCAAGTCCTAAATCGGAAATGTCCACAACCTGAGTGTTCAATCGCATCTTTTGCAGATTACAACGGTCAATTGGAAGTTTGTTTTGGGCAACATTTGGTATGGGCGACAAAACGTCACCGGAAGTTGCAATGGAGAATGTGAATCTTCTCGATAAGGACTTTCGTAAATGGACAGAAACTGTAGGCTCTGTTCTATTTGCTAGCTATATTTTGGCAGGCGTCGTAGTTCTTCTGAATATGTTGATTGCAATGATGAATAATTCGTTCCAAGAGATCTATGTAAGTTGCAAGTTTGAAAGTTGTTTCCCATAATATTGGCCTTACAATCGGGTCATGAACTTACTCGCAGTATTGAGTATAATATCAATTAAGACATTTATTACAGATAAAGCCCGAATGGTTCCGGCAAACTTGATGATGTTAGGCGAAATTAAAATATTCTCTTTTGTAATGTCATTGAGGTCCACATCACATCCAGCTATACGTCAGTGTTAACAATTAAATTTCATTTTTGCAGTAGTTATCAGTGTTAACAATTAAATGTCATTTTTTGCATTAGTTAAGAGTGGTAACAATTAAATGTCATTTCTTACAGTAGTTAACAGTGTTGACAATTAAATGTCGCTTTTGCAGTAGCTAACAATGTTAACAATTAAATGTCATTTTTGCAGTGTTAACAATTAAATGTCATTTTTTGCAGTAGTTAACAGTGTTAAGAATTAGATGCCATTTTTTACAGTAGTTAACAGTGTTAACAATGTCAATTTTTGCAGTAGTTATCTCCTCTGATTCATCAAAGTCAGACTTCAGACTTAATTAATTTTTTACCCAAAGAGTGATAATAATGTTTCTAAAAGTCTAGATGGGGATAATTATTTTTCTAAAAGTCTTAAAAATAAATCTTTTTTTCTTAGGAGGACAAAGATGTCGAATGGAAATTCGCTCGAGCCAAACTTAGGATTCAGTATTTTGAGCATGGGATGACTGTCCCTGCCCCACTGAACTTGATCCCAAACCCGAAATACCTATGCTACCTGTTCCAATGGGTGAAGAAGAAAGCATTTGGAGATAGTACCACTGAGATCGACAAGATGGCATCTGCATATATGAAAAAAGTATGTCAACGTTAAATATATACAACGCTTTGAATAAAACCTACGTCTATGCTATTTTATCCGACTGATTTAGTTCATTACAATTACGATGAATTATGTTCAAGATCAGATATTTGATTGTCTTTACGGCTACTTCGTATGGATAAGCCAAACTGTGGATACTAGACCGTTTTTTAGTTCTTATAACGTTTGTTACAGCGGCGTATGGCGAGAGACTCCGATATAGATTGGTTTCAGTGTGAACCAAGGAGCCACTACGAGGTTAGTTGAATCAACCCTGCCTATCCCATCCGAGATCACTAGAGAGGACGAGAGATTATATTCAAACTAATGGGACACCGTTATATGGCCTATATGAATTGAGCCATTTACGTTACATCATCCGGGTTTCTTATGCATCAGTGGTAACAGAATCAAATGCAATGTTTTAACGATTAAAAATAATAAGAAAAAAATCATTTTTGACAAAATAAAATTTTAAACTTCATGCAAACATCTAAGCGTCAAAACATAATATGGAGCTGCAAGAGTTGAAAAACACAAAGCGCAATGGCTTGCCAAAATGAAACTTGTGGTTCAAAATATAAAGTAAAATCGAAAATCCTCCAATGTTTTAGGAAGTTATGCAGCGTCTGGTTCGTCGCTACATCTACAAAAATCAGTTCAAATGCCTTGATGAGACATATGAAGGTAAAGCTTTTTTGTTTTTAAAAAATCTGTCGAGTTGATTTTTCAATTCAAATTAATTTGGAATGGGAAGATGGCAACCACTTTTTCGAATGGATTACCAAATAACATTTAAAGATCATCAAAGCACAATAAGGAAATAGAGGAGACAGGTCAACTGTTGAAAGTTTTACAAAATATGTTTAATAGACCCATAGAATATTGTAGAATTTTGACATTTTCTACGATCTCTTCTCTGGGCTCTAAACAGAAAAATATGATGAGTATCAGATTTAGAATGTCTTATAACGGTAGCCTTATAACTCTCGGGTGGGAATTTAACGCGAAAAACATCATATTATTGCCAGTACAACTAAGTATTCCATACTTCCAGATGAAGATGTAAAGGACAACTTGGACCGAGTGTTTGATAGGATAGGGAACATGCAGATGGAACTTGCGGGTCTTCATCGCAAGTTAAAAGAGAAATCGATCAGATATGCAAAAGGTTCTGTCAAGAAGACAAAATCCACGCCATGTCAAAAGTCTTCTTACATGCCTTGCAAATGTTCACCGCCATCACCTGATGAGTATATGTAACTGTGACTCTACCCAGGTGAAGTCAAATAAATTAACAGCATATTATAAGAGGCATTTAGAAACTGCAGACAAATGTTACAACAGATTCTCTGCTTGTTATTAGAGCAGTCTGTTATTTAACAGTTTAAGGATTTAAGCCCTGGACTTGTGAAATGTGCATGCATGTGTTGGACACAAGATGAAGTGGACCTGGCCGCAAGTGTGGAGCCGTAAGGTTCACCTCCCCCGTAAAGGGCTCATCATTTATAATGGTTCTTTTTAACGTTTCCATGACTTTGACTTTGCATCAGGATCTTGCCTCATCCAATTCGATAAGGTTGGCCAACTATAGCTACCTTATCGGAAGTGTAGTTACAGCAGTCTCTGCCTTCATAAGTAACTGGCTTCTATTTCATATTCATACTTACACGAAAGTGAACAATAGATAATTTGGGGTCATCAAGATATCATCAGCTTAAAACTGTAAAATAATTATCTTACCCCCCTATCACACCAAACTCGTTCTTACCCGTTCTTGCCAGTCCTACGAAAACGTCGTAAAACGGGCTCAATCTGGCTGCGGTCGGGAAATATGTCTGAAATAATTAGCTTCTTCGTTCTTAAACAGTCTTCAATACGTCCATCTCGTTCGCAGTTCGTTCAGGTCGCACCACGTCGGTGTGCAACGTAGTAGAACGCGTCCCTTAGTCTAGAAGGTCAACATGACCTGATTACAGAACGTTATGGTCGCCATCGAATTTTGAATCGATTCAAAATTCTAAAATCACATTCCCGTCTGAGAACGATCATAAAGTTCGTAAATAGACCTTAGAAAGTTGCAGCTACGTTCATTCCGTTCGCACACAGTTTTGAAGAACGCAGTGGCAACTTGTTTGGTGTGATAGCTATATCTTTGCTAACTCGTTCATAAGCAGTGTTAAATACGTTCTCAATCAGTTTAAACCCGTTTGCAATTAGTTCTACCTCGTTCTCAACACGTCCTCAGACAATTCAACTCGTTGTTAAACCGTCCCTAGTAGGATTGAAGTACGACGGTTCCGTTCGTAGTACGTCCAGCTCGTGGTTAGTACGTTGTCACTCGTTCTTATTGTAGAACGTGACGACCACAAGAACATTTTGAGCATTGTCTAAGTTCTAGAGGACCTACCAGTTCGAGTACGTTCGATGAAGTTTGTTAATAGATCCCAAACGGTTCTTAGTAGGTCCAGTCCGTTCGTACACAGTTGAAGCCCGTTTTTGAGAACGTGGTGAGAACTAGTTTGGTGTGATAGTAGGGTAAGTAACACATCACAGAACACACCGACAACGGTTAAGTCAGATATCGTTGTCACAAATAGCGGACGTAAACGTCGCAACTCTTCAATGTCGGTGCCAATGAATATTCTCAACAATATATACTAATACCCTTTAGTTTATATTCAAGACCAGTTGTTGCATTGAGATCTTACACAGTGTATCTGACTAATCGGATTTATCAATGCTTCTACTGTAATGTTTCTATGTTGCTGAACAGTGATAAAAACTCATAAATACTTCATCCTCTCTTTAGAAACAGTTATATATCAATATGATGATATTATAATGGTTTTAATTACACTTCGATAGTATTATATAAGTGCAGAATTTATCTTTTTTCTATATGGGATCTGACCTGAGAAGATATATACTTGGAAACAAACGATACATTTATGTTACAGTGAAACTTATGTGCGGGTATATATCACTCTCAATGTAAACACTGTTTTGGCATAGATCCAAGGTCATGACCTTACATTGCGCCAATCAGTAGCGCTAATGGGTGTATTTCACTTTACTGAAACACTGCTCACAGTGACCTGAAATGAGTTGCTCTGTACATATTTTCAAAAGTTTTTGCCCTTGAACAGATAGAACATTGAGTTTGCCGTTTTCAGAGCCAAACACTTACAGTAAAAGTCAAATACTATAACTGTACTTTTCTACATTTGTTTTATATCTTGACTTTAATCAATTTTAACTAAATATTTTAAAATAAAGGTTGTTTTGTGGAGAAACTTTTCAACTTAATTGGTGGAAAACCCTTACTTTCTTATCACTGTATTTAGCTACTTTTATTACATATTCAATAAGCTACTATAAGGAATCAAGGGAACAGTATTTCACATAGCAAGTGTTCAACAGACATGACACATCAGATAATTTATTTGTAAATAGAACGGTTTCTTTTCTTATATTGCATCTATGAATTAGTATTAAAATGGGCATAAGTGTCACTGCCTGGAGGATGAGTGTTGGAATGCACAACAGTAGAAAGTGTTTTATATCAGTTAATAAGAGAGAAGTCAAAAATGGCAGCAAATGCATACTCGACTATTTTAACTCACTCTCTTGGATTCCATTGTACATTTGCCTTACATTGATATGTGGTTTTGAGCTCTACATAGCAGATTCAGGCAGGCAAATCACTTTGAATTCTTGTAAGATTTTATTTGGATGCATTAGTACATTTCTAGTTGTCATCCATGGTTTAACATTCATGGGCACAATTGTCTATATTCATAGCAATCACAAACATTTTGGTACATTTTACATAATGAAGATGTTTGCTAGTATAGTTTTATTGTTCATTCCATTCTGTGCTATTTTATGTTATATTCCTAATACTGTTCAAGCTATTCTCTTACTGAGTAATGATGTTCATCAGAATCCAGGACCTACAAATCATTTTAAGCTCACAAAGATTTTATTCTCAAATATAAACAGTATAAGTGCAAATGTAAATGCCAGATTTGAAGCACTTAAAGATAGAATACAGATCAATGGAAATGACATTATTGGACTTTGTGAGGTTGGAAATCTAACTGATTTGACAGTTTCTTCTGATTATTCTATAGATGGTCATTGTCATGTATACTCGAATAAAAATCGAGGCCTATTGATATATGTTAAAGATGATATCCCTTTTAAAATTAGAAATGACCTTATGAATGATCAGGGTGACTCCTTATGGATTGAATTGAGCATTAACTATAAGTCATATCTATATGCAATTTATTATAGGTCACCATCGCAAACTCAAAATGAGGCAAATGAATTCTGCACTAGGTTCTCAAACTCATGCAATATGGCACTTGACTCTAACCCAGAAGCTATTTTTATTAATGGAGATTTTAATGCAAGGAGTAAACAATGGTGGGCCTTAGACAATGAAAATTTCACAGGAAAAAAATTATTTGAACACATTGAAGAACTTGGACTTTTTCAGCTTATAGATGAACCAACGCGAATAACAAATACCAGTAGATCATGTATTGATCTTCTCATTTCAAATAGCCCTGATATTATAACAAATGCTTATGTTTCTCCTCCTATTGGTAACACTGACCATTGCTCAATAAACACGGAGTGTTTTCTTAAAACTCTTAAAAACCGTCCTTATTCAAGAAAAATTTGGAAATATGACCAAGCAGATATAAATCTAATTAACAATTCAGTTAGAGCAGCAGACTTTGATCACTTGATAGATAGTAGTAATGATTTAGATGACATAGTAAGCAATTTTTCTAGAGGGTTACTTGCAATTTTTACAGATCTTATTCCAAACTCTGATATTGAAATTAAACCTACGGATAAGCCATGGTTTACAAGCGATATCAAAACCTTGATAAATAAAAGAAATAAATTACATCGTAAGTACAGGAAAACACATGATGACAAATACTTTAAGAAATATACTGATCAATGTAATCTTGTTAATGATGCTATTCGTGAGGCCAAAGAGGCAATGGAATCAAGGTTGTACTATAAATTAAGTAATCAGAGATATGGAAGCAAAGGATACTGGTCAATTGTAAGTAGGCTTTTGGGAAAATCTAAAAATAGTAAAATACCACTTCTTTGTGATGCTAGGGGTAACAGTTACACTGATAGCCATGACAAAGCAAACTTGCTACTGTCTCATTTCACTGACAAATATCATATAAATTATCAAGAAGGAAATGAAACTTTTATTCCAAGAACTGATCAATCTTTTGACCTACTCTCTACTAATGATAGAGAGGTTTATAGCATTTTACTTGGGTTAGACACAAATAAAGCTACTGGCCCTGACATGTTAAGCAATAGAATGCTTAAAATGGCAGCACCATCACTTTCACCGATATTATCAAAATTATTAAACAAAATGTTCATTCTTAATAAATACCCCCAACCTTGGAAGGTAGGCCACGTTGTAGCAATTCATAAAAGTAAAGACAAAACAGATGTAAAAAATTATAGACCTATAACTCTCCTGAGCTGTATATCTAAAGTTGCAGAACGCGTAATCTTCAAAAGACTTTTTGACCATCTAATTGTGAACAATTTATTTTATAACCTCCAAAGTGGCTTTTTGCCAGGTCACAGCACCCAGGCACAGCTTCTAAGTATAATTGATGTCATAACTAATGAAATTGAAAATGGGGCCAATGTAAGGGGGATTTATCTTGACATTTCGGCCGCCTTTGATTCAATGCCCCATGGGCTACTATTAAAAAAACTGGAAATGTATGGTTTTGGTCATAACATCATAGAATTAATGAAATCGTACCTATCTAATAGACAAGTGAAAGTTGTATTGGATGGCCAAGAGTCTGAACTATCTGAGATGAACCATATAAACGCAGGAGTACCTCAAGGCTCCATATTAGGCCCCCTCCTGTTTCTAATTTATATCAATGATTTACCTGATAACTTAAATACCAAATGTTTTATATATGCAGACGACACGTCACTTTACCAATCCTTCACAGCTGAAACAGCAGCTGATAAGAATAATGAATTACAAGAGGATCTAAATAAAATTCTCTTATGGTCAAATACATGGAAATTAAACTTCAAAGCTAGTAAAAGTAAAGATATGACTTTTTTTAATCCAAGAAAGCGCGAAATTTTGACCCCAGATCTTTCCCTTGGTAATGACAAGTTACCGAGAGTAAACAATCACAAGCACTTGGGCTTGATTTTGGACAAAAATCTCACTTTTGACTATCACATTACTGAACTTGTGGCAAGAATAGATAAACTCATAAATCCGTTAAAAGTCTTCAGTAAGAAAATAAGTGGAAAACACCTTGAAACAATTTTTAATTCTTTTATTTTGCCACTCTTTGATTATTGTGACATTCTTTACGGATGTGCAAATTTGACAAAACTACAACTTTTAGACCGCCTTTACTATAAAGCTGCAATTATTTGTTCAGGTGCCACGCATGGAACATCAGCCACAAAAGTGTTGAATACTTTAAATTGGCCCACACTCTCAAATAGACGTCAATATCATAGAGCTACCTTTATGTATAGAGCTCACAACAACTTGCTGCCTTCTTATGTCACTGAGATATTTGAACCACTAAAAAGAAATCAAACACATGAACTAAGACACCAACTTGACTATATTTTACCAGTTAAATCCAAATTTTATGAAAGATCTTGTATCTCAAAAACAATATCAGAATGGAATCTACTCTCATCTGATATAAAGAACTCATCTAGCTTAAGCATATTTAAATCAAGCCTTAAAAGCAATATCTTTAACGAAACTGTTATTAACTCATCAGAATTGTCCATCTCAAGAAATCAAGAAATTATATTTAACAGAGTACGATGTGATTTCATTTTCAAGGCTCACCTTTACTCACATAACTTTACCAATGTAAATTCCCCAATCTGCTCATGTGGTATTAACAGTGAAACAACCAGCCATGTGATTTTTCGATGTAACTTGAGATTAACATTCTGGACTGAATTAGAAAACCAACTAAAAAATATGAATATACAATACTCCCGTAAATATAAGACACAACGTGATAAACTTTCTCTGATCCTCAATGGTGATAAAACATTAAGTAGAGCTGAGAATCTGATTGTTTTAAAGTGCAGTGCCATTTTCTTCGAGCGATGTGTAAATGTCTGAAATCCTCCACAAAACAATTTTTATCTTATTGTATCTCATTTATTTTAATCAATAGTATTGATTGAATACATTGTATATTGTAATTGTAGAACGTGGCTAATAATGCTAAAAGCACAGCCACTCACACTGTATTTTGTATTGTATTCTTTGTACAAATGAATAACTTAATAAAAAAAAAAAAAAAAACTCTTCAATCACTTGGCTTGAAGATTTAATCGCTCGTATCAGTGCAATATGGATTGATTTATTCCTCAAAAAGTTGTTATTTCAACCTTTGCACGAGATACCATCGAGTGTGAAGTTTAGGAAATAACGCCCGACAGTCAGGTTCGGTAACTGCGTCAAAATGAACAATTCGTGCACCGATATTTACCTAGAATGGTGGCATTATTGGATTAAACTTCTTGTTTAATATTTTCAATATATCTATCACCAAACGTGTAAATGCTAATTTTGATTTTCTGTAACGTATCGGTGAAGTAATCATGAATGGTGTGGCCAAGACTTCAGAATTTCCGCATGTGCCTACTTCGAATGATATGTTATTTGTCATTGAATCAGACGATACTCGATTTATTTTTATGATATGGCCTTATAACAAGCGTGCATGTGGTGAATGATGTATAATATGAAATTCTCATTTCGATCAAATGTGGTCGTGAATCGCCACAATGTACCGACTTCTTTATCGTAAATGACAACGGAATCCGAATTTCAAATTAACAACGACACATGGTAAGATAATACAAAGGACTAAAGTGGATGTATTGCATTGGAACACATGAGAAATGACAACGGGAATTAGGCACATTACCCTTGAGCACATTTGATCCATATTTACCGATGTCATTTTCAAATATTACCGTTGGTATCCCGAGTTTACAGCACATTTGATCCATACTTACCGTTGTCATTTCCGTTGTCCAATGTCGTAGTTTGATCGATACAATTAAAAGCTTTATTTGGATGATTGGTAGAACTTACTATACTATACGATGAATAGACGCGCTTTGATTGATTGTTGTTCAAGAGTTCAACACGCATTTAACAAACATCGATTCGAATACGAATCTATGGCCGCCATTTGTGAAAACGGTATCTGACGTTGTCAAGGTGTTCCATGTGAGTAAGAGGATAGTTATAAATTATAGCCTCTTGACTCCCAGAGTAGGTCTAAAATTGGGATAATTTTGAAACCGAATATTGAACCTTTGTTGAAAATATTAAAACAACCTATTTAGAAAAGGCAATCTCCTTTACTACTGAGCCTATTTGAAAATTTGGATACAGAAGAGGATTAATGCAAAGCAAATTCTATTGTTGGCACAAGTTAATGTAAAGACAGATTTTAGAAAATAGGAATGAGAAGGTGACACATGATGAGTTTAAAACATAGACATTTTTGTTGTCATCTATCTTTGTTCTCTCTATTATAAAGTATAGTATAGATAGATTATTGTATGTTTATTATATTTATATATATTGTATGATACTGTATTGATTTTGCCATACACATTCTGGAACTCTAAAAAGCTCTAAGGTCAGTAACAGAAAGAATGTAAAGATTATCTTAATTCTGATGAAATTTCAATTCAAATTGATAATATTTTTGCAGTCTTAATTTGTATGACTTGTTTTGCAAGCTTGTCAATTTAAATGGGCAAAGAAAATGAAAAATACAAGACAAGTCTAAACCATTCCAAAACTGACACACCCGGGCTGACACATTTTTTGAAAAGGTAAATGTACATGTCATGGTAACTCTTTTGATTTACTTTTGCAGAGAAACTAATAGCCTTGCCCAAGTCGGTCTCTTTTACTTAACTTGATTTCAATAATTTCAAGATCAGATAAGTAAAAAATACAGACTTGGGCAAGGCAGAAACTAAATACTCCACTATTTCATAGGAAAGGACGATGGATCCGAGTGCTAAGTACAGAATGACTATATTTATATTTAAACAGCAAAACTTGCATTGGTGTCTAATTTGGACGGTTTAGCAGCCTGCTGGTTTAGCAATCAATATTTTTGGAATTTTAAATGAACCTGAACACAAGATCCACTTGAAAATGAATGTAGGTAGATGATCATATGGAACGCATGAATGTTTTCATATCCAAAAGATGTACTTGGTTTTTATACAAAATTCTATTTCCTAATGTCATTTGCAATGTTCAGTTCACAATAAATTTACATTCGCATGTTGTTATATGAGAATAAAGTTGGCAATGTTTCTGTTTTATACACCTAGAAAATAATAGAATTCAAAGATCAGACTGAAAGTAAACAGTAGTGATCTCCTTTGAAACTGTAAATGAAGTCTCACTTTGGTTGCTTTATGATCCCTGCTTGTCAGATACAATTAATATATCAGATAGATTATAGTGAGTTTAATGTCCTAAGACATCAGTTTCACATATCCCTCTACTGACTCTTTAATTGACCATGACACATGTTATTTTGAGACCATTAAAATGAGCCATTGTGCTGGCATTCTGTCCTCACTAAGACACCATATCATATATATCCTAGCTTATGCAATAGATGCAAGGTAGTCTTTAACTTCAGATGGGGAAAGTCTTTTAAATCCATCTTGATTACAGATCCCTATTTCTATATTATCTTCTGTCATCTGGCCCTCAAAACTCTCCTTGAGTGTTAGGATAGCTGTATGGACTGCATCTTCCAACTCAAGATTGTCGCTATACCTGTAAAATGAGTGAATTCTCATTTTTAAGTCCCTATCACTGTTTACAGATTATATCAACTAAAATACACCAGGTATACAGTGACAGAATACAACTTCAATTTCAACATATTGTAAATACTTAGTGTAGCTAAATATTTAGTGATTTCATTTATGTTTACCGTGTAATTAAAAGTACTCATGTTTCATACTATTTTAATTAAAAGTACTCATGTTTCATGCTTTTTTAATTCAATATCAATCAGAAATACTGAATTTTAGTCTTAAACATTTATGTTTGTTTTATCATTTCATCTCTTAATTTACAGATCAATCTTATACTTACCTTTTTTCTAAGAATGTCTTTCCATTGATAAAGTTTTTTCCCATAGCAGTGGCCTTCCATGCAAAGTATGCTCCCTGACAACAATAGAAAATCAACTTTATTACTTAGCATTTAAATAGATGGATGTTAAAAGTAATGTTCATGGCATTAAAAATGTCACCACATGCAAATAGTTACAAGTGTTATGACAATTTGTTACAGACACAAATATCATTTGGTGCGATAATTAAAACTACTTCCATTTAAAAGATATGTATGCTCTCCACAGCCAATGAAAAGCAGTGTTTTTGTTTTTATTAACCAGCCCTTTCACTGAAAATGTCAATGCGTGGGATCCCAAAGTAGTCCCAATGTTTTGTGTTTCCTGGAAGTGGAGCTTGAAGATGCTGTTATCTTCAATTAGTGGATATTCATTAACATGCATGAAAACTGGGAAAGTATTTCTTCTGAATTTTTTGTTGAAATTTAGTTATGCATAATGGTACGAATAAAATAGTATGATCTGGTGTGTGGTTCGCGAACATGAATCTCTGTTCGCGAGTGGAGAAATATGTTCGGGACTGAGGAAATGGTGGTGCACGGCTTAAGATTTCTCGTTCTCGATGTGAGAATCATGGTTCGAGCGCAAGGAACGTAGTCCGTGAGCTCAGAACTGATGTTCACTTTGTTGGAAGTCTGGGAGGCCTGAAACAGACAATCCTCTAGTTTTCCAAAATATCAACTAGAAAACAGCAACTCCACGGAGAAGCAAATCCCACCCAACAAAACATATTTTGATTATTAGTGGCCATCTTGAAAATTCCTTCTTGAGCTGAGCTTGTTTGCCCTAAGGTATCAACATTTAAAATGTAAACCATATCAGTAAATTAGCATTTGAGTTATCAAAGATGACATTCCTTGTTTACAAAAAATGGCAGCCATTTTGAAATTCAGCCGCCATTCTGAAAATCTTTCTCTTTCTTCTGTGTCCCAAGGTTATCAAAGTTTATATTTTTTATGAATAATGACGGCCATTTTGAATTAAGCGGCCATATTGAAAATTCCTTCTTGAGCAGATATTCTACCCCCATAAGGCAAAAGTCTATAAAGTTTGAATCAAATCAGTCAACCTGTATTTGAGTTATCACCTGGACAAACATATGGACGACCGCTTTCCTATATCCCCCTTAAACTTTATTCGATGGGATAATAATATCCACTCATGGGAGATGTCAATGTCCACTCATGGGTATAAATTATATTTTCAAAACCAAAGTATATTTCTATAAGATTAAATACTTACAGAGGGATCACACTGATAAAGGTATGGTCTTTTTTCATCTTCATCCCAACCAGCCATCAACAAAGATACACCGAATGGACGTACACCACTGGAAAATAGCAAGAAATCATAAGACACTGTATTTGGTCTCACAATGGCCTTGATCATGCATATAAAGATCAGGTCACAACTAGATTGTTTGACAATTCACTCAATCAATATATCCTCTCAGATAGAGTAACATCTTTCAAACTAGTTTAAGATATGGGGATATGGAGACAATTTTGAGCTATTTTGACTATTTGCTATTTTTTCAAAATAAATAAAAAAGCCCTGATTAAAGTTCTGAAATAGAGATCTTGTAACAGAATATACTGTACTTTGAGGATCATAATACACAAGAGCAGGAAAACTAGATATAAGAGATAACCTCACTACAATGAATGCCAACTCTAAATAGAATACTTTTCTCACTATCAAATGTGAACTGCATGTACATGTTCATGTTTTTGTATAATACATTTATACTTATACACAGATGACTTAATAGTTACATTGAACTTACCCAGACTGTGTGTATTCTTGCATTACATTGGCGACCCTTTGTACAATTTGTGCTGTTGGTATTTCCTCTTGGTATGTAAGATAATATTGCTGAGCTAGCTTCCTTGCCTGTCGCACCAACACTCTACACAATAAATAAATATCAAAATAAAAACTTGGAATTGAAAAATCTTTGATTTGTAGATAAAGAGGTCATTCAAAGGGAGGGATATATACTATAGTATTTTACTGAGGACTCTAATGAAGAATATCATATCACCATGGTCAACTTACCTGTAATCGGGTCCCATACCACTGTAGACCATGCCCACATTTTTTGTGACCATTTCCACCTTGTGCACGCTGTGTTCATCATAGAGTATTGACTTCTGTTTCTTCTCTGTTGCCAGAACAACTCCATTGGTAGCTTAAAAACATTGACCATATGTTAACTAGTAGTTTTGCATACATAAGAATAGTGATCTCCCCAGAATTTTTTCTCAGGTGGGTGCAAAATTCTCATTTTCACAATGCAGACCAAAATATGCCAATTTTTCATATTTTTTCTATTTTTTAAGTAGGTGCAAATGGATTTTCAGGTGGGTGCAAGCCTATTTTCAAAATCTAAAGTGGGTGCTGCGCCCACTTGCTTTAATGCTGGGGAAAGCAGCGACATGCTAGTATTGCATCCACAACTAAGGATTGAGAAAAATTATGTATTTCTGATGCTGCAACTACAGGCATGCAGAAATTATTATCATAATTTTCATTCTGCAAGATTTGCTTCTAAATGTTAGTTTTGTTCATATATATTTGATAGGACAAAAAACTCCTCCTTGTCAATATCTCCAAAAAGTTAAACTCGGCCTAGTCTCAACCTTGACACTGAAACATCAATTGTTGATCCATATTATATTATGATAACCAATGTACTGTACATGAAGACCAGAGAAAGGTAGTGAAAAAAACTATAAATGCTTGTTTTGTTTTTCTGTTGGGTGAGTTAAAGCCAGTGACACACAGACATTTTACCTTTATTTTAAAACCCCCAAAAAGTAATAAATATGACACTGTGCTATAAAAAAATGAGATAGAGTAAATATTGTGGCTCAGAAATAAAGGCCAAGATTTGAACCTGTAAAATCACGGATTCAAGCCTGAAGCCCTAACCACTCTGCCATAGCCTCAGCTCAACTTTAAAGATGCATTTTTTAGTATTCATTCCTAATTTCAGAAAAATGTTTTTCCTCTACACCACAATTATTAAATAGTAGTCAATAATCATGCTAATAATTTTAGAATACATATCTGAGTAAATATTCTAAGCCAAATTCAGAATTAATACTGTTAATCCAGTTTTCATTTTGAGAATCTATTTCCTGTCATGACAGTCAAAAAAACATGGCCTCCAAAACAAAATTCTTGCTTCCAATTTTCAAAGTGATTTAAAATTATATTCATGGATCAGCTATTTTTGGCACCTAAACCCATCCTAATAGAAAGGTAAGAGTATTTTCTTGAAAAGTATTTCTTGAAATCCCCAATTTCAGCCTCTGAAGTCTGTGAAAGTCACTTTAACATGATAATGATGTCGCAAATTATGTGAAAAAATTTGAAATCAATCAGTGAAGTTGAGATCATTTGTTTGCTTAGATGTTGATGGAGCAATAGAGAGCTTTCGGTATAGCACTGGGGAGGAAATCTGAAAACGAAGATAAGGTGCTCTCATCCTTCAGCTCCCAACAAAATATTCAGCAAGTATGTAGTTTGCGAGTTCCAGTTTCAAAATATGATTACAACCTAGAAAAAATCAACTTTGCCAAAGCTAGGATATTCATATATCAATTCCCCCAGATTATGAAATGAGGAAAATCTTCAAATGAAATATACTTTCCTGGTTTCTTTGAGAAACCTTCCTCCCAGTGGTGTTAAAGTCATTTAAAAGTTAAAGTTGCAGTATAAGTTTGGCTAAAAATGTATATCAAAAGCTCTCTAATATGTGAATGATGTCACAAACCATAATTTATTCCAAGAAATTATTATCAAGAGTGTTAGATGACGTCATGATTTGGATTGTGTATCACACAGCTTTACGACATTGTGTAATTTTAGCCAATTTTAACTCCAATTGATATTCATTCTGTTTTTACATGTATTTAAATTAAGGTGAAATGAGGTAAAGAATTGATTAATTACAGGTGCAGATCTGATCCTTAGATCAAGATCTCCTGACATGCTGAAAAAATATCATGGAAATGTCTATGGAACTGTCAATTTTTTATCATGCAGTAAAATATAAAATACCTTTGATCCCAACTGAGGGGGCACCAGCTGCTACTGCTGCAAGTGCATATTCTATTTGAACCAACTTTCCAGAGGGACTGAAACAGCAAAAAAACAACATGTAAAAGCAACAAATTTTTAGTGAAAGCATTACACATTTCATACCTCAATCTTGCTACTATGGCAAGATAATATTGCGCATGTAAGCAATTGCAAAATTCGTAAAATGATCCACACTCTGCCTTATGACCAATCTCATTGCTGGATGCATGCACAGTATCCATGTAGCAATGAAATTCTACATGGAGCTTTCTTGACCTGATATTTTTTACTTATTGTACTGAACTTCCAACTACTGTAGGTTACTGTTGCTGCAGTTTTAAAATATTCAAATTTATTCAATTAATAGCCAAGCTTTATACCTACAAATGATTGATAAATTCCTACAAAATCGAATGAATGTTTTCATGAATCACCATGTTTGTGATCCAAGGAGGATTGACTCTCAGAATGCAACACCAGTTAACCTTATTTACTCTTGACAGGTTTAAAATGGCGGAACAGCATTTGGAAAGCTGGTCATGTTGCATTCTGGGAGCCAATCCTCCTAGCGGCTTAATCAGGCTCACATTTGAAGAGTCGGCATTAACAATAACATATGAATATTACTTCAAATTTTTAAGTTCCTATTTGTCATCATGGACACAAATTCCACTATATTTGTACCATGGGCTTTCAATTTCTACAGTGCTGGTATATATTAATTGATCAGTCGTTTAATTGGCATATTTTCTTGAATTTGAACATTTAATGTCCCAAACTCCCACAAACTGCAGAAAAGTATACACCATAAATCATATTTACCAAAATTAGTGTCTCCAAGGCTTCACACCGGCATATGCATTATGCATTTTTCACGAGTTTGAGCTGAAATTTCCCCAAAATGAAGTAGGCTAAGGGTAGTCTCTGCCAGGTTTGTTTATTGTGGTAAGCTTGTAAGTGCTCAGAAGCAAATAATTCACGTGCGCAAAATAATCAAATAATCTGATTGGTTTAAACTTTGCTGCACATGCGCACAATGTGTGCCATGTTTTCCTAGTGATTTCGTTTCGTTTCATGGAGTTTCCGTTTCAGTGTAACTTCCGCAAAAATGGCTGACCATGGAGAGAATTAACAGGTAAAATCACTTCGAAATTTCAAGAGAACTTTTTACCTATAATACCAAAACTTTTGTTTTATTTGTGCATTCTATCTATCAGATAAGAGTCTCAGGGGTATGTAGGCAAATTCATTTTGGTAGGAGCACTCTGTTTAATTTGAAAACGCACCTTTAATTATTATATATCAGCACTGTAGTTGAAAGCCCATGATTTGTACGTTCCGGGCTGGAGAAAACAGAGTACTCAATTCACCGAGGTAAGAATTTATGACATATGTAACAGTATTACATACCCAGCGAAGCATTTGTATTGAAGTCAATGGAGCTGAAGGTCGGCTATATATTCCTGTATAGCCGCCTCGTAATATAACCCTCGCAAGCTCGGGCTATATTGGTGACAGACCTCAGGCATATATTCAATGATAGGGACATAACTGCTAAGAATGTCTTTTTCATAGTGTTATTCATTATCTATGTTCACCACTTTACATTACACGATCAGATACCCGATCAGGATGATCGTGCATTTTTACGAAAATGAAAAGATTCAAATTCGACATGTCATTTCTCGGACAGTACATAACAATATGTTAAAATATATACATCTGCAGAAAGATAAATGCAAGGAGAATAAATTTGTAGTAACAACATAACATGTAACGCTATAAACTAAGAGATAGTGCAACTTACCTGAAAGTTGTGAGAGAAAAACTGTACCGCTCCGACATTTTGAAAACGAGGTTTAACCGGAAATAGGCAGCGTCGCCGAATCTGATTATTTCAAGTAGCCTATATAGTGTTTTTACGTACATATACATCTATTATATTATATCCCTAGGAATATTAGTTTAGTATGAATTTTACCAAACGATGGAGAAAAACGTTATTATATAGAATATGAATGCCCCCATCCATCACACATTGGATCACTTAAGTAGTTTCGCTCAGTGCACTTTCTCCAGATATTTAATTCCCGGGAAAACAAGGGGAACTCATCATGATGAGAGACGCGAGTGATGGCGTTCACCAGTACAAACTACAAAGTAGAGTTGAAAGCCCATGGTGATACAGGTATTAGTATGTGAATCGTTTTTTCTAATTACAGAAGCAGTTTTTGAAGGACTTTTAAAACTAACTTTTAGAGGTTACACTAATTATCTTTTAGGATAATTCACTCCAATACATAGTATTCATCCTCGTGTGTTTTTTCCCCAAAAATTAAGAACATTGGTCCATAAATAAGAGAGAAATGAATGGTACAATACAATGGTATTTAAAACATAATATATTCTTCCTTTTAACCTGGTTAGACAATCAACATTGATTGTGAAATTGCATTGCATTGATGTTAAAAATATAATGTTTTGCACTGCATAGTGGAATTTTTGTTGATTAAAAAATTTTCAACTTTGAATTTTATTTGAAAATGGCGGGGAATTTTTCAATTTCTATTTTCAAAAAATTCTAAAATAACTTTTAAAGTTATGTCAAATAGTAAATGAATGATAAAAACATATTTTCATACTTAACAATGCGGGGACTTCAACAAATTATAGTTTAAAATGCTTAGAATCTACCATTACAGGTTGTCCCGAAAGTATCAGACAGCCATATACCAATGTCTCCATAATATTGGTTAATATATAATTTTAAAGCTTATCCAAAGTTACATTGATTTGGCAAGTATCATTCAACTCAAAAATGGGAAAAGGTTATAGGTATTTAAAAACTTAGTGTTTGTCCAAAATTAAAGTCACAGTCGTTGTGATGCATTGCAAACCCAAAATCGCGCCCTTTGACAGTTCCTGGCTACGTTCCTGTTAATTTGGAGGTATTTTATGCACATCTTTCGACTTTGGACCAACGTTTCGATTCATTTGGTTACCATGTGCTTGGCAACGGGGCTTACAACTCAATTTGAGCCTGAGCTTACTCACGGTATCTTGAACTCAGTTGAGTCTTTTCTTCATCCCAGGGTCTGTGGTTGGTTAGTCAAGTAATTTTCGCTTTAATTTCAAGGTTGTTCTAATCAAACAGTTAACACGCGACAATCGATATGTTGTATTGTTGTCTTTTTCATTTTATTTACAAAAACAATAAATTGCACAATTTAACAAACAACAATATATATTTACCATTACATGATTGGTATTCAAAATACCATGGCTAGGCCTATTACATGTACAAGTATGATACATGCGAATGCAACAAATAAATCAGACTACCAAAATATATTTATTTTAAGGATGAATTAAACTCAAACCGTACAGAAATATACATCCATTACATTAATCATGAGACTACACGAAATTTCCCCTTGGTATTTATGTCTTCAAATTACGTACATGTACAGAGTGGGACAAAAAAACGTCCTTTGAGTTTTTAATTTTGTTATTATTTTTTCCGTAGTTTATGTTTAATAAATTTTTAACAGAGAATACAGTAATTATTATTGTTTCTAAAATGATATGACTTATTTGTCTTATATTCCACTCTAAATCTGGAAATAATTCCAGCACCGAACACATTAGCCTACTGTGTCTCTCTGACAGACTCTATAAAGATGTCACTCTTGTAGTTTGACGTGAGACATTGACTAATATCAGTGAAAAAGTAGGACTTTCGATATCCCGAGAACTGTATAATTTCATTTATAGACAGTTAGTGTCTGCTAACCATTCTTATTAAGAAACCCATCAAGATTTATTTCATCAGGAACAATTGCAAAATGAATAGATAAAGATATGGACGTTTTTTTGACCCAGTCCGTGTATAATTTAAGACACATTCTGCGTAATTGTACCGTGATGTGTTGTCCATACTCTGTACATTTATTTACTATAATATTACGCCTTCTAGGATTTTTTTAATAAAACAATACATTTAAAATCATTTAGGTTTTTGACTTCCAAATACAATATCACACAGGCACTAACAAACACACAATGATATATGTATACTCATTATTTATCTACTATTATACATTATGAATACATTTATAAATTAAACACATTGTATTGGCACTGGATTATATTGAACGTTAATATATTGTCTTGTAAAATCAGTCATGTGTAAATCGATTCAAATAATAGGGAGTTTAAGCTTGCACTGTTTTTCACAACCTAAACGCGAACGTAAGTTATTTAAGCGATGTATTTTTATGGACGATTGGCCATACGTACAGGTTGGCGTTTCGATTTTATACGCCAGCTTAAACTCCCTAATTACTGAACGATATGACATACTGACAGTTTAAAACCCCACATATGAATATGATTTCGATGTCTAACCTGCGACTCAGGCCTACATTGATTTTACACTACATCATAGAGCGTTTCTATATCTCCCATGATGCCTTTACGGATGAAGAAATGTCATCTTATTTCTTCATCGTATGATGACTGTACCTGTGTAAAACAGAACTTAATGACTGCAATATACTTAGTATGATTCCAAATTAAATGTTTTATAACCACACAAAATAGTTTCATTAATGTGCAATTTAATTCAAATATTCAACAGGCAATTGTTTTTAACATAATCTATCTATCCATTCGTTCAACTTTATCTTGAATAATATACGTAACTATTCAACAAAATGTATCTAATTATTTACAGGTAACCTAAAGTTTTAGGTTTAAATGTAACTGCAACGCTCTCCTCCATTATAAATAAATTGATTCACTGGCCAATTATATGTTTCTAACTGGACAATAATCTTGTATTTACACAGCACATATTATGTACAATAGTACAATACTATGATGTTCTAGTCATAACAGGATATATATATATTTTTATGCATATTTGAATCAAAATAAAGTTTATACCCTTATCTAACATCAAATCTCTAGACCCGCCCCAATCAACTATTTCTTTTGTGGAGCTAAGGTGCTAAATGGTAAGGGTTCACAAGGACTTAAATCAATACTAAGATTATACTTATAAATTAGGATTCTGACAGAAAACTTACAAACGTGATCAAAACCGAAAATTTGATGATTTAACAATTTAAAACGGGACTTGGGAATAATGATGCAATGGCATCTGTTTTATTAACATATGGACATATCATCCAAACCATAATTCATCTTAAAATGGATTTTAAACACTCTGTGTAACTAGGCATAATGATCAATGTTTTGTATTTTGTCAACTTCTTGAATACGGCCGGGAAAATGATTATTGCATGACACAATATTTCCATTCAGCTTATAAGTCTGCAAGTAAATCACCAAGGTCTCACATTATCTGTAACAGCAAACTTGTCATCAGGCTGTGGCATATGCATTTCAGTTGCAATATTTGGTCCTTGAATGTTGATGTTTTGTCTAGGCTCATGTCCACCTTCATCTTGTTGACCTTGAGTATTCATACCTTGGTAACCTTTGAAATGGGATCCAAGGTCATAGTTATAATCTGCTCCTTGATCATAGCCATAACCTTCTTGGTTCCCGTGACCTTGGCTCTGTTGGTAGGAGTTGGCATATTTGTCAGCGAAGCTGTCTCCTTCATTGCTACCAGTCGTTGCTCCATAACCACCCACTACAGAAAAATATATTTTGATATCAATGTGTGTTTAATTATGATAAACATGATGCTTTACATATCATTTAAGTTCAAATCGTGTTTTATTTCCTTTGTGTGCTTTTATCTGTCTCTTTATAAGCCTTGGGTAGCCTTTCTGTTCTCGAAAAGTTATTCCTTTAAACCATTTTATCAAAACCACATGAAGTTAAAGGGATAGCGTTGTTTATTGTTTATTATGCTTCAAAATACAGTACTTACAATGGTTTTGTTCATCAATGACCTTCTTATCTGGTGCCATAGGTACTCCACAAGGGGCTAAGTGAAGATTTTCTTCCATCATCTTGTTAGGGGCCTCCAGATCCGGTGACTTCTCCTTGAGGAAGTATGTAGCAATAACAAACACCAGTAGCACAAGGAGGCAGGCGAACCCATAGCCCCTAAAGGTGTATGCACTGCCTAGAACAGAATATAGGGGAGCAAATTACAGTTAGAATGTCAGTTTTATGTGGAAATATAGATTGTTTGCTGCTCAAAGATAATAATTTTAATTTTTCCTCCAAGTCGTCGTCAATGTCACATTCTTACCACAATAATGTATGAGTAGCCCTCCAAAAATGGCGCCGCATCCTCTCCCCAATCCGTGGTGGACACCCTGTAGGAGACCTTGTGCTGAAGAGCGCAATGTTTGTGGAATTGCCTGGGTCAGGTACGAGCAACATGCAGCCCACACTGCAGCGTGTGTTAAACCTTAAAGTACATGTAGAAAAAGGTTGTTCAGTATACTATTTGTAGCATTTATTAACCAATAATCATTTTTATTAAACATAGGATCGGAGTGCATTAATACAGACTTCCATACTACCTGCCATTTGGGACATGTTTGAACGAAGGAGGTTTGGACTCAAGGCGAGTCAATATAAAAAGAATACTAGTATATTGTCAGGTTATGGGGCAAGGCATGAATCCAATACCAACTTGCAAGTTCTGCAAAGGTCATGATAGAAACCTCTCCACTACATAATAGTTTAACCAAAGGCCTGCGATGTCCAAGATCTTGCAATAACTTTTTCAAATGATCAATTGCCGTTCTTAACGTTATTTCTCACAAGGAACTACTATTCGTCACTATTTGTCTAGACTTTATTGTATATCCTACAATTTCCAACCTAAGCCATGTCAATATACACGTGGATACTCGGCAATTGATTGATCATTGAGTTACCCCCAATGAACCAACTCGCAATGAAAATTCCGGATTTGCATAAACTATGTTGATTGGCGTACTTATTTCCGTTATAACTGGAACACATACAGGGTGTCCAATTTTTTCCGTTATAACTGGAACACATACAGGGTGTCCAATTTTCACAAAGCACTTATAGCATGGTTACAAATCCTATACGTTAGAACATCGTTTTGCCGCCATTTCAGTCCAGTTATGCTTATAACAATAATAGCTATACTCTATAGCAAAATCTCTATATTCTCTCAAAAATGTGATGAGAAAACAATATAAACTGCGGAGCAGTTTCACTTATTACAATACCAAACCAGAAAAGTAGTTTTTCTAGGTTCTTGTAGTTGTCAAAATCCTCTACTGGAAGGCAGATCATCTTGTTTTGGAGAATCATTGACTTGCGAGTCGCGACGCGTTGCATGAAATTCAGTGAATTGAATCAACTACACCTTTTTACTGTGTGATAAAGTAGTACGTACATCATGCATGGGCTTTCAATTACTAGTTGAAAACCCATGCATCATGGACAGCAGGGTATTAAAATGAAATCGTGATGCTCGTGTCAGTTTTCTCCAAAAGTAAAAATACTTTAAACATTTGCTCTACCCTATTTCATTGGCAAACTTAAATTATTTTATCATGATCAAGAATTGTTGAAAAGTTATTATGCTTTGTAATATAATTCTCAATTTATTAGGATTTTTAATACTGAAAATAAAAGTTTCGTTTTCAACCATCACTGACTACAACACATGACGTGCTTCACTGGCAAAAGCACCACTGGTACCCATGCATACTTTTGCTAGTTATGTGAAGATAGACTGATATATAGTGTACTACTTTTTGACCCACCCCGTATGTCTTTGTCATATGCCAGTCATAACAAGAGACAGCCGATCCACCATATCCGTTTAATATAGGATTCTTGTGAATTACAACATACGGCTTAGCATTTTGATTCGTAGACAAATTAAACGCAACTGTTCAAAAGTCATAAGCTGAATTTTTGAAAGCTGGATTTTCATATAGGTTTAATTCATATTGGTTGCATAACGTTCTTGTAGATAATACGGCTTCGGTTTTGATTTATTAAAAATCGTAAACTAAAGAAATGACATGTAAATAAAACCCAAATACACACAATTCAACTGAGAGGGGTGTTCGATTTAGTTCTTCTTAAAATATTCATGGCAGACGACTCTTACACTGTTACCATTGCATTATTGCAATCACACTCATATGATTAATGATTGATTAAATGAGGATGATATTACTACGTCGAAATAACAATCCATGAAGGAATATCATGAAATTAATCTTCAGAAATAGTGTGATTAATTGACGAATAAGTAATTTGCTTTAAGATTCGAATAATGGAAAAGCCAAGGTAACACACTGTGCTATACAGAACATGAAAACAGCATCAAAGTCCGTAAATCTAATAAATATATTCCATGGATCGTGCCTTATTTTCTGAATTGTTTCTATGAAGGTTGCCCTTTTCAAACTGATTAGATGAATGCAATTAACTGTTGTAAATAGAAATGAGGAAAGTGGAATTTCCGCTGTATCGAAATGGTATCAAGTATTGATTTCTAGAGAGAATACCAGGGAAACATAGAATTAATGATTGAAAAATCTGATGTTGGTGTAACTTGGTGGGCAGTTGGGGTAAGCATTGATATTATATTGATCTACATAGCCTATATGGGGATTAATTTTACTATATTTATGACTGTATATACTTTTCTCTCTTTGAACATCTTGACATATTTTGATAATTTGTAGCCTCTGGTCCGATTTGCGTTTGGTCAAAAAATCAAAGTTATGTGGTCCATCGAGGCTCCAGAAGAATATTTGAAACCCCCAATTTTCACACGTACAGGGTGAGCCAAAAAACCTAAAGACAATAATGGCTTGTTTTGTAAAATGGTCATAAAATCATTTCAAATAGACCACTGAAACTTTGTTGAATGAAAGAACATTAAACAAGGTTTAATTGTGCCAAATATGACTTAATACTGGATGGATGACTGAGTTATTAAGATCTGTTTTGGTTACCTTTTTTGGCTCACCCTGTATATCAGTGAAACTATATTGTAAAAATTATCTAGTGGATCGTATGTTATTCTTACCTTGTACAAACTCGAATGGCAATGCCCACCAGGGATTGGTTAGCCAAGATATGTACAAGAACCTTCCAACGTTACCTAGTAGACCTAAGTACAGCACCTTCACATGACCTACAATAATACATTAATATAAATGTAAGACCCGAAAGAGTATTAAATGATGGGGTGGGACGGATTTGAGGAGTTGCTTGGTTGCAACCCCCGGCGAAATCTCTTTTCAAAATCTTCCTTTTTGGTACATATTGCAATTGGCATTGACCTAAAATAGATCAGTGTAAATGTAAGATCCAGATCGATGGGGTATTATCATTACATTTCCCAATATATCCCTGTACAGCAAAAATACTAGACCTACAATAATGTTAAGGAAAAAATCAAAAAGATATCATATACAGGAACATCCGAAAGTCTACCTACTAAGAACAAATCCCCGTACTACACATTGCCATAAAAGGGTTATGTACTGGGAGGTTTTGGATATAGGGTTTATTCTGAGCGATATATTTATATCTCCACAAGGGACCGAAGGGACCAAGGGGAGATATAAATATTTCCCGAGGGATATACCCCATATCCAAAACCGACCGTACATAACTGGTGTATCTCATACATGAGTGGGTTTGGGGTTCCACGTAAAATTGGAAATGAATTGTAGGAAATCTAGTGTTGTTGAGAAACTTGATTAGAAGAAATTTGGTAAATTAAAAAGGCAGCCATTTCCTTGAAATATCAGCATCTCCATATACGTAGGTTCTTACCATGGCAACATGCACAATTGCCTTCGCTTAAAAAAGGTAAATGTTTACTGAAAGACATGTAAAGATATTTTCCTGAAAAAAGCAAGGAAATACACAAATGGCGCCATACTTTACTTTGTATCTGAAAATAACATGGGCAAAAATGTCTTCTTTAACATCACCTTAATGCACAAAGGCAATTAATAAAATAATCCATTGTACTAAGCTATACTAGTTACTGTATCATAACCTTAATTATTAAACTGTCAAAGCAACATCGCTCTAATTATAAGGAAGGAAAATAATAGCTCTAGGGTATTTCCTTCTTTTAAGGCATCGATCATAAAATATATCGATGTATGTACACACCAGGAATATGCTTGGCTGTGATGGTGGATGAAATAAAATGACAGAAAAAGTGAACTGTTACCATGGTAACGAATCACTAAATCAAGATACAAAATAAGGCCTGTATTATACAGTGGACAAAATATGTAGTCGCTTGTCAACGAGTTGAGAGAGGTTTTGAAGTCATCAGTCACCATTACTCCCAACCGTTGATAATTCGAAATATAGTTATATCAAACTTATTTTAGTGCCCCACCATTCAAGTTGTATTAAAAAAGAATATGTCTTCAATTCGCTGAAGCACTGTGCAGCTCTAAAGAATCAAAATAAATAAAACAGCCCTCTTATATGCTCTTTGAAGTCACAATGTTGTTATGTAGTACATGCTTGCTTGTTACATCTATTTTAATGATATATTTTGAAGTTTATTTCTCGTTTTGGAAGCATTATTTAGGCTTATCGATATCAAATTTGGCTTTTTCGACAATATACTGAATATGCCAAAATGGGAACACATGTTTATTCAATCGCATTCTTCTGGAATATACAAGTTGCCGCTGGTACGGTATCTTCAATCAATGGGTTGTTTCCATATTTTCATCTTCTTATCGATAATCAAGACCTCAATATTGCAAATTTTATCGAACATTACTTTCATTTTTGCTTACTAACGAGTAACGAATTAACGATGTACATGTTACACTACAAACACACACGTGCTGGTAGTATATATTTGGGTTATTTTCCAGACAGACGGACGGACTTGATGTACAAATAATCAGATATTAAGATGATGGCTGATTGCATAACGGAATGCTACACATGGCGTATGAGCCAAAATCTAGATGAGCTGTAAATTGAACTAATGAAATGGCTATAGTTGTGGTAATTCCAGTAATTCAACACAGTCATTAATCCAACCAAATTATTCGACAGAAAAATCAATGACAATTTCTGGTTGGAACATTTGTTTCTAAATCAATGCTTATGATTTGGCACACCGTACACACTAATCAACAATTATCGTGGCAAAAACTGACATCCGAATAATCCATTGTCCCCATGGACAATGACATGCCTCTTCAATAATCACAAAACATTTGGCAAGGATTTGTTAAATGTACGAAAAATATCTAGTTTTTGAGATTTTTTACCTGGCATGTGAGTCAGGGATCAACCTTTACGGGACTTTTCAATTGGATCACAACGCACAGATCTTACGAATTTAGCATACCATTTAGTATATTGCAATTTTTGGGCTTAATTGACTGTACATTCGGAGCTGTAAATCTATGATTGGGTGTATAATTCGTTAATTAAAGAAAACATTGGACATGATGGTGAAATCATCGATTGAGATTAGAAGTGTAGTATGTAGAAGTCTGAAGATAATCTGTTTTTCTTCTTTCAAAGAGATCTTCAGCCACATTTTATTGTACTTTGACCCTTTAGAGACATATTCGTATCTGGATCATGTGGTTCGATCATTTATGCTAGGATGGAAGCCAGGGAGTATTTCACCCAGGCTTAATCAGCATAATCACCCCAACATAATCATTATCTTCTCACCCCGGAATAGCCTGACAACGGTAAAGTCAGATACCGTTGTCACAAATGGCGGACATAACCGACGCTTCAATTAGATTTTCATGAACTGTATGTTTAATAGAGCACTAAACTAAATTCCTTTGGAACAACAATCAATCGAAGTGTCTTTATACTCATTGTACAGTTAATAATGTACTACCATCGAAATAAAGTCTTTAATTTTAACCGATCAAAATGAGATACGGGACAACGGGCACTGTAATTACCATATCCCGTTGTCTTTCTAAATTACTCAAATTCAGATTCCGTTGTCATTGACGATATCGAAGACGCTATATTGTGGCGATTCACGACCCAATTTGATCGAAAATGGGATTTCATATGATACACCATCACAAGAGCTTAATACCTGCACAGAATTAGCGACGATAAAATCCCATGAAATGAGGACTAAGTGGTTAAACAGTTGAATCGACGGTTATGTCCGCCATTTGTGACAACGGTATCTGACTTTACCGTTGTCAGGCTATCCCGGTGAGCTTCTGTGGATTGTAGTAAACACGAGTGCCAAATGTAAATGACATTAGTTGGTGCCTGTATACAGTGGCATTACTTTGAGGGTTCTTCAGTATTGATTTCCACTCTTGATCAATTCTCTAGATCTCTGTACAAACCAAGAGTGTAAGATTGAACAATGTTGTAACAGTATAGCCTTGGGGAGAAATCCAATAGAATTGAACATGTTTTCGTTCATGCATATACTAATGCAGTAATCAATTATATTAGCGGGGGAGTCCTGGACAACTTAACCAGCGTCTTGGAAAACTTTCGTGTGATTACGTTCGACATTGCTTGGCATTAAATGATTAATCATAACTGAAACTAACACTGAATTTATACATTTGCGAATCACGTCATTTGTAAAAATGAATAGGCCTACATAAATATAGTATTTTGATACATATTATGCTTACAATTGTTATTTTACATTAGAAATAGAGTGCTGGGGATAACACTTGAAGTGGTCACAACGATTTATTTTACGATTTACTTTACATACTATAATTATTGTCTTACCTATTTTGTTGATGAGGTTTGCACTAAAGAAATATGCGATAATCTCTGACACGTGGTTGATAACTGAGGCGAGACCAAATATGGTAGGCGTCCCACCAAGGTCCTGGAGGTGCCAAAAGAGGAAGGTAAATACAAGCCCGATACCAAATCCCATAAACCAAGCGATGAACAGGAACAAGGCATATCGGATGGTACCAAAACATTTAAAGATTGTCATCCATTTTGGCATATTAGGCATAATCCCTTGATCACTGGTCCCAGGTCTGTACATTCCACTCCGACTTACGGCATCCGTGACCATGTCCCCCGTACCCCCCTGGTCGTCCATACTGATCTGGAGCTTACTCTTATCGCCAGGAAGGTCGCCTTTAATTTCTCTTTCGATTCTCTCATACTCGCTCATGGGCTTCTCTCGTTGACCATATGGATGCTCATCGTCTTGTTCTTCCTCAATGAGTTGACTCTTGTCATAGTTCTTGAATTTAATTAGCTTATTGTGCATCTTGTCTTTGAGTTTTTCGGTGACCTTATCCAGTGGGATTCGCTCTTCGACCCCATTGTACATAAACCTGAATTGTGTAGCGGCGATGAACGCGCAGCTCATGAGGACCGAAAACACAGCGAAACATACAGTGTAGTTTTTCTCTCCTGGAATCTCATCTCCACATGGGTGGTCAGTAAACACATTAGAATTATCCAAAGCAATACCAACAAAAAACATAGAAAGGCCCCATCCTAGAGAACCAAACATTCTCTGTTTCCCGTAGTTTTCGGAATCGTCTCCTAGAAACGTAAGCGTCGCAGAATCAGCTAATGTAATTGCAGGTGCGCTGAAGAACTCACCGACAATGATAAGCAACAACAACAAAAGGAATATTTCCCCGACGTCCTTGTCTCGATATACCACACTACTCAACGGTGGGCGTATGAGTCCTTTAACCTGCCACTCCCCTACATTTACGATCTCGTCATGATTAACCGCAACGGGGGATTTACCTATTTCCCATTCTTCAAACTTTGGTCGTCTATTGGACAGGGCATAGGCAGTTGACCTTTTTGAACGACTCAAATCAGGTTGCACGAGATACGAACCATATCGGGGGAAAATTTCCTTATTTAGATTCTCAAAGGCTAAAGATGTATCTCTTCTGATTCTAGTTGGGACTTCTTGGAGAATAATGTGCGTGTTATTGCTCACTAGACAAGCGTGTGGCGCAGGCTGTATCCACACCAAGGCAAGTGTGAACACGATCCAACAGAAAAGAGAAAACAACAAAATGTGCTTAGCTTTTTTCCACCTGTCTGCCAAGCTTCCCCAGAGTGGCGCACTACAGAATTCGATGAAAGGCCGGAAGCCCATGAGCATTCCACTTTGGCTAGCCGTCATACCGATCTGCTTGAAATAAACAGCAAGCAGCGGGAACAAAGAACCGAATGCAGCAAAGAAGAAGAAATAGAACGTCTTTGCTATAAACAAGTCGTAATTTAGATAATAGCACATCACATCAATGCAATCTCTTGTAGGTTTATCTTTTCGTTCTGTGTATCCACTGGCTGTTTTCTGTGGTCGCATAAAGCCCGAATAGGCCTGTGGCCCAGCTTTCAAGGCAGCGTCCCTCTGCTGTTGTTGCTGCTGCTCCGGTGTCATTTGTGTCTGCGCCATTTTGTTGTTTATAAGCTGCTATCGGTTTCACTTTGCCTTTTCGAAATTGTCGCCCAACCTTATCGTTATTTCGCTATTGAGTATAGTCTATTCAGTTTGTCTGTACCATTGTTCTGAAATTAAAGATAAGATTCATCATGGCATGCTGTTGTCGTTAATGCTTTCTCATTTCCTAAGTAACTTCGTCAGTGAATTGCAAGTTGCAACCCCGCCCTAAGCTAATGTATTACACAGAGCAGTTATTTTGATCAGTGATAACATTTAGTGTGTTAGAGAATCTGATGTCGTAAGTATATTTATCACCACTACCAGCTGAACAATATTGATAATATTGATTCTTACAAATCTGCAAGTTCCGAATTCAGTTCCTGTTCCTGTTTTTGATATTAAAGTCAGAAGGGTCACTAATTACATAATAATTATTACATATGATAGTTAATTACAATATACACGATCGTTTCTTTTATCTTTGGAGTTCCATGAAAATTGTTCGAATTATTTCATGGCCCAGGATAATTACAATCACAGATAATCAAATCAGAAAATTAGATTTGTCTTTGTCAGTCTGTAAATCAATGTAGCAATATTAGGCTGATCCAATATACGAAACCAAAACGAGATCTAGAAGTACATGTACCCCAGTACACTGCTCCATCGATAGGCATTGCTTTTAGAAAATGGGGTCTGATTCAACGTATTGTCAAATATTTTTTGGCTTGAACAAAACAATATTTATGTGCAAACATTTTGGGGCCTGCCGTTTTGAATCTAATGTTCTAATATGGCCATCTAGCCTTACATGTATCTAACATTGCCAGTATGGAAGAAAACTATAAAAGCTAACATCATTTGAAATCTTTTGGAAAATCAAAACACATCATTGATAACCAATGTCCATATACATTTATTCTCCAATGCATGTAGCTTAACTTAGATTGTAACTTATCTTAACTTAGATGCACGTCTTACGTGAAATGATGAGCTAGGTAAGCTGTTGAAATGTCAATGGCTTTTGAAATGGCAATTCTAAAGGAAAAACCAGAAGAATCATTCATGTTAATTTCTGTTAAATCATTTCAAGTATCACTGACATTAGTGAGAAGTGCGCAAAGCAGTATAGATAGCTGCGCATGGCTTTCCTCATTCTGATACTCATTGCATCTTTCCGTTTCACCTGAAACATGCTCTGATATTATGAGGGATATTCTGTGATCTGAGCACATCAGATGGGAAGATTTATAAGTGTGATATTTATCATGTAATCATTTACCTTATGTCAATACATTACATAATAGCCATTGTATTTAACAGCAGAAATTAGCACAGGCACAGGTACACAAGTTTAATGACCCCAATTAGATGAAATATGAGCTTGGATGAAAGATCTCAAAAATCCTCAATTTTGGGCTCTCCTGGATCGCCAAATCAAGCTCATTATATCAGGGCTTCTCCATCATGATAAACCATGCCATCTCAAATCTTCTCAGCCCTGAGATGCCATGATATAATGAGCTTGATTTGGCGATCCAGGAGAGCCCAAAATTGAGGATTTTTGAGATCTTTCATCCCAGCTCATATTTCATCTAATTGGGGTCATTAAACTTGTGTAACTGTGCCTGTTGTAATATCTGCTGTTAAATACAATGCCTATTATGTAATGTATTGACATTAAGGTAGATGATTACATGATAACAGTCACACTTATTGACAGTTATAACTTTTCCCATCTGATTTGCTCAGATCACAGAATATGCCTCATAATATCAGAGCATGTTTCAGGTGAAACAGAAAGATGCTATGAGTATCAGAATGGGGCTTCTCAGGGCTGAGAAGATTTGAGATGTCAAGGTTTATCATGACGGGCTTTCCTTTAAAGTCATTGAATCTTGTAAAATTATCAGTTATTAAATGAATGAGTTTCTATTCATAGCTCCTTTCTCTTGACCACGAACTCATCAGTATTCAAGATAATTTTAGTCCAGACTATTGTCTTATGAATAGACTACCACGACTAACAAATAATTGTGTCGATTTTGCAATAATTGCCAATTACTGCATACATATACAGTGGATTTGTGACAATCCATATCTAGACGGCCATACGAATATATGCATATGATTTCACTCTTCTGATCAATATTCTTAGATATATGGGAACTGTCTGATTTCTTTGTAGACTCTTGGGAATCAGTATTCTTAACCCATTCTAGATCAAATATATACGTTGCCATGTTAATTAAACCGACTATTACGGTTTGCGCATTTTGATTCCAATGCATTGCAACTATAACCCATTTTCAGTATTGCATGTATATTACAGTAGTCTCGGTACATTATATTTCTTTCTATATTTCGACTATATACCCCGGGCTATATACTTAATATAAGTTTTTACATTCAATGAAGGTCGTTCTAAAGTCAAGCCATTTTGATTCGATTAAATCGTTCTTCCAAAAATCAGAACAATTGTATTAGACTTTGTTGTATCTCGTTTGAAACTACATGTTTTCGTAAATGGTATCTTTATTTCAACCGCTTGCACCTCTATATGGATTTGTAAAAATTAATATTTGAGTACTTTACAGTTCAAAAATGATTCTTACCTTCTATGTTGTCTACTCTCGCTATTTCCCCGCACATTCCATATTTCCAACCTACCTCGCTAGCAGACCAGTAATAGTATGCTGGCATGTATATTGATAGATGTCGCTCTTTAATCTTCATGGATAAACTTCTAATTTCAAGTCTTAAGTCATGCCATCTATTAATTAGATGGTGCTGTTGTAGCTTAGCTACCCGGGCTTAGCTAGTAATTTAACCACCCTGCAATAAGAAACTGAGCAAAAATATGGCATTATTTTTATGTTTTACCAACTCCCAAATCAACAACAGATCTTTATATCGTTGATAGACATATGAGGCAATATGTTATTGAACAGATACACAAAGATGAAAAATGGCACATTTGAATAATTGAAATACACGAATACTCAACTTCAGTTCCATTTCTGCTTGTAATACTTCCGAAGTTGATTAATTATACTTTTTATTATGCTGAGCCGAGTATTATTTTTTAGCATAATAGTATATGTGTTGCTAAGGTTGACATTAACGTGGCGTCACAATTGAAAATTGGATAACTCAGGTTATGGTAATATTATGTCATACAATAACAATATACAATGTACAATATGCGTGTGTTTTTGTATTCCTCATATAAGAGATCGAGGTTATTAGGGTATAGGACATTAGGTGCTCAGGATAGCCAACAATAATTTAGTATGATCACTCGGATCTCCCAGTTATACAGAAACCGAACATCCATGGTCAAAGCATGGACTCTTGCACAGGGTGACCCACGAAAACAGTACTGTCAAAAAGTATAATCTCGTCTCGGACGGGGACTTTAACAGTATTGCATTTACAATTTTATAATCATCCCTACAAGATGAATCGCTGCCTATGAGAAAGCCACCCTTCTTTAATTTATACATTGGATTGGCCTGTAGGAAGATATTTTGCTTTGAATCGAAGATCTCTAGAAGTAGTTGTGTTTAAAAGAGGTCACTGTTTATGACGTGATCTGGAGGAAATATCAAGACAATTTTTATGCTCTCAAAATGTTAAAGAATTCACTGAATATGTAAGTGTTTTCCTTTGGAATTATGAATAATTTCCTCCAATTGACAAGTGCATAGTACAATTAGTTAAAAAACAATTACATTAAAACATTTATGAGCATTAGAAATGTGTAAACATGCGAAAAATACAAGCGGTAAGTATTATGTGCATAAGCTTTAGTTTCAAAGGAAGTAGTGCACTCACCATTATGATTTCCCCATGAAATAAAATAATTCATCTGATTTTTCAAAATGAATACACTGCTTTTACTATTACATTTATATGCACACTAGCATCTTGTTGACCTATATCCAGCACTGTATTGATGTATAGACCACTTATTAGGGTAATAATTAAATCATGAAGTGTAGAGGCGTACGTTCCAAACCAGGACGTATTTTTGTGTCTATCAAAATCCATTTGCATCCTACACATCCCTACATCTTATCCAAATATGTTACTAAATAAAGAAATATATATATATAATAGTAAAATCTTTGGTTTTACAAAGTTGTATGATATTTGATAAGTGTAAAAGTTGTTTTTGGAGCATTTTTCTATAGCCATCTTGTAGGGAAAAATGATGAAAAATGTACAATCTTTTAGTATTAAGTATGACCTGAATTGATTGCAAACTTCATATTTGCACATTTAATGAGATAAACAATTTGTATCATATTGTGAAATTATTAAGTTTGCAATCGATTTAGGTCAAAGTGTATTTTTGGTATCTGTGTGATAATCAATTGAAACCAATGGCCTCTATTGGGATCTGATGATATCCACATGTTAAGTCAATGATGCACAGCCCCATGTAAGTCAATACAACCTTGCCCTATCTCAGCCAATGAGTGCCCAAGCACTTTAATATTTTATGACATCCTATTCACCATGTTAAATCTAAGAATGGTTAATTTTGACCATGGGGGTATTTGCCAATTATCGCACCTCTTCCTTTTAAATTAAACAATCTGTCTTTGGGAAATAAAATACCGAAGAGAATTAAAAACTGCCAATGATAATCCACGTAACTAACAAATGATCAGACGGGGGACAACACATGATACCTCCTAAATACGATGATGAAGATTAGAATTTGAATTTTCAAATATCACTTTAGGAATTAAAAAACTTTATTAAGTAACCACATGGATTTCTAACTTCATTTTTTCAATTGAGTTAGCTCACACGAGACACCACAGGTAAGATAATGCAATTTAATATGTGAAAGTAGACAGTTCCCCTTATAAAACTGTCAGGTACTCTTTATTCTGGCAAAGACCAGAGACAGTTCTAACCAGCGCCAGTCTTTTCGTCGAATCAGCATCACTCTAGCTCACTCGTCGAGCGTAGAGGTCAATTAAAACAAGTAAGACGAAGCTACCCTTATTGAACCGAAGTCAAACGAATGGAAATGGTTATGGATTTCAAATATTTTTTCAATACTATTTCAATCTCAGTTGGCATAGTGGTCACGCTATATATAGACCGCTCACTCATTGTGCAATTACCATATTCAGAAAAAGCACACTGTATCAATTTATGATCAATATCGAATGCCTCGATAGATATAATAGATGGACAGATGCCTAGCGTCAAAATACAAGGTTTGAAAGTGATCCAGTTAGGAATGTATGCGAGTGGATTATTTTTGAGAATGTACCAAAATAAATTGTTGTAATAACAAGTTGTGATTTTATCTCATTCAAATGTCATACTGAGCCGTCGTTGCGGATGCCGTAAATTTAAATCGACGGTCATGACAGAAGTAATCTACGTGGCCAACTTTACCTCACATATTTTGAGTCACAACTAGAAATGTAATGAGGTAGATATGCTTTGAAGAAGTATTCCCGTAGCAACCGGGGGTTCGAGGTGTTCGTACCCTCGGTCAAAATTTCTCGGGATTTCCAGAACAAGAACAGTAACAAAATACTAGGACACATCACATTTTACGTTATATCTAGGCAAACATTGCTATTATCATTGTATGTGCCAAGTATTTCATACTTGCTGTTTACCATTCAATATAATTACTGTAATGAACGTTCCATTAAAAAATGTGGAACACTATTCATTCATTATCACTGGAGTGGTCCACAGCAGGATGATACTAACTGAGTTACTATTAGCTATAGTGGAAAAAGTTCATTCGATATCGATACAACTTTAAGGTGGCATATAACCCAGTTTATTTTTTCGTGAAGCCACTCAGTAAAATTACGATTTATCTGCACCCTCTAAGTGTTCCTAGCACCTTTGGGCATCCGGTAATGACAACGTCTACCCAATGTTTGCAAGCGAAATTGACGTAATTCATGACTGAAATCGGGAAGACAAAAATATGTGATATTCTTTCAGAATTGTTTACAATAACTATTTACAAAAATGTTCCCGAGACACAAATCCATTTAGGTAAGGTTTGTTTTAAAGTCGAAAAGCCCAAATAAGACAATACAAACCCAGATAAAACCCGGAAGACTGCAGATTTCATTTAATGATTTACGTTAATGTAAACAAAGAAGATTAGATTGGTAAATACTTTTTTGAACCACCTTTCGAGATGCAATTTTACATGTAAATAACTAAATAGCTAGATGCGAGTAGAAATAATCTTGATTTACGTCATTAGATATTCACATCGGTTGGAATTTTCCTAGGGGAAGAAATCGTCGATTGCTATATACTATTTCTCACAAAAGTCCTTTGATTGTATCTCCGTCATTTCAAATCCCTTATAATTAAGAATTCAAGGCCTGAACTCTGCATTGAGGACTGATTATCATTCCTCAAAGTTATTGATTCAAAATGAATTTTACTATACTGTAACCTAGTGGGTATAGGACTGCACTAAATGCGTGGGTTTATAAGTATAAGTATACGTATAAGTTTTTAAAAAACTTATAACGAAAATTCTCTATTATTTCCTTATTTTTACGATCAAAGTAGTCAAATGGTTATAAACGTCGACGAAACTCTCTTTTAAGAAGCGAAGCGAATGAAAAGGGGAGTAAAAGGTAAAACCGTCAAATCCTGGCTCTATGCGGGCTACATGCCTGAGAGTGAATTTGTATTGACCAGCATACAATAAAGTACAATTACTTTCAACAGACATTATCAACTGAGTTAATTGTCATATATTAACATGCAATGTACCTATAAAGAACGACTCAGAAATTCATAGATTAATTTGAAATGTACATTTATAAATTATAGGTTTAATTTCTAAAAGTGCGTGGTGTTTTGCTAACAGCATTCAATGTGCTTATTTTCTTGAAGGAGTTCTTGCTTCTGGATATTTCATCAAAATGCTTTGATACTACGAACAATCTTATCCGGTAATAATTATGTAAAAGTAGGTCCACTCTTTTTGATTCAAAAGGAAGACTGTATGCTTAAAGTAGCTTAGATTTAATGTTTATCTCACATCTTTTGTCATCTTCAAGGTGGGCCATTCAAATACCAAAGATATTGCCTGCAGCAGCCTATATCGTGATATGAGCCTTTTGAACATCACATTTTAAATTGACTTGCTTACTTTCGCACTATTGGCTAACTGAATGGATCAATTGTTATATACTTTAACTTCAATTTTTATCAGAATCTATTTTCCCCTTGTTGAATGTGCCAACTTAGAAATACATAGTTTAATTGTATTTGAACACTCATTGCATAAGATCATGTCAAAATAAATAATTTGACATGCGAGTCCCTTTAATTATGGTATTTGTATTCATTGAAACACATTTTGCAGTATGATCCTGGCGAGCACACCGTCCAAAAAGTATGCTTTGATTTATTGGCTCATTTTCTTTATTCCTTGTCATAAAGTTATGTATTTTTCTGAATAATCTCAAGGAGAACGAGGTGTTTGCATACATTATTTATACATAACATGCATTTAATTGTTTATGAATAAGGGTTTCCACATTTATTTGTGAGAATCTTTACATCTTCGTACACCGATTAGATAAACTGATCAATAATTCAACAAGATTTCATTGATCTTTTGGGAGATGATATATTTCAGGTGTACAGAATTATTTATCGGTAAGTCAGTTGAAATTGTTGATTTAAATCCCGTTGTTTCTTATATCTCTGAGAATTTTACAGAATAACAGTAGCCGGTATATTTATTTTTTACCAAAACCTTTGCTTGCATCTTTATATTTTACCATACAAATGGAAAAAAATTTGAAACTTTTAGTTAACACAGAAAAGAGGTTTATTTAAGAAATGACCTAAAACCACTGATGCAGCAAACCAACCGATTTAAGTATAGCTAGGAAGTAAGGCATACTGTTAAACTATTGTATTTCTCAGTTGTATGAAATATCTTGGTATGATTACCCTGCGCACAGTGTCTAGTTATATACTACCGAAGACGAAGCTCTCTTTTAAGAAATGAAGTCGAACGAATGCAAAGGGTATGATGTTATGGGTTTTAGGTCTTGCTTTGACATACATGTAGACATGGGGGCTGTAGCAACTTGACCATTGAACACACGAAGTACGCCACGGTACACTAACGAATCAAATTTTATGCAAGGCGTTGGAGTACGGTGCGCTGTACCAATAAAAAGATATACAGCTTGAATTACATTTTTAATATTTCACTCTAAGGAGTCATATGATGTAATTTAAACCATAGTTTTTTGGTTGACAAAAACAGAAAAAGGCAATCAAAAAGTGGATTTTTGCTTGCTCCATTACTATTGGTCGTTTTAGCCGGTTGCTACTAGTCAGAGACATATAAACTGTTTTACAAAGGCCGATCCAGAAGTTCTGATAAAAACCTTTTTCTAAGAAAAGGAAATCATAATTTACACAATTTATATGCCTATACAGCAGGGAATTTTCAGAATGAATTATTGATAGAACTTTCGAATCACACATTTCCTACCCTGTGGTAGGCACGCCTAACCATCGTCTCAATACAGCGTCAAAAAATAGCGGAGTACAGTTTTCTGTACGGTGACGCAAATTGACTGCTTTGAAGCAAAAACTATGGCAAAGGTTTTAATAAAATTAATTTGATGAAAACAAATACGATTTCATGTGAAATAAAAACAGCATTCTCTTAGAAATGGTTTTAACTTTCTAAACATAATAAAAGTTTTACGAGCACTGTCCGGATTTTTTCTGAGTGAATCGGCCCACAAAATCGACCCAAAGTGAAAAAAGTTGATTTTTCCACATTTCGTTTGGTTATTATTTTTCCCACCGTCTGAGAGTATGGATTATTTGTATGAGAATATGTATTTGTTACTTACACATTTTAGAACGGGCGAAGATTCAGCAAATAACCATTCATTGTGTGTATTTAAAAAAGATCAGATTTGTGCGGCGACGCATCAGCTGTACGGTGACGCTTAATGGAAGGTTAATGGAAATGTATGATATGGTAAGGATCATGAAACCAAAAACTCAGTATATTTGTTGCTATGTTATTGATGTTTTTAAACAAGTGATGTCACAACTAAATCTCATCTTACACGTGTGACTTTTTAGGATGAAAGATGCTATATTTTGCATGGGGTGAAGATGGCTCTAGGCTATCTTTGTTAGTCATATGAGAAAAGCTTGGTTTAGTTCAAATGATATCAAAGCATTACGTCAACTTTCAAATAGTTAATTCCATGAAAACTGAAAATATCGAAATAAATACTTCCTGTCCGCCATCTTAAATGCGAAGGTGACGGCCGCATACCTTCGCTTGATACTTACCAGTGATAATGTACATGTAGATCTGACACTTCTTTACCTCTTGTTCGAACAGTAAGCTTCGAGTTGAATGTGTTTCAGTATTTAATCCTTGTTATCCGGAATGAATGGAAACATAAGAATTGATATTTTTCAATGTTGAATGGGATACAATATTTGAATTTCCACACAAAAACTTATGGAATCTTACGTTAATAAGCTCATATATTACACTTCATAAATTCTAAGGAATCGTCACCGTACAGCAGATGCGTCACCGTACAGATCTGATCTTTTTAAAATATATCCAGTGAATGTATATTTGCCGAATCTTCATCTGTTTTAAAATGTGTAGGTAACAAATACATATTCTCATAAAAATTATCCATACTCTCAGACGACAGGGAAAATAATAACCAAACAAAAAGTGAGAAAAACAACTTTTTTTCGAGTCGACTATGTGGGCCGATCCAGTCAGAAAAAATCCGAGCAGTGCTCGAAAAACTTTAATCATAATTAGAAAGTTGAAACCATTTCTAAGAGAATGTTGTTTTTATTACACCCGAAATCGTATTTATTTTCATCGAATTAATTTTTTAAACCCTCATTACAGTTTTTACTTCAACTCTGTTAATTTTCGTCAGCGTACAAAAATTTGTACTACTGTATTTTTGACGCTGTATGGTGACGCCTGCTTACGCGATGGTTAGGCGTGGTAGGGGTACTTGGTCCAGGATTTGAGCTCATATTGACGTCATAACTTAAATTGAAAATCTGAAAAACTAAATCCAACTGTGCAATAACTTAAATTGAAAATCTGAAAAACTAAATCCAACTGTGCAATAACTTAAATTGAAAATCTGAAAAACTAAATCCAACTGTGCAATAACTTATATTGAAAATCTGAAAAACTAAATCCAACTGTGCAATAACTTAAATTGAAAATCTGAAAAACCTTACTGTGCAATAACTTAAATTGAAAATCTGAAAAACTAAATCCAACTGTGCAATAACTTAAATTGAAAATCTGAAAAACTAAATCCAACTGTGCAATAACTTAAATTGAAAATCTGAAAAACTAAATCCAACTGTGCAATAACTTAAATTGAAAATCTGAAAAACCTTACTGTGCAATAACTTAAATTGAAAATCTGAAAAACTAAATCCAACTGTGCAATAACTTAAATTGAAAATCTGAAACACTAAATCCAACTGTGCAATAACTGTGCAGACACTATGGGTCTATTTAAAAAATTACAGATTTCAGAATGTTATTTAAAGAAACAATTTTACACTGATATTAGTCATGCCTCAAATTAAAGAACCAAATTGACATATATATTATTCAACCAAGCAGAGAAACACACGGGGTAAGGTGTTCAGTATATTCTGAAATAAATTCCACACAAAAATGGAATATTAGAAAAATAAGTAAGATTAAGAAAAACTGATCCAGCATCAAGGAAACACGGTGATTCAGGAAAATGTGTCTTATTCTGACATCTTATATGTGGCAAGAAAGATCAGCATGGTGCTTGATGGAGCCCACATATTAAACAACCAGTTTCTTTATTGTCCTTTAAGATTCAAATTAATAATAAATATAAAGGCAATGAGAGATCATCATTTTCATCCGGACTTTCGCCTAGCTACCAGTTTCATTTTTCTTGAAGTTGAACCAATCCATATAATAGTACAATAACGTCATTTCTAAGGGCGATATAGTGAAATATTGGACCGGGGGCCGAAGGCCCAAGGTCCAATATTTCACTATATCGCCCGCAGAATTGACGTTATTAGTATTATTACCACCGTTAACGACCAGGACTGAAACAGCAAGAAAATCTTACGCATTGAACGATATCTAATTTCCCGGGGAAAATTGCCGGTCCAGAATGTATTCTAGACCGGTCCATATGGACCACCACTATGACGTCACACATTTCTCAGGTCGATATTGTACAAATAGTGACTGCCATTGAGGGAAATAGTGCAAAATATTTTCCTCAAGGGAATATCCTGTCCACTGCATGACATGTTCCCGAGGCTGCAGGCCGAGGGAACAAGTCAGTGGACAGGATATTCCCGAGAGGAAATTTTTTACACTATTTCCCGAAAATGTGGCAGTCACTATTTGTTTTATTATATACCTGATAAGTACTCTGTAAACAAAAACAAAATAAGAAGTCTTTCATTTCAATATCAAATGTTCACAGGTTCCTATTGGCATTTAAAGGCATTTTACCTTTCAACTGCTATAATCTCAGATTTGGGGGAAGATAAAACGTACTATTGACTGGTCACATGACCTAACTGGTGATTAGTACAATTCATCTTCCCTGAAAGCAGGGATTTAGGACTTTCCAGGGAATTAGTTCATCTATTCCATGTCATGTGACCATGAATAAGCCAATGAGCATCTAGAATACATTTGAGGTATATAATAAAGTAAAATAAACGCCTTCTAAACTAGCACTAAAACCCCTAGAACTGGCCCGGCAAGGTGGTAATAATAGTCTATATACATTTAACATAACATTTTCCTCTGGTTGAATGTATAAAATCACAATCTGTAAATGTTATTTGAGGCATGATTATTATAATAGTAAAAAGTTGTATCGAAATAAAAAATGTGGACTCTTTTTTGCCCACCTATATTACAAAAAACGTTTTAATGAAAAAAAACTTTAAGAGACATTTATGAGTATTAATTGATATACCCTCGTATTTTTAATTTAGGCTTAGCAGCATCGAAAGATGTACAAAATACGAAAAGAGACAATTTGACAATGCTGTTATCCTGTTACGCCTGTGGATGTTTCAATAGTCTACACGCACTTATAGATTAATATAAAATCACCATACAAATGTAAATTCTTTGGCGAATACTAATCCAATTCTTCAGTATGACCCGTTTCTGTTCATACCACGACATACATCGTATAACACTAACAAACAAATCCGCTATATGAACAATATTGATTTATACACTAAAGCACCTAATTGTTTACTTTTTTAGATTACATTGTTTAATAAATGATGACAACTAATGTATGATTTGAGCAAAATGGAATCAATTGTAAAAGAACATGATTTCGATGCACGCAAATCAAAGAACATTGCAATGTAATGGTCCCATAGAATGATACTGATGATATACATACATGCCTCTTGCAGTTAAAGCGAGGAAAGAAGAAGCTGCTTTTTGTCTTGGTCTTAGTCTAACTCATCTTTATATATTAAATGTGTTGTTGCCTACTAACTGCTAGGAATAAATTCATAACAAATTGTCAGCACTTAAACCTACGTAGTACATTAAATTCCTGAATAGTTCATGTTGATTCCTCAAGAATGAGAGCATTTGTATCAATACTTATTAAACGACCCTCGTATATATCCTCGGCATGTATTGCACTGGTCACTACACTATTTACCATGGGTGAATATACATAAAAGCCATAAGAGTAATTGTACATTGTGAAATAATAATATACATATAGGATAACAATACTTAATCCTTTTGGATACTTAAGTTTGAGTTTGACATTTTCCAATTCTGTACTTTCTGCTCAAATCTAACAAATATTCGAATCTCAGTATACGATTCTTGAGCTTTTCAATACGACTATGCAAGAATTTGTTTTTGTCAGGACTGTTCTCATGGGGCACATGCGTGACCCAACAGTCAGGTAGGACAACAAACTCATATCCGGACGCTTTTAATTCCATCATAAAGCCGACTTTATTCATGCCGTAGGCGCTGAAACGTTCATCGAAAACAGGGATATTGTCATGTTTACGAATTATTATGTACGGTTCGTAACTGTTTTGATAATTCGTGGTACTATACATCTTGTCGGTAGTATACCACTGTGCATAATCAGTTGACCCATGAGCATCAGGGGCAACACGTCCTCGAAAAATCTGAACATCGGGCTTCTTTTTACTGACAGTATCTATGAGATCACGCTTTTGTCGGGGTAAATGCCCTTCGCCACAGGCCTGTACGCATTCAAACGCCGGGGAAACATATACTTCCTTTTTAAATCTTGCTTCAGATGCCGTTTGATATTGTCTTTTGAAGGCAAGTTCAAATGACTTTTGAAAATCTGAAGAGGGAATAAAATCGACATCTAAAATGAACATATATTCAGTTTTGACAGTACGTATACCAATGTTTCGTAGATGATTCACCGGATACTCTTCATCCGGCTGGTTACCATAAACGTATATTATATGACAGTTCCGTATCCTTCCTGAGTTTAAAACTTTCATGATCCTGGTGTGTGCAAGCTGTCTCTGTTTTTCCTGGTCTTCAATGTCATCACCTTCAACCAAGGGTACGTAGACAACTAGTGCTGCGACAGGGCCATCCCATATTTTAATTACTCGTTCTAGTGCATCCAAACGAGCTAATGACAGTTGGGTTATTAGTGTTAACATACTATTCTCTACGTCAAACTTGCCCTTTGATATGACAACATGCTTCATTTTAAACTTGGGCGTATCAGGAAGTGGTGAAGGCAAAGTTGGACATGATTCAACAAAATCTGAAGGTGAAATGTCGGACAATTGAGTGTTAAGAATTGGTTTAAGTTGTATATCCGTAAATTTTGCCTTTCCAACAAATCCATGGCAAGTTAAGGCAATTGTTATGCTTGTTACACTGGCTTTTCCGAATGGGACAATATGAAGGTCAGATTTTGTGTATCCTTCACCTCCTGGTGGAAGACTCATCTCCAATATCTGGGTAGAAAAGTCAGAATGTCGCACGGCTACCATTGCACCAAAGAAAAATACATCATCACTGAAAAGAGTTCTGTTCATGACAAGATTCTTTCCACTGCTTCTAAGTGACAAATAAAATCCTCTCAGTGCCTCATTTTGCTTTAAAGGTATGAATAAGTTCATGTTTTTAGATTTAGGTCGACACTTTGTGACTAATACCTTTGCACAGTGTGACTGAAGTCCTTCAGTTCCACAGTCGTTCTCCTCTTTCCATATATCTTTGCGCGAAACCCACCAGCCATCTGGTAAAGTCAAATCATCTTTATCAAAAACGTCCATTGTCGCCAAGGATATTTCTTTGATTTCAGTGGTTCTATCAATAGGAATATCACGACGTTTTAATACAGTATCTTTTGTTGTATGTTTATATGATAGTATAACGAATATCATAACAATTGTGATACTTATGTACAGTATTTTCTTTACTTTCATCGGCCTGGCCATCTTTTATTCCCTTTTATCGTATGTGACGATCCACTGGTGTTTTTAGTTTATGGCACATTTACTTTGAGAAAGTGCTTGCTGAAAATCTGTCCTATTGCAAGTAGTCCACCATAAATACTGTACTTCATATGGTACACCGTTAAATTATCGATCTTAACTTGGAGCACGTCATGCTATTATTAGGTGAATTTTCAGGTATGTGATATTTATTCGAAATGGTACAATGTTGGAAAAAGTTGAATCAAGCGTTTCAAGCAATTTGTCTCGTTTGGCTAGGTTTATTTTTGGCAGGCGTGACTGAAAACATGTGAAGCCTGCTTATCTTCTGAATAAGTTTAACACAATATTTGTATAACGACTTGTACTGGTTTTTCTTTTTAATAAACGTCCATTGATTGTTTTATTAATCAGTTTAGTAAACCTTTTCTCATTGTTAAGTCATTCAAATGTAATTTGGCTTAAGAGTCGGATTTCGTAACTTATTCTGTTCAAATTATTTGTTCAGTATGCAAATCAAAACAATATGTAAATCTAATCGTTTAGACTTAAAGGTGCAACAATTAGTGCATAGGGGCCATTCAACGTCAAAATATATTTCATCGACTTACACTCCCCTCCATAAGTTTGGCAACCTTTTTTCCCCATTGAACTATGTGTTAAAGCCTCTTTACGTTTGCATTTTTATTTACTTAACCGGCGATGAAATAACTCATAATATTAATGGAAACGTAACTTGACTTTATTTCCAATACCTCCAAATTTTCTCAATTTTTTTCCTCAATTACAATAGGTCGAAAATTGATGATAAATTTGATGAATTTTTGAAAATCGTCATTCCCATGTAATCCAATGGGAAATGGAGGGTTCGGGGCAAATCAGAAATCAGGATACTTTTTCAGTAAAAGATTCAGCAAAAAATATTTTTATATAGAAAATTGAATTGTCTAACTTTTTTGAACACTAAGTGTTTAGTTTATTTGATGAATATTAAAGTTACAGCGCTTCAAAGTCAATTTTGAAAATAATTTTTCGCCTCCTGTGTTATTTCAATGGGAGAGGTTTTTTGAAAAACAATTTTGACTTTAAAGCCCTATAACTTTGTTGAACCTGAAGAAACATATCAATTTTTTGTTAAATAAAGTTAGCAAATTCAATTGCCTGTCTAACTCGTATTTTTTGCAAGGACTCGGATGGATGGATATTCTGTCGTATGACTTGCGGCAAACCTACCATTTCCCATTGGTTAACATGGGAATGTCGATTTTCAAAAATTCATCAAATTTATCATCAATTTTCGACCTATTGTAATTGAGGAAAAAAATTGAGAAAATTTGGAGGTATTGGAATTAAAGTCAAATTACGTTTCCATTAATAGTTTAAGTATTTTCATCGCAGGTTAAGTAAATAAAAATTCAAAGGTAAAGAGGCTTTAACACGTAGTTCAATGGTGGAAAAAAGGTTGCCAAACTTATGGAGGTACATCTATTTTTATTATCTACAAAAAATCCCCCTAGATAAACATTATTTCAGCTGATACTCCTCTTGAAACATGGAGAATCTTAAAATTATAAAAGTGAATTTCCCCTTTTTGAAGCTTTGAATTGAACTTCTTAATGCTGAAATTGATAGTTTATCCGTACGTTTAAAGAAAATATGTATGCCAAATGATGCCTTGATAGCTCAGACATTTTTCCTATTTTTTCTCTACATGGCTTGTCGCGCCCCCTTTAAATCACTTTACCCAATTTAACTACTACAGGGTGGGCCAAAAAAAACCACCCCCCTAACCAATATTCCTGATAAATATTTATTTTTTAACAATCACACCAACAATGATATATCATATTAAAGATAATTTAATTTGCAACACAATGATATATAATAGCACCATTTTCAACAACCTCATATAGAAATATAACCATTTATGTGACATGGGGGTCAAAAAACACCTTTTCAATTTTCGTCGGTTTTGCGAACAATTGCCTATTTCTACCAAATTTTAGTAGATTACAACATTGTCATGAGTCTTTCATAATTGGATATTATATATTGTTTTCATTCAGTTTTTGAACCTTGCATGCTCAATATACATGTGTATGCTTATAAAACTAATTCATTTCTTCTTCAGTCTGTCCAAATATGACTCAATAGACTCATCCCCGGACCCAACTTCTGATTTGATTTCCCCCCCCTTGTTGATTCCCAGATCCGCCCCTGCACCCCCAAACCCATCCTCTGATTGGATTATTCGCTTAAGACGCCGAAGCCATTGGTTGATGGCATAATTGATGGATGTATGCGGAAGTACCATTCAACTGCTAGTTATTCTTTATTTTAGTTCCTCTACATCCCTGATAGGCTTGGTATATTTAAATACCAACTGTTCTAGATGCTCCCAGGTATGGTAATCAACATTATTGGCAACTGGACTGCCAGTAAGCCATTTTCTAGGTTGGAGATGGTGACATTTCGAATCTCCAAAAACTCCAGGGTAGCATTGGACCTGTGTGATGGAGCACTGTTCTATCAGAAAATGAAATTTCTTTCACATGTTTTTTATTATATTCTTGAGGAGTCCTTTTTACCACCTCATGTCATTAACATTCAGAGTATATTTTTGCTCCCGGTTCAAAAAACAGAGCCTGTATGGTCTATCCTTTTTGGGGAACGCTGAGTGGACACCATCTACCTTTCAGAAAAATGTCATCTCGATTTGAGTAGCCTTTTATCGCAAATGTCACTATTCTTGCTTACTTATATAGAGTATAGCCTTTTGATTACATGTATAGAACTTGGGGCATTTAGAACAGTTGGTCTATGGAGATCCCTAGCCCATCAGGGGTGTAGACAAACTGAAAGAATGAATAATTAGGTGTTGGATGGTACTTCTGCAGAGGTCCATCAATTATACCAATGGCTTTCGCGTTTTAAGCGAGAAATCAAATCAGAAGTTGGGTCCGGGGATGAGTCTATTGAGTCATATTTGGACAGACTGAAGAAGAAATGAATTAGTTTTATAAGCATACACATGTATATTGAGCATGCAAGGTTCAAAAACTGAATGAAAACAATATATAATATCCAATTATGAAAGACTCATGACAATGTTGTAATCTACTAAAATTTGGTAGAAATAGGCAATCGTTCGCAAAATCGACGAAAATTGAAAAGGTGTTTTTTGACCCCCATGTCACATAAATGGTTATATCTCGAGCCAGAGTTGTTGAAAATTGTTATATTGTATATCATTTTGTTGCAAATTAAATTATCTTTAAAATGATATATCATTATAGGTTTGCATGTTAAAAATTGAATATTTATCAGAAATATTGGCTAGGGGGGTGTTTTTTTTTGGCCCACCCTGTATATACAGGGTGGGCCAAAAAAACGCCACTTTTTTTCAAAATGCTATAACTTTTTTAATTTTTGATATTAAATCATAATTTGCATACCAAATGAAACTTGAGATTGCTATCTAGCCATGGATCATAAATCATACAGTTTTACTTGAAAAAATATGTCACCAGCGTCTCTCTCACTTAAACATGTGGTTTTCATGAGAAATAAGCATAATTTGCAAAATGTTCCTGAACTGATACGGCCTGATGATCGCCAAGCTAGTAGCCCTGATGCAAACCCCAGTGAGTATAGGGTATGGGAAGGTCTCAAGGAGATTGTATGAAGGCACCCAATCTAGAAAATTGCTCAACTAAAGCTAGGAATTTAGACAGGTTGGAAAAAACTTTATAACATTTCATTGATACTGCAATATCAGCAAGGCGACTAAATCTAAAATATATCATCAATTAGGGTGGCGGACTCCCCTTTTAGATCAAATATAATCCAAGTTGAATGACTTGTAACATTATATTATTGCTAAGAACCCTTGGCACTATATAACTACAAAATTTGAGGTATGTAGGTTGGAAAATAAAAAAGTTGTAGTGTCTTGAAAAAAAGTGGCGTTTTTTTGGCCCACCCTGTATAACAGTTTCGTTTAATTTGTGCAAATAAGCTACAAAAAGTATAAAATACATCTTATCTTTTCTAGTAATACGAAATGAGTTAACTTTCTGATATTACTTATTTGCAATTCAAAACTCATCTGTATAAGTGATTGTTACATGGCATTCCCAGGGGTCAAATCAATCTCGATTCAAAGCAAACAAACGTACACAATCTATTTATAAAACCATATGTGGAATGTTTATATTTGTTGTAGAATTTAAATGAATGCCAGGAAATTTATCAATCGTGTAGCGACTTCGGTCAACCAGATCGATCAAGAATCATTTAGAATTGTGACAATCATGATTAAAGGCAGAATAAGATCTAGCAAGTTATATCGATCAAGAAGCATTTAGAGTTGTGACAATGATTAAAGGGAGAATCAGATCTAGCAAGTTAGATCGATCAAGAAGCATTTATAATTGCGACAATGATTAAAGGCAGAATCAGCAGATCTAGCAAGTTAGATCGATGAAGAAGCATTTAGAGTTGTGACAATGATTAAAGGCAGAATCAGATCTAGCAAGTTAGATCGATGAAGAAGCATTTAGAGTTGTGTCAATGATTAAAGGCAGAATCAGATCTAGCAAGATAGATCGATCAAAAAGTATTTAGAATTGCGACAATGATTAAAGGCAGAATCGGCAGATCTAGCAAGTTAGATCGATCAAGAAGCATTTAGAGTTGTGACAATGATTAAAGGCAGAATCAGCAGATCTAGCAAGTTAGATCGATCAAGAAGCATTTAGAATTGTGACAATCATGATTAAAGGCAGAATCAGCAGATCTAGCAAGTTAGATCGATCAAGAAGCATTTAGAGTTGTGACAATGATTAAAGGCAGAATCGGCAGATCTAGCAAGTTAGATCGATCAAGAAGCATTTAGAGTTGTGACAATGATTAAAGGCAGAATCAGATCTAGTAAGTTAGACCGATCAAGAAGCATTTATAATTGCGACAATGATTAAAGGCAGAATCAGCAGATCTAGCAAGTTAGATCGATATAGAAGCATTCAGAGTTGCGACAATGATTAAAGGCAGAATCAGATCTAGGAAGTTAGATCGATCAAGAAGCATTTAGAGTTGTGACGATGATTGAAGGCAGAATCAGATCAAGTAAGTTAGATCGATCAAGAAGCATTTATAATTGCGACAATGATTAAAGGCAGAATCAGCAGATCTAGCAAGTTAGATCGATCAAGAAGCATTTAGAATTGTGACAATGATTAAAGGCAGAATCAGATCTAGCAAGTTAGATCGATCAA